CGGCGGGGTCGGACAGCGTGACTGTCAAGCGCAAATCGCGGTCGCTCACGACCCAAAAGCCTCGCGCACGCAGACGGGACGCCAGTGCGCGCAGATCGTCGTCCGTCGGGACGTGGAACACAATGCCAAAGCAGTACCAGTGGTTGGCAATGGGGCGCGTGTTGTAGCCAAACTTGGTGTCGTTTCCTGGCACACCGAGCTCGCCGTACAGTCGGACTTGAACGCGCTTCAGAATGTCGTCGACATTGGCAAAATCGATGGCAATGTTCTGGTTGTCGGCATTCTCGGCAGCAGCGCCAGAAGCGGCGGCAGCAGCAGCAGCAGCGGAAGCGCCACCATCGCCAGCATCCTCCTCCTCGTCCTTGTCCTCATCATTGCCATCATTCAGCTCAGACGCGTAGGCGTCCGGAATGAGGCGGGCAGGGACTGCGACCGTGCCAGGCTTTGGCTCGGCGGCAATAATCTCGGCGAGGGCGCGCTTGACGTCCGCGACACAAGCGCGGATGGGCTCCATGCACTTCAGGGAAGCCTTCTGGTAGGACTTGCCAGAGACCTGGAGACGGCGGCCGTACAGCTCACCGTCATCCGCGCAGCCCAAATTTGTACCGTCAATCTTCTCGTAGCCGCGGAACTCGAGCGCGCCGCCCGGGAGCTGGGCTGCGAGGTGTGCAGGCTGGTACGTGTTACGCAGCCATCGCGCGACCTGGCGCAGCGCGAGCGGCTTGCCCGTGCGGTACTCGAGTGTCCCGATTGCCTGGGCGAGCTCGCGCGCGCGCACCTTGCGATCGACGGCTGTCGCTGCCGGGGCGCCCATCATGCTGCAGCTGCGGTGCTTGCGGTAGACGCGCTGGATGGCCACTGCGACCAGTCCCATCAGGCGAATGCGGTGCTCGAGCACATCGCGGCCAAACGCGAGGCCCAGATTGTCAAACGAGTTCCACTGCAGCGTATTGCTCATGTTCGTCGTCGTCGTCGTCGTCGTCGTTGTGTGTGCTCAGAATGACTTGAGTTCAGTTCAATGAAGAATAAAAAATCTCTGCAAATAAAAATAAAAGCGTGATAAACTAAGAAATCAAGAAATCTGCATTGAAATAAAATAAAAGAGTGAGCTTTTTTAGTAGCGATCTTGAATGGCTTTTTATAGGAAAAGAAAAAAAAAAAAAAAAAAACTGACGCAATGTTGTTGCGTCATTGCGAATCCACTCTCAGCGACGCGATGACGACGACGACGAATGGGACGACGAATGGGACGACGAATGGGATGCGCTGCGATCGCCGCTTCGGCTGCTGGACGATCCGCTGTGGTGAGAATGGTGAGAGGAGGAGGAGGTGGAAGAAGACGAATGGCGCCAGGAAGAGGACGAGGAGGACGAGGAAGAATGGCGGCTCGAAGACGACGGCACACGCGAGCTATAGCCGAGAACCTTGTACTCGTTCTTGGGATCAAACACAGTGTACCCGTCATCCACGCCCTTCGAAGCATCGTGGGCGCGAACGAGCTCGTTCTCGCAATGCAGCGAATGCGCCATCCAATCCTTGCTCTTGACATCGTCAAAGGTGTCTGCTTGCTCGTCCGTCTCGAGGAAGGCAAGGGTCGACTGCGACGGATCAGCGTGCATCCGTGCATCGTCCATCGGAGCGGGCTCGGCGGAATTCGCGGCAGCGTCGCTTGGCAACGTTGTCAATTTGGTCTTGAACTTGCTGAGCATGGCCAATGCCTGGGCCTCCCGCTGCTCCTTGCTCATCTTCTTGGGACCGCTCTTGTACTTGTTCATCATGCTCTCGTACTCTGCCACGGCGGGGTCTGTCTCAGCGACAGAAGCATCGGCAGCCGCATCCGCCTTTTGTTGGCTGGCAGACTTTGCGGCTTTCGCGTTGCGAAGCTCTGCTTGAAGTAGACGCGTTTGTTCCTTGATGGCGTCCAACCTGATGTTGGGGGGGGGGTGGGGGAAGCGATGATGGGAAGCGGAGGAGAAGACAAGATGAGGAAATCGAAGAACAAGACACAACGTTTGGCACGGATCCACTGCAGATCAGCCGTCAAAACAAAGCAAGACATACTTGGATTTCTGAGCTTCGGGTGCGGATCCCGAAGGAGCTTCAGGGTCGACCGCTGGGCGCTTTCGAGACTCAGACTCAGCAACCGCCGCCGCAGCAGCGCTCGGGGCAGCAATGTCAGAGGCCCGCTCTTCCTCGTCTCTTTCAGACGCCAAACGCTTGGCGGTGGACACTGGCTCTATTGAGGAGCTTGCAGGGACCTACGAGATTTTTTTTAAAAAAACGGGAGTAGATACGAATCAGAAGTCAACTACACCTCAGCCTGAGCGATTGATTGCTCTTCGATCGCACTGCAGCATACCTGTCCAGATTTCAATGTCCGAGAGCTCGATTGAACTCGTGGATCATCCGTTAGCACATCATGACTGCTTTTGATCTTTTGAACGGCGGTGTCGGCCTGTTCATCGTCTTCAGCCTCTTCTCCGAACGACAGGAGCTTAAAGTTTCTAACGTCGCCAGTCGAGCAGTATTCAAACAGTGTCGCAAGACGTGAGTCAAGCAAAACTTGGTGACAAATACCAAAGGTTTGCTTGAAACTCACTTTGTCGCCTTGACTTGGTTGGCTTTTTTGCGTTCTTCGGCTTCCTTGGCTTTCCTTAGCTCTTCCAACTCGCGCTCGCGCCGTTGTTGCGCAATCTCTGGTCGTTGCACAATGTCGTCGAAGGGCAGTTCAACCATGTCGACGCCCAGAATCTTGATCGGGTACATTGGGCGATCGTCTTTATCAACCGGTGTTTCGCCAATCTTGAGGACGTTATAGATGGTATCACCAGTGACCTATCGATGAAGCAAGGGAATTCGTGAACAGGTGAACAGGCGGGGTGGGGGGTGGGCAAAAATGAAGTGAGCACATAGATTGGCGGGAAATGGCGTGCATTTGGTCGAGCCTTTCGCCACTCGGCATTGATCGCAGCCGCAAAACTCGGTCGACCCAATACTGGTACCGACTGAGACGCGCTTAGATTGTATCTCAGTCACTACGACTCGTTCCCCGCCCCTTCCTTCACGCTTTTGCTGCCTGCAAACAGCACAAACCGCCTCTACCTTTGCAAAGAGCGTGTGCTTCTTGTCGAGCTCCTCCGCCTTGTCCAGCGTGATGAAGAACTGGCTGCGATTGTCGTTGGGACCTGTCGTTGCCATCCCAAGCAGTCCGCGCCGCGTGAATCGCAGCCGCGAGTGAAACTCGTCCTTGAACGGCTCTCCAAACGCCGACTCGCCGCCTATAAACACACACACACACTCATGAGTGAGTAGCAAAGCTCTGCAGTTGAACGATGTGCTCGAGTCGGTCTCAGATCGAGAGAGTGTGAGAGAGAGATCGACCCGGGTCCAAAGCGATCAACGTTGTACCTTCGCCAGTGTTGGACGGATCGCCGGCCTGGACGATGAACTTGTCGACCACTCTGAAGAAGCAGCAGCCGTCGTAGTAGCCATCGACGCACAGCTGGGCAAAGTTCCGTACGGCGCGCGGGGCTTCCTTTGGCCAGAACTCGACCTCGATCGGGCCGCTCGTCGTCCGCAGCACGACTTTGCCTTTGGTCGGCGGCTCCATCACGTAGATTGCAGACATTTTGATTAGATGGGGAGGAGAGAGAGAGAGAGCGAAAGCGCAACAGAACAATAATAAGAATAGTGTGAAGGAGAAGCGAAGCAATAAAATCTGAGAATGAAACAAAGGAAGACTGGATTTGGGCAAAGAGTCTGAGATTTGGAACGACGTAAAATCCAGTTCTGAGCAACACTTGAGCTCCAAAACCAAAAACCGACAGCACAGCACAGCACAGCACAATGCAGTACAGTACTCTCTCTCTCTCTCTCTCTCTCTGTCTCTCTCTCCACACACCATCCATCCAATCTCACGATCAAGCCTCCCCACCCCTAACGTATTGTCGTTTTATTCAATTCTGAATTATGCTTTTCTTGCCACACACAGTGCTCATCATCACTCTTCCATTTGTTCTCTCCGTTGAATGGCGCTTCGGCTGGTGACGTGCGCTGGCCTCGGCGTTGTCGACGCACTCTCGCTCGCTGTGCCCGTCCGCGTGCTGCTCGCCTCAAAGACAGTCCAGACGAGCGCCATCAAGTGCGTCGTGCTCAACGGCATTCTGTTCATGGGCAGCCTGTTCATGTTCGCCTTCATCATCAGAGTGAGTTGCCGGGTTTTTGGCTGTGCTCCTCGTTCGTTTCGTTACTCTTGTCAGATTACCATTGCATTGCATTACCATTGCAAAAGGGGGCTCAAGTCGTTTCGCTCAAACATGGAACATTGGAACACTTTTCAAATCGTGATGAGCATTCATTGATTGAAAGTGAACGGAGGAACGCTCAGGAATACAAACCCCAACCTTTTGACTGTTTCGTTCGGCTGTCTGACCAATGTTGCTCTCTCGGTTTTTTTTGATTGGGTTGGTATGAATATACAGCCATTACTTGGTCTCGTGCTACCGTCGTCGTCAAGCGCGGAAACAGACGGCGATGCGAAACGAATTCAAGACACAATCACCTACTTTGACTTTGCATTGGTAAGTTTGCAACGGATTTTGTTTTCTTGTCGGACAGCGTCAAAGTGCTCGTTGCATCCTGCAGCACAGAGAGGCGGATTTGTGCGAGGAGTGAGATGACGTGTTGAGCTCTATGGCTCTTGTTCTGTTGGAAGATGAATTGATCTTCCAAGTTGTCCAAGCTGTCCAAGTTGTGCTGTGCTGATCCTGTGAATCAAACTTGTCACTCGTACAGACCGCCATTTACCATCTGTTCTGGGTCTACCCGATCTACTGCCTGAGCTTCATTCTCAACAGGTTTGGCACGCATGATTGAAGAAGACTGTTTGTTTTGCTTCCTGCTTCTCGTCAAGCTGACCTGTTTGAATGGAAACACAGTATTTGGTATCAGGATATTGCCGATGCAGCATATGCTCATCAAGTGGGCAAGCCAACAGCTGTACGAACAGAGTAAGTTCTGCAGCGATTATGAATGGTGCTCTGATGATTGGCGCAAACTTGTTCTTCTCCCCTTGCGTGTTTGGTCGAAATCGTCTTCTCGTGCAGAGGAAAATCCATCGTTACGCTGATCAGCCAACGTGTTGGCGACGAGATCTACCGTTCCATTATGCAGCTGGTCATGGTGGTTCAAATCGCCATGATTCATTTCATTCCGCTGATTGGTCCATATGCGAGTTTCCTGCTCATGGCGTGGCTCTACTCCATGTACTGCTTTGAGTGAGTTTTTTTCTACCATTCCAGGGCTGTGTTTCGTTTTGGCAAAAGCCGCGCGAGACTGACCATTCGCGAACAAAACGAACGGGGTCCCCCTGTCTCCTCTTCTCTCGCATAGGTACAAATGGATCAATGAGGGTCAATCTCTGGACCAACGAGTGGCGTACTTTGAGGAGCACTGGGCGTATCTCGCAGGATTTGGTACAGTTTTGTTGCGCTGGTGGGTTTTTTTTTAATGATTTCGCTCTCACTCATGTTCCCACGCAATCCCTCAGGTACTCCATTCGCCGCCCTCACCTTCTTCTTTCCCCAGTTCATTGGCGCGGGGCTGTTTGCCCTTGCCTTCCCGGGATTCATCATCATGGCCAACTCGGCCTCGCCAGTCAAGCCGCTGCCCGAGGAGGCTCCCGCCCTCCGTCGGATTCCAATGCTCTATGTCGGCAAGCAGGTCACTGCCTGGCTGATTTACAACCACTTTTTCTTCCCTCGCCGCGGAGGCAGCCAGCAACCTCGACGATAGGAGCCCCTCGTTTCTCTATCATCTATCAAACACCCCCCAAACTCATTTCCTAACCAATATACCAAATCCAATAATTACCCATGCGTCTCTCTTTCTCGTTGTTCCAATCCCAATCTTCTCAGAGCTCAGTCTCTCATTTTCTCCAATGTCAATCTCGTTTGCCTCGCTTGTGGAGGAGTCTTCGCAGCTGACGCAGCAGGAGGACGAGCTGCCCATCATCGAGCATGGTCCTGAGCAAGTGGAGCACGTCTCCCGCAAGCTCCTTGCCAAGACCCAGCGGACGCTCGACACCACCCAGCAGACCAAAGCGTAAAGCAGAGTGCAGAGTGCCGAAACTCCAACTGAAACTCGGTTGTTGTTTGCATGCGACCCTTCTTCGATGGAACCGACCTCTGCGCGTTCAATGGGACTGAGTGGCGCTTGCTGTGCTGGCCATTTGGGAGCGAGCGGAGGGAACTGAGAATGGCGGGAAAGGGAAAGGAGAGAAAAGGGCGCGAAAAATGGAGAGATCGCCATATGGAATAGCGGATTGAACGTTTTGCTTTGCGTTTGTGCCAGGCAGAGGCGGGGGGAAGGGGGGGGGGGGAAGGGGCGGAGGGAGAGAGCAACGCGCAGATGTTGGGGTAGGGAGAACACGATGGGGTGAAGCGGAGGAGGAGAGGCGCGCGCGGGGAAGAGCAATAGAACAGCAAGAGCAATGGAAGAATGGAAGGAGAGATTGACAATGGGAAAGGACCACCTTGGGCCTCATGCGAACTTGACACGCTGCGACGAGGTCACAGGATTGGGCATTCTCACGAAAGATTGGGACGACAGGGAAAAGCAGAGGGGTGGGGGAGAGACGACGCTGGATGAGATCAACTTGCACTTTGTTGGCTGCTTCGTTCATCCCTCTTGGTTGACCACACGGTGCAAAAAAAGTCTCAACGTACTGTGCTTGTTCGATTCTGATTCTTTGATTCAGACATTACTTGCTGGCGACCCGCGGATTCGATGCAGACAAGTACACGAGGAATCTCAACTCGATTTCGCTCGCCACGTTCGAGCCACTCGAGCCAATTGGTGACACGGACATTCAGTCCTTCCTTCGCCACGAGCACGAAATGCTCATTCTCACTGCTGTCGAGGAGGCCAAGCGGAACGTGAGTCGACCCTGGTTTGTGACGAGTACTCTATGAATTTGTGCTCACCAACCCAACGTTTTGCTGCTTGTCTTTCGTCGAGCAGACTGTCTTGCAATTTAACAATAACTTTGTTCGCGGGCTCGAAGACGACTGGGAGCGCGTCAAGAAGCAGCTCGAAGCATACCACCCACGCTTGAGCGTGCTCGATGCCGTGCCAATGGATGTGAAGGTGAGCCCGATTCTCGCAACCTGTGTCCACCTTTTTGTTTTTTTCTTGTGGAAGACTAACACACGCACTCCATCACGAAATGATTTATGCGCAGGCCCGAAACGCTGTGAACGATTCCTTCATCAGCCAAACGCGCTCCAGCAGCATGACCCCCGTCATGACTCGTTACAGCCGCATTGTCACTGCGCTCAACGACTATCGCCTTCAAAACAAGCCCGTGGATGTCATGACCCAATTCCGCATCAACGCCGCCCAGCAAATCGAAGCGCAGGTACAGTGTCGTCGAGCCCTCGCTCTACTTTTTTTCTTCCTTGTTTTTCTTCTCTTTTCTGATTTTTTTTTTGGTTGGTTGGGTTTTCAATTTCTCGTTTTCAGAGCACGCGACAAATCTGCGACTTGTGGCAGCTGCTCGCATGCATGGCCGGTGAAGTGCAGTACCAGGACGGAAAGTTTGTACGCAGCGCGCAGCCGCCGCAGGAGGGCTCGTTGCAGGACGCCTACCTCAAGTCTGACTTGCAGCTTCGCCGCTCGTTTGTGATGGGCGCCCGTCACTTCCTTGGTGTTCAGTATCACGAGATGATTGGCACGCAACTCACACGCCTCAAAGTCAGCCGCAGCCAACCGCCATCGTTTGTGGCGGACGTGCGCAGCTACGTGCAGGCTGTGATTGTGCCGCAGCTACGGCAGATGCTGCCCCATTTGAACATGTTTGATCCCGATGATTCAAACCTGCCAGTCTGGGCCGTCATCTTTTACTGCATGCGGTGCGAGCGCTTTGACTGCGCTCGTGACGTGGCCGCGCTCAACCCGAAGACCAGCGAGTTTGCCAACTATCTTAACGAGTACCTCAGCTCTGAGGACAACCGCCTGGGACCGCAGTCGTCCAACCGTCTCACCTCGCTCTACCGCAAGGAGTTTGGTCTGCGTGCATCGGTCCTGAATGCCGACCCTTTCAAGAAGGCGGCCATCAACATCATTTGCCGCTGCGACGTGTCCCCCGCCGTCTTTGAAGATCGTGCTTACATTCGCAACATTCAAGATTACATGTGGATGGAGCTCGTGCTCACCCGCGAGACCGAAATGGACACGGCCAACGAGACGCACTACTCGCTGCACAACTTGCAGGCAAAGCTCCTCAAGTGGGCGCCGGCGCACTTTAAGACTGAGCTGTCTTACTTCCACGCGCTTATTCTCAGCGCTCAGTTCGAGACGGCCGTCAACTTTTTGCGCGACGTCAGTGCTTTCTTTGTCGAGGCGGTTCATTTTGCTGCCGCTCTGAATTATTACGGCCTTCTTCGCGCTCCACGCTCCATCGATGCGCCAATGTGTAAGTTGTGGGTTTTTTGTTGTTTTTGAGTGCCATCAAGTGGCTCAGAAAGAAGAGCACTGATAGTTTGGTCCCGTCTTTTCTTTGCTTTTTTTTTTTTTTTTTTTTTTTGCGTGCTCTTGCTCCAGTCTCTTCCGTCACTGCCGATTCTGCGCCAACGTTCAACTATGCTCAGCTGATTGCTGGCTATGCCAACTCGTTCGCGCGCACCAATAGTGACGACGCACTCGAGTACCTGTTCCTGCTCAACCGCATGCCCGCTCCAGAGTCCTTGACTTCGCGCATTCCGAAGTCCGCGTCCTTCCCGCAACCGCTGACTGCCTTCCATCTTGCCTTCCGGGATTTGGCTCTCGAAACGAAGGACTTTGACACTCTTTTGCTCAACACGACGCCGGAAGGCGCTGTTCGGGTAGGTTGCGTGGTTGTGGAGGTGATTTTTTGCAGCCGAAGAGCGCTGGATGGCATTCGATACTCACCGGCAGCGCTTGATCAAAACAGACACGCGGTCACATTAAGCGCTTCGTGCAGAGCGATAACGAGGCCAAGTTCTTGACCAGGTTGATTGCAGAAGACTGTCTTGCCATGGGCAAGTTCGAGGATGCCGTCCGATTGCACGATTTGGCCACGGTACGAGCTGGTTTTTTTTTTTTTTTTTTTTTTGCCGATCAAGTACATCCACATCGGTTTCTGGTATGATTTGCTCACATGATCATTCGGCACTCGTTTGTTAGGATTATGAGCGAGTGCTCGAGCTGCTCAACCGTGAGCTCCGAAACGTGCTCGTCTCCTCCTCGGGCCACGGCTCACATCGTGCTCGTGTCAAGGACCTTGCTCGGCAGATCGACGAGGCATACCAGAACATTCCCCACGTCAACGAGCAGGTTGGCACCTTGCGACTGCTTCGTAACTTGATGGAATTTTTCGACCTGTTCCACAACCAGCAGTATGAGCAAGCTCTTCAGGTACTGGTCTCAATTCGTTTTTGTCATTTTTGTGTGTGCTTTTGGAAGGCACGTGCACGCAAGGGAACTGCTTTCCTTTTGCTTACTGTCTTGTGTGACCAATGTTCCTCCCCTCTCCCCGCAGCTTCTCGATGCTCTCAGCCTCTTGCCACGCGAACCTGAGTCGGCTGGCGAAAAGCTCAGCAATGCCAAGCAATTGCCGGCCGAGGTCCAAAGCAATATTCCGGAACTTGTGCTTGCGGCCATGACCATTTATTTCAAAATGTTTTTCGCCGCGCGCCAACACCAGCGCTCTTTCCGTGCGTCCGATGGTGGTACCAACCAGGTAATACATTGTCGTTGCAATCGAGGTGTTACACTCCACACAGGCCCAGCGCATTTTGCCCAATCTGCCTCCTCACTTTCACTTTCACTTTTGCCTTTGCCTTTGCCTTTTTTCCTTTTTTTTTGTTCAGCTGCTGGACGAGTACCGCCGACGTGCTGATGGTTTGATGGACTTTGCCGGGCGCATGTCTGAGGTCATGTCAGGCACGATGAATGCGCGACTCACCAACATGCACGCGCAAATGGGCTGAGACGTTAGATTTTTTGTTACAACATGAAAAAAGAAGGAAAAAAAAAAAAAACTACAACAGTCGAATAATAAAACGAACAATGCTCCAAAGCACAAACTCCAAGTCAAATAACAAGCAAACACGCACGAAGCGAACATGCACCACAGCACAATCGTAAAGTCAAATCTTAAGCGAACATGCACCAAAGCACAAACTCCCCCCCCCCTTTTTTTTTGTTTTTCACATTGACGTGCTCGAAGCCTGCCGAATCTCGCTACGGAGGGCGCGAAGTGTCTCGATGGCAGACACCCAGGCCTGCATGTTGGCTGTGTCGTGCGCCATTAAATAGTAGTCTCGACCGGGTACGGAAACAACGAACGTGGCCTTGTTTTTGTCTTGCATGAGATCGAGCTGGACGCGAACGTTCGTGATGGCGTCAATGTCAATGTGGCTGCAACCAACAAGCCGAGTCAAGCAAATCCAGTGAGCAAAACTCATGCGCATCGAAACACAATTCAAAGGCCGATTCGACTCGTTTCGCATACCCCATTTCATTGATGTCATCGTTTTCCTTGTAGTAGGAGATCTTTCCTTGCCCATCGCACGAAAACCAGCGTCGTCGCCACAGCTTGATCCAGCCCTTGTCGCCGAGCTTCATCAGCCAGCCGTTGAGCTGTGAGAAAAGAACACAAAAAATAAAAATAAAACATCATCCAAACATTGTCAATCAACATCTCAAAGGATTCAGGACAAGGTGCAAATCAACGTCTCAGCAGGGCTGATCGTCTTACATCTTTAAGTGCAGCCATCTCTTTACGCTGCCGCTCCGATCGCTGACCCTCGCCTTGCGAGCTCTGCAGCGCAACGGTCAGAGTGGCGACCTTGTCATTCAGGGACCGAATGATCTCCTGCATATCGGAAGCCTGGTCCTCGAGTCGCGAAATGCGTTGACGACAGCGGTCAATCTCTGCGTCCTTCTCGGCCAGTTGCTCTTTCAACGCGGACGAGTGGTCCTTCTTGTCCTTTTTGCTGGATTCGCGCTCAGAAGAATACGAGTCGCTGGATTCGATCACAATCTTGGGCGCGGAAGTGGGGGCCGAGGAGGGAGCCTTGGCAGGACTGTCCTTGGCTTTGCTCTTTTCCTTTTCCTTCTCTTTTTCCTCCTTGTCATGCTCCTTGTCCTTTTCCTCGTGGTCCTTTTCCTTGTCTTTTCCCTTTTCCTTTGACTTGTCTCCAGAGAGGAACGAGACAACATTGTCGAACACTGAGCCCTTCCTGCCCGGTGATTCCGCCCTAAAGATCATCAAGCATACAATAGCAGGGTAGGCAAGAGGAAGGATGGGTGCGTGGGGGCTTAAAGTTAGCGCTCACAGTCGCAGCCACAAGAAAAAACGATCACCAAAACATCCATTTTGTGCACCCTCACTTTTCGTCTTCTTCTCCACTGGCAGAATCATCATGCTCATCATGCGGGCCAGAAGTAGTGCGGGACCAAGTGCTGATCATGTCGTCGTCGCTGTGCCAAATCAAAGTACAAATCAGTGTTGACAACCTTCAAACGCAAAGAGGAATAGAAAAACAGAACACGGCGGGCATTACTCACGTCGCTCGGCCTTCCTTGAGAAACTCGCACGTGAAGCACACTTCGAGAACGACGTCCGAGAGTTTCTTGTGGATTGGCTTGAGGGCGATGGTTTCCTGGCGATCCAACGCCGTCAGCGAAGCCATTCGGGCAATGTTGATTGTGCCAGTTGCGAGCACAATCTTGTCCTTGCCATCCTTTCCATGCGGCTGTATACAGCAATTGGTGTGTGAAGCACAATAAACGGATGAACATCCGTGGTGAGTGACGAGGGAATCGATCGATTCTGAGCATTGTTTTGTTTTGCTCACCTGTTCGAGCGAGATTTTGTAATCTTTGACGTCGAACTCGCCCTTGTTGTCCTAAAACCAGCCAAAACCAAAAACCCCATGTGCAACACCAACATCGCCGATTGTCAGCGTCACGTTCACAAAGTGACAGTGGTGGATTGTGAACGGAGCTCTTCAACCGAGCGCCATCCACGCGGATCTCGAAATGCACTTTCAATCATCTTCTTGTTCTGCTTTGGCTTGCCTTGTAGAGGGTGACGATGAGCTCGAGAGTCTCGTCCCACTTGATGGTGGCAATGGTCGCCCCAGGTCTGGCTGCATCTGGATCGCGAGCGAACGTCCACGACGCCTCCTAACAACACATCCCACCCGGACGTAGGACACGCAGTACGGCAGATGCACAGAGTACAACACAACGAGGGAGGGGTCAGCATTGGAGCCACGCACAGGTGAGCAATCGACGATGATGACACGCTCCAAGCTCAGAAGCTTCCCAACCCGCGTCCTGGGGGGGGGGGTCTGAGCACCATACAAAACACCCATCATCCCATATTCAACGATAGGAGGAGGGGAGATGTGGAGCGTACCTTTGTAGCGGCAGTGCGGTTGCTGCGCGACCAGACGACGTTCGCATCGCCCAAGTCGCTGTTTCTCAGTTTCAATGTGATGTTAGGGATGAGTCTCAGAAGTAAAGATCATCAACCACATGCAGCGCTCCAACTTACGCGCCGAGCTGGGCTTTCAGCGTGGCCGACTTGAACGTCGCAAAGAACTTGAACTTGAAGGCGGTTTTGCCGATGCGTTTAATCTTGCGAACGCTGAGCATTGGTGGAGCTGAGAAAGGTGTGAAAGAAGACTGAATTTTGGAGATGTTGCAGAGTGGTCGTATTTGGAGATATTCATCATCGACACGAGTCGAGAAGCAGCTCAAATCGATGTCTGCGAGAGATGATCCTGAACAAGCCGGATTCTGAGAAGGTTGAAAGATCGTTCGACCCGTGGCTTGGCTTATCCCCAGAACGAGTGGAGCGGCATTGTCTCGTTCTTGTACATGTATTGATCGAGAGCACGAAGGTGTCCGAGGACGCGTGCTTGCAAACGGAGCGAAACAAAGCGAGCCGGCTTTCCATTTGGATTTTCTGTTCTTCGCTGCTCAGACGCAAACCGCCCCCAAAACCAAAAAATGCAGCAGTTTTAAACAGCAGCCATTTTCGTGAGTGTTTTTTTTGTGCGATTTTTCTTGTTCTGAGATTTTCGTTTCTTCTTTTGACGCAGCCTCACTCCAATCACAATGCTTTCGGTGTGTATTTGTTTTGCAGATGTTGGTGAACGTTCCGTATCGCGTTTGATTTCTGTTTTAATCGCTGATTTCCCTCATACTCGTGCTCACTGATTGATGTCTGCGGTTTCGGCTAATTTTTTTTTTTCCCCCCTCTCTCTGTCTCGCTCTCTGTCTCTCTCTCGCTCTCTGCGCGATGACTCACCCCACCGACAGACACTCACCCGCACGTCTTCGTCGGTCCTCGCGACTGCCGGCGCCCGCCTCGCCAGCACCAGCGCCGCCTCGACGGTAACCGATGTCTTAACCCTGCTTTGCCGCTTGTTTGCTTGATTCTCGCTGCTGTCCCGCTCCATCTTCCTTCCTCCTCCTCCTCCCTCTCTCTATTTCTCGCTTTTACCGCTGATGCTGATTTCCGAGCTGGACTTTTCCGACGTCCAACAGCCAAAGAAGAAGCAACAGAAAGACAAGCCGAGATCTCGCTTTATTTTATTTTATTTTTTATTTTTTATTTTTTTATTTTTTTATTATTTCTCCATGTGCTCAGTGTTCCAAACCTGCTCCCGCTGTCACTCATCATCATCACACACATCCAACCCCAGAGCATCACTCATACACATCGAATGAGTGAAGTGATGGCAGACTTTGTGTTGCTTTGGTGGGAGGGGGAGGGGGGAAGAGAGAGAGGGGGCTTTGTCGCGTTTTGAAGAGGGACGTGGATTGACAGATGCGACGATCGGAGAGCCCTTCTTGAGTGCTTGAGATCGAAGCTTGGTATTGAAGCTTGAGATTGAAGCTTGAGATCAAAGCTTGAGATCGAAGCTTGAGATCGAAGCTTGAGAGATTTTGGTCGATGGAAGTTGCAGTGCGGTCAAGTTCCGTTGGATTTCTGAAGATTCCCACCGCGGTCCATCGTGCTCTATGGACGTTTCCCATTGGCACTTGGATTGACGATGCCCTGCTAAAGCTTTCGCTTTCGCTGGCGTGAGATTTGGGGTGAACTCGGGCCACGGGATTGAGATTTCGATGCAATGTTTCATGGGATTCAACTTGCATTGGCATTGCCCCTGTTCTACACCTTCGCTCCTCCTCCCCATTTCGATGCACATTCCATCATCAACTTTCAGTTCTTGTGCGAAGCCCCCTTTGTTCCGTGCCTGTCTCCCGATTGAACGACTTGCAAACGAAAAGAAAAAAATCCCCTTGCTCACGTGCAGCCTTCCGTTCTTGTCCAAAACAGCCCATTTCGGATACCCGCTACGGCGGTCGCCAAACCGTCACGCTGCTGCCCGGTGATGGTATTGGCCCCGAGCTTGCCGATGTCGTCAAGACCATCTTTGCCAACGCCCGCGTGCCCGTCGACTTTGAGCAAATCAACGTCAACACCAAGGACTTGAAGAGCGAAAGCGACACACTGAACGAGGCCCTCCTCTCGCTCAAGCGCAACAAGGTCGGCCTCAAGGGCACCTTCCACACCCCGATTGGCAAGGGCGCTCACCGATCCTTCAACATGCACCTCCGCAAGGAGCTCGACCTGTTTGCCAACATTGTCAAGTGCCGCACCGTCCCCGGCTTTGCCACCCGGCACTCCAACGTCGATCTCGTCGTCATTCGCGAGAACACTGAGGGCGAGTACAGTGGTCTTGAGCACCAGGTGAGATTTTGTGTGGAGAAGGATTGAATTGGTTCTGTTCGGCTTGTGTCGCTCTCTTTTGCTCATTCCTCTCTCTCGCTCCTCCTCTCTCGCACCCACCCCCATTCATAGTCGTCCCCCGGCGTCGTGGAAATGCTCAAGGTCATCACCCGCGCTAGCTCGTACCGCATTGCCAAGTTCGCCTTCGATTACGCCATCAAGAACAACCGCAAGAAGGTCACTGCCGTGCACAAGGCCAACATCATGAAGCTCGGCGACGGTCTCTTCCTCAAGACCTGCACTGAGGTCTCTGCTCTCTACCCCAACATCAAGTTCGAGCCCATGATTGTCGACAACGCCTCCATGCAGATGGTCAGCAAGCCCGGCCAATTCGACGTCCTCGTCATGCCCAACCTCTACGGCAACATTATCGGCAACATTGGTGCAGGTCTTGTTGGTGGTGCTGGTATTGTTCCCGGCATCAACATTGGCCGCGATTTCGCCGTTTTCGAGCCCGTACGTCTCTTTTTGTTTTCTTCTCTCTGCTCATGCTCATTTTTTTTTGTTTGGTTCTCGCCTTTTCCGTTGGCTTTGTTTGCCAACACTCAACTTCACCCTCTGATTGATTAGGGTGCACGCCACGTCGCCAAGGATATCGAGGGCCAGAACGTTGCCAACCCCACCGCCATGATTTTCTCCAGCACCCTCATGCTCCGTCACTTGAATATGTCCGACCACGCTGACTTGATTAGCCAAGCCGTGAAGCGAGTCATCCGAGAGGGCAAGGTGAGACCGTTGATTGCTTGTGATGAAAGCCAACAACAAACCAAGCAGCCGCAAATGATTTATTTTGTGATTTTTTTTATTTTTTTTTTTTTTGCTTCTCGTTCGACAGTTCACGACCCGAGACATTGGCGGCACCAGCACGACCACTGATTTCACCAAGGCTGTCCTGGAGCAGATTCACATTGCTCTTTCCCACAAGGCTTAAGCTTTTGGATTTTTGTTTTTTGATGCGCCGATTGCTGGTGTGAACGAGTATGAAGTGCGCTTTTTTTGTCAATTTTTAATTTCTCTCTTCTACACAGCAAGTCACGATATCGTTGATTGTACACTTCTCAAGCAGGGTACAGTAGTTTGGCTTTGTTCCATGCTATGAGATGATGCCAATTCGTCCGTTTTTTATGGCTGCCTTGCAAAGTGCTGGACTTCCGGTCCTGAGCCCGATCGTGCTGCGCCGGATGCATAAGACGACGATGATGATAATGATGGATCTCGCAGTGCGCTCATGACGAGATACACGACAATCGCAAACAGAATGAATGCAATGACGCGCGGATCGGTTGCGAATTGGCGCCACGCGCGCTTCACCGTGTCCTCCCTGCGATCAGCCGCAGCATCCCAGGCAGCCCTTCGAACCAGCTCGTCGGCAGAGAAGGCCAACCGAGCGACATCCACGCTGGCAGAGTCGCCGTCGCTCGTGTCGTTGCTGCGTCTTTGTCGCAGCTCTTGTGTTGACATGTTGTTGGCTTTGTCAGATTATTGAAACGACTGAGTACCGAAGAAAAATGCTCAGATATCTGAGAATTGGGAGGCGATACAGGAGGTTTTTGGGGTTATTGTACAGTATCTCGTGCAATGCTGCAACCGTGTGGAAAGACAAAGGCCGCAAACCATGCTCAGCAACCGTTCGGGGTTGACTTTCGCGCCCGTCCCAAAGTCAAGCTGAGTAAGTGACGACGTTTTTGACTGGAGCTGGTCAGCTTTTCTGTTAAATGAATGGAGATACAAGCAAGATGAGACGCTTATTTGTTCTTGGTTTATCGCAGTCTCGGCCGATCTCGCCCTCGAGCCTGTTGACCACAGTTTAGAATTGATTGAGCGGCTCGCAAAAATTCTGAAACAATGTCTCGACTCCATCTCCAAGGATCTGGCAAACCCACCGTCCAAGCCCGATCTGTGGGAGCGACTCGTTGTCCACCTCTTCAACTTGCGGGTGACTGCGTATCTTGCCCAACGCGTGCTGTCGGCATCTAAACCTCCTTCGGGTGCCATTCTTGTCCCTCTCATCAAGTTACTGCCTGGGGTCAAGTTCAGTGATGACTGCAAAAACCTGTCACTCATGCTGGATCCCAACACCTGGGACACGGATGTGTTCGTGCAACTTGCCCCAGAGAACGAGCCAGGAATCGATGCTTACATGCACGCCGACCTTGCTGGTCACGTAAGTTTGGAGATAGATATTGGTCGCGTTGTTGTTGGTTGAGTGGTCGTCACTTGAGTTCTCACTGTCTTTGCTGATGGCTGCCGACTATCAGGCGACGAAGAAACGTGTCGTCATTGGTCTGCAGATGAAGCTGCACATGCACCTCCAGTCGCCAGGCCCCGCTGAGCTTAGCAACTATGAACAATGGGCCCGCCAGCGACTCGATCAGTCCTATGTGTCGAAAAACAAACGAAAGAGAGACAAGACGCTTGTTCTTGTGGGGGTCATGTCTCCTTCTCGGTTTGCAGCTCCTGACCCTCCTAAGCACTCGTGGGTGTTGGAGCGTAACGCGCTGGACCAATTCGCGCAAGGATTTCTGACTGTTGTGCGAAGTACGTATTAGTTCTCAGCCGATTGATGAGTAGAGCATGCGCTGACTGTTTGCTGCAACAGGCGCCTATTCGTTCGACCCGCATCACAGCCCTGCAACGCACATTGCGAGTTCCTTCTATTCGTGGGGCACACAAACACAAGAAGTGTGCAATGCACTGGCGCACCTTCTCGTGCAGACTCGGCACCGAGCTCACCAGCGAGACAGCCTGCAGCAGTTCAAAACCGCAGAGGACCTGCGCCAGTTCTTGTTTGACCAAATCGGTGACTCCAAAGAGGTCTCGTTCACCCTGACGGAGAGAGGCGAAACAAAGCAAGTGACCTACACTCTCACAAAGGGCGATGTCCCACCGGTCAAGCACCTTGGCTGGTACTTTGCATTGCCTCGTAAGGCGCGTTCCGCAACGTCGTCCCAGCATGTCCAGTTAGAGACTTTGGAAAAAGTTGATGGTTACGGCGTTGAACAGAATGAGTGCCGGCATTGTCTCGGCACATTTGCTGAGCCATGGTTGTGTGTTGTTCGCATTGTTTTGTGGTCTCCTCGATGTTTGTGCCACATGTAAGTGTTACTTCAATTTGTACTGCATGCCGAAAAAGTACAAAGTTCAACTCCCTGTTTTCGCGTTACCACCATGCGAGCGAGGTGCCACTGCTAGTTGGGTTGTGATACACTCCAACGCATACATGTCACTTCAATACACTTTTGTACAGCATCTGCGCGAAAGGTTCTCCCTTTCGACGACGGTAACTCTCAGTTTGGATGAGTCGAAACATTCACCCTACTTGAACCCTTTTGTTTTTCCTTTACAGCTGTCCTGTTTTGATTGTTGCTACTCGTATCAAGTTATTGCTTGTTATTGTTTTTGTCGTCTGAGGCGCTCAGTCCTCGCTCCCCCCGGTTCCATGCAAACGTACGGCGGTCGGCCCCGCGCGGTGCCCCGCCCTGCACCTCAGGACCAAAGCAGCCGACCACCAGAAGTACTCGCATCGAGCAAAGGAGACTGGCCGAGACCGCAGGCCGCGTCACGACGACCGAGCCAGATTTCCAACGCCATTGCAATGCTGTCCAGCGTCCCACACATCGCCGCGGCAGGTCCATTCACGGCGTATTCAGATGCAGCGCAACATTCAACACAGAGCAGGACTGGATCGAGCGTCCGGGGGCGAATGAAGTCGAGCTCAAACTCCAGCTCAAGCTCAAGCTCAGTCCTGTCGAGACCAAAGCGACCCGCGGATGAGAGCGCGCATCCGATGCAAGTACCAAAGCGTACAGTCATGTCTCAGGAGCGCAGCGGCGGGCGGCGCGACGAGGACGACCGGGTGCTCAGCGCCAATGGACTGGCAGCAGTGTCCGTGTCGATCGTCTTCTCGAACGAGACTGCGCCTGAATCCATGCAGAGTAGTGGCATGCCAAGACAGCAGGCATTGTCGCACATCCAAGGAAGGCTCGAGTCGGGCGGGCGGCTGCTGTTTGGCGAGCGTGGATTGCAATTGCTGCTTGAAACGCCGAGTTTCTCGGCCATTCGCGCAGACGTGTGCGCTCAGCTGCAGCGGTACGCACACGGTCAAGCAGTAGGATGGCTCCGCCGGCGGGAAGCTCCGTCCACCTTTGACAGCGAGCGATTGTCCCGCATCCGCGATGAGGAAGACAACTTTCAGCTGTGGGAGTTTCCTTACGCGTGTCTCCGTCGCGTCAGAGTGCCGACAAACAGCAAGTTTATTCAAATCAACCTGAACTCGAACATCTGGAGAGACATGCAGCGTACTCCCGACAGCGCAGCGCTCCCATTACTTCCAAATTGGCTGATTGTGGAGCTGCCCGTCGCAACGAGCGAGTTGAACGCTTCCGAGCTGAAAGACACGCTCTTAGACAAGCTTGTGGCCTCGAGGACTAGCGTTCAAGCACACGCGCTGCTGGAAGTTGAATGCGGCAGCGTCGAGCTTTCGATTCCTAGAAACTTTCAAACATCGTTGTCTGGCATCCCGCCAGCCCGCACCGTCGGCCAACGCCAGGTGGACTCTACTTCAACAAACACACCTAGTCTGCTCAGCATTGTCCCCAAAACGCCTCCATCGAGGGTGGTTGCTTCCCTCGACATGTTCAACACACCCTCGCCGACTTCCAGCAGCAACTCATTGCTGCATTCTAGTAGCCATGTTTCCGGGGCCGCCACGTCGTCGCGAGCTGCCCACCGCACCGAGTCGGCATTTGCGAAGTCCTTTTACGAATCGGCAGGAACGCTGCGAAGTGGTCGGTCTCGGAGCTCGAGTCTTCCAAGTCGGCCTGGCCGGCGTTTCTCCGAAGTGGTAGACTTGAGTGATATCTCGCCTAGTAAGGATGGCTCTGAGGACGCCGTCGAAATCGTGACGCCAGCCAGCGCCAGGGACTTGACGTTTGAGTTTGAGTCGCAGCTTTCCAGGTTTGTAACGTGAACACTGCAGTGGATTTTGGGGATGCTCGTGATTTTTTTTTATTTGTGGTGAATTGGCGTGAAGGATCTGACTGCTCACAAACCAATTTGCTACATTGCGGAAACAAAAACCAGGCCATTTCTCTACGCACCGGCCCCAAAAGTTAACCTGCTCATCACCAACGCCGACTTGGCACGATTGAAGTCTGGCGAGTTTCTGAACGATGTCATTCTGCAGTTTTACTTGTGGTAGGCGCATTGAAGCATGGGGTCTGTGGACCAGCAGCTCGTTGCGCTCATCTGTACATGTCTGTGCACAAGGTACATCGAGTATTCTCTCCTATCCGAGGCGCAGCGCGCACGATGGCACGTCTTTAGCTCGTACTTTTACTTGAAGCTGACGACACAGCGAACCGATAAATCGCCCGCGCGGTACGTGCTGCGTCTAACACGAGCCGATGGGGGCGAGGGTTTGGGGAAACCAGGTTTGGACGTCGCTGTGTTGCTGAATGCCGTGTTTTGACTACTCAGACTCTCCGCCGACGAGAAGGCCAAACTCCAGTACGAGAATGTAAAGTCGTGGACTCGAGACGTGGACATCTTTTCCAAAGACTTTGTGGCCGTGCCCGTGAATGAAAAGTACGTCAGGGGGTGTGTGCTGTTGTCTTGGTTTTCCATCTTTCCCCCCCCCCCTTCCGCTCATCTCACTCGATGATTCGCTTTGGCCGCGTTTTTTTTCCCGTAGTGCACATTGGTACTTGATTGTAATATGCTTTGCCGGGCAGTATGCACAAGCACAAAGCGTGGAGAATCCGTCGGAGGAGGTCGTCGCTTCGGACGATGTGTTTGAAGACACCAAGGCGGCCAATCTCGCACCAACGTACGGCACACCTTCCTTGAAGTGCGAGAATGCAAGAGATTGGGGCGATGTTGGTTTTTTTCTTCTTGGAAGGCCAACCCGTTGCTGTTTGCTGTTTGTTGGTGCTTTTTGCTGTTCTGCTGCTTTTTTGGTTGCCGTTCGCGCAGCACACCTCGAATTATCGTCATGGATTCGCTTGGCGCCCAGAGAGCCCATGCCTCGCCCGTTAAATTGATCAAGCGGTAGGTATTTTCGCCGATGCAAACGTGTTGATTGCACTACTTATTTTTGTTTACATGTCTTGACGATTCGATTTTGGACTTTGCTTGCTTTCCGTGTTCGCTTTTTCTCACAGTTACCTGACTCTCGAATGGGCCAACAAGCGTCCAAACGAACCCGCAGTGTCCTTTGACAAAATGCCGCTGGTCAAGCCTCAGGTTGGATTTGGGTTGGATGTTGCTCAGTTGATACGTTCGCTGCAAACCCCCCCCCCTTGTTTTTTTTTTGTTCTTTTGCGCAGATTCCCAAGCAAAACAACTATTGCGATTGCGGCGTGTTTCTGCTGCACTACTTTGAGCTCTTTGCCACCAATCCAGACCGAGGGATGCGATGTGTAAGGTCATGCTTTTCTCGACAGGATGCTGTTCATCTTCTTGCTTTGCGGGACGTGTACATTGACTGTTGCTTTGTCCTCTCAATAATTGATGAGTGCAGGACAAGGATTGGTTTGCAGCGACAGACGTCTCGGGCAAGCGCCCGGCCATTCGCGGCCTCATTCTATCGCTCGCTGAAGCCCAGCAGCACGACGAGCAAAAGCGATCGCCGTCACCAAGGGACCACGAGGATGAGTCTTCCACGCTAGAAGCAGCAGATGACAACCGTCGCGTCATGGAGGGTGGCACCGTCGACAACAACAGCGACGCGCCGTTGGAGACACCACCCTCCGACCCCTCGGCCTCGGACTCCATCACCCTCCTCAAGCAGGACCAGGACCAGGACCAGGACCAGGACCAAGACAGTGTTTACAACGTGCTCAGCTCTGCTTCTGCATGAACTCATGGCAACTGACTCATTTCAGCATCAGCACCTTGACAACCGCGTCGCAACAAATTCCTCCCTATTTTTTTGTTTTTGTTTTTGTTTTGTTTTTGTTTTGTCGTGATTTTGATGATGAGGCTCATGTAATTTTTTAAAAATCTTGTACCAATAATACCATATGATTACTTTTTTCTTTTTTTTTTATTGGAGCAGGCTGCTGCCTTTTGTGTTTGATGCGACGAGATCTCAGGGGTTCTGTTGTTTTGGGCTGGTTAGATCGAAACTCGCACTTTGACATTTCCCCCCCCCCCTCAGAGCCCACGCGTGCAGCCCTTTTTTGACATTGACGAGCCCCTTTTTTTCTTGTTTTGCTTTCTTTCTCTGATGTCATCTAGATTCAAATGGACTGACTCCGCCCTCTTTTCCCCATTCAAAGTCGTCTTGCTCGCTCGCTGTCCTGCTCCATTCCCGCGCCGACGGGTTCTGCTGTTCTCCGTTTGCCATTCAACAAGTTGTGGACAACACCAGCATCCGTGGAGGTAAAGCTGAAGCAACTCGCGCGACAGATTTTAAAAAAACAAAAAAACAGAAAAAAAAGAAGCCTCCGCAGTTCGTGGGCGATGCCAGCACGCGCACGCCCCGCACACACACACACACGAGTCGGGGACCTGCCGCACAAAAAAAGCAACAAGCATTGCGAGCACATCCACCCGTCCTTCGAACACTGCAACATCGACCAGAGCCAAAAGGCGTACATGTGCAGTGCACGAGTGCATCATCATCATCATCCTTAAAGTCCAACCAAAGTGCGACGGATTTTTTTTTTTTTTTTTTTTGATTCGAATGATTTTGTATTATTTGACAACGGCTTTTTGTCGCGTAACTCAATAGCGAAGCCAACAGGCAATGAGAAGCAACAACAACAACAACAAGAGGGCACCGGCGTATCACTCCAAGATGAGTGTAGCCGTGCCTTTTCAGAGGCGGAGACAAACAGGCTCTATCAGCCAGTGATAGAAAAGCAGGGGAAGCAAAATTGAAACGATGGCGAAAAAAAAAAAAAAAAAACAATCCAAGAAAAAAAATATCAAAAAAATAGTGTGCTTGTTCCGAGGGTTAGAGCAGCAGTGCGAGGCAGCCGTACTCGTCGGAGAGCTCGTCCTGGTACTCGTCGAGAAGGGTGCGGATGGCACTTGGGTCGGACAGCAGGCTCTCGAGCTCGTCAATGAACGCGGGGTCGGCGAGGCACTCGTCAATGTCGTCGTAAATTTCGGGGTCAATTTCGGCGAGTTGCTGCACGAGCGGACAGCTGAAGACAGCCAAACGGAGCGCAGAGCAGTCGCTCGACAGCTCCTGGAACAGCGGCGAGCTCAGCGCCTTGTCCAGCGCAATTGGCTCGATGGGTTGCACAACAATCGACCGCGGGCGGGGCGAGCGGGGCATTTGCATGGTCAGAGTTTCCATGGTTTGTGTTAACAAGAGTGTTGAAATTTTGAAGAGTGACCTGAGCGAAACAATTAAATGGCGCTTTTAAAACCCCAAACGAACATTCGCTTGTTATTATTTGTTTGTGTACATGTCGAAAATTGTCTCTGTTGAACACAAACAAAACAAAGCAACAAAGAGCCGCGCTGGTTGGAAAGACAAGCGGGCTTTTGGAGCTTGACGCGAGTCGTGAGTGTTCTGAGGAAGACCGTGATGTTTTCGTAGTGCGGACGGTCGAGCGGCACTGAGCCCAAAAGCTCGTGCCACACACAAAAGAGTGCGACATCTGGATTGATGCTGTCAAAAACAAAATGCCAAAATCTCGCACCACATCTACGGGAAAGCAAGCAGTGTCAGAACAAAAGCGAACGAAAACGCCAAGGCAGCTTGGCTTGCACAGGGGGGGGGGGTCGCGCAGTCGTCTCCACTGCCCTTTTTTTTTTTGTATTAAGTTTATTGGGAGGAGAGAGTGGAAAAGCATCAAAATGCTCAAAAACCACGGAGAAAGGAGCGGGAGCATGGACATGGGTGTAAGGAGCTTGGAGACACAAAATTGGCAGAGAGCCATGTCTGGTCATATGACATAGCATTAGCGAACCTGTATGCTCGTGCACTACAGGCCTTGGGAAATTTATATCCATTGAAGAAGGGCGGGAAGCGACGATGTCGGTTTGTGGTTAGTTCGGTTCTCCAGCGGTTTCAAAGTTGGTTCCGCGAACGGCTGACGCGCCGAGGCGCGTCTAGAAATGCCTGTGGGTCGCAACTAGCAACCTGAAATAGCCAAACCAACAACATGACATAGCGAGTGTGTCGCGGCGGGGAGGTGATCAGTGTGAAGCATAAAGCTTCGTCCGAAAGTCAATTCGAGTTGCGGTTCCAGTGATTCGCGAGGGTTCCATGAAGCGGACAAACGCAACTGCGTGTCCAGAAGGTGCTTGTGGGACGCGCAGCATGAACCAAGCTGAAACAGACAACAGCAAATGACTCGTCATCGAAATGACGCGGAGAGGAGGGGGGGGGGGAGAAATGTTGGTGAAGAGGGCTGGAAGGTATTACCAGGAGTCGTCCCAAATTGCAATGCAATTTTTCAACCAACAAAAGAAGACTCCCACTGCCCTCAATGTGTTGCACTCACGCGCGGCATGGAAGAAGCAGAGTGAGTGCGTGGTGGGTTGGCAGTTCTTTTGAAATAGAGTTGGTTTGTTTACAAAATCTGCACCAAAAAACGCCCTTTTTTAAAGTAAGGTGTTTGTTTTCTTGTGTTTACTCGCCATTCAAGCAGCGAAACGAAAGCGAGCGAGCGAGGAGCGAGAGATGGACCGCGAGGACAAGCACAGCAATGGCCCCCGCAAGTCACTCTTCAAGTCTGCAATGAGCGATTGGCAGAGTGGGCATGGAGCGATGGCGAGCGTGGGGAAGGCGTGGGCTGTTTTGCGCGTGAGACTTAAAAATTCGACCTTATTGTTTCGGGTCATGAAAACGCGAATTAGGAAACAACCGCAACCAAATAAAGTCGCTGGCAACCACGAAATGGTGGAGCTTTTAGGTCGAATCTGAACAAATAGTGCACGAGGCGCAGGAGGCTTGGTAAGGTCCTTTTGGGTTATGAGCGTGTGCTTTCAGCTTCACGAGCTCGAGCAGACAAAAAACAATGGTTGTCCCCCCGAGCCTTAAATGACTTGACTCTGGAAGTAGACTTTTGACGTTTTGTCGTAGATCTGAGGAGTTGGTTGAAGCCAACAAGGCAGGTGATCGAGAATCGAGAGTCGAATCACCCCGAGTGCATCGGGGACCATTGTCGCGCGCAGGTTGCCAATTTCTCCCTCGCTCGCGATGCGATACAGTACAAAAAGACCGATTGGCGATTCATCGATGGAGCTAATTTGCCTCGTTTAGGAAGACGATCTGAGATTTGTTGACGGGATTGTGAGATTGAGCAATGTCGATGGCTCTCCATCCAGATTTGAGCCCAACGGAAAAAGTGTTTAGTGTACCTCAAACAGATGTGTGATGGATTCACTCGATGTCATCACGCTAGCGCATCTGCTCCTAAGCTGTGGAGTGACGAATCAAGAACGCAATGTGACTTGCGCGAGCGACCAACCAACTCGTTCTCATCATAAAGGACAGCCAGCACCTTCATTCCCACCACTCAACCACCGACCAACCAACAGCAGGAAACCACCCAAAACGCTCTGCACAACCCCAGCATGAAAAGAAGAAAGAGAAAAAGATCAAAACCGAAAACCAATGGGGTCGAATTGCAAATCCAACAACAATACACAAAACAACACTAGAAATACACCTCTTTGAGACTATTGACGCGCATTGGGAGCTGTGCCTGGAGCCGCTGCGAGCGTCACGCGGGCCTTACGAGCAGGGCGAGCAGGTGCCTGCTCCCCAGCGGGTGCAGGCTTGGGGCGTCGCGATCTGTAAGAGTCCTCGACCGACCGCAGCAGGGTAGTCGGCCGTGAGCCTGGGACGTTCTTGAGCACTGCGAATGGCTGAGCGAGGGCTTGCTGTGCGCGCTCAATCTCGAACGGCGCTGGCAGCTGCTTGTCGGGCAGCAGTTTCAGCATGGACATTTTGCGTGTCATGGCCAGAATAGCGCGGTAAATGTCAGAGTGATACTTGATGCGCTTTGCTTGTGCCTCGGACACGGGGTTGGCGACTTTGCCATCTGCAGCAGAACAGGATTGAAAAAGGAGTTGAGAGATCAGTATCAGAATAAAACAAGACAAAACAAAATTTCGCTACGGAATGGTGAAGATCAAGCTATGTTTTTGTTCATTTTTTTTTTGTTACCTGTGCTCGTCCAGTCTGGTCCGTCGGTGAGCACTCCAAACTCGTTTCCACTGCGCGACATGCCAAGACTGTTGGTTTTTTGTTACATGCACAACACAGCAAACAGGCAGTTTCAAAGCGTGAGTTTCGCTGGGAGTGAACGAGACAATCCCAGCCACGAGGAAAAGAGCAGTGAAGAGCAGGGGGGAGGGACAGCACGCTGGGCCAGACCTTAGTCGGACATTGCGACCAGCACTGGAAGCAGCAGAGAGATGGATGTGGCGAGCGGCGGCGGCGGACGCAGGGGCGCAGGCCGAGGCTGAGGCTGAGCAGGCCAAGCGAACGGCAGCAAAACGCATTGGCAATGGAAAAGCAAAGGACGACTGTGTGTCGAGTCAGAGTCTAAGTTATCAGGATCAGGAACAATGCAGAAGTGTGTCGGATATGCAAAAACAAGAGAATCGAAAACAAGTGAGGATTCTGCTGTAAAGATATTGGAGAGCAAGGAAGGAGAGGTGATTTGTGCATGGACCTTGCTCACTCACATTGTAACTTGACCTGGAACAAACCACAACGGAAGTGTATAGAATGGGCTGCGGAAGTATCGTATTACTAGCGAGCTATAGTAGTGAAGAATGAGCTCATCATCCCAGGTTGTAACACGAGCTTTTCAATGTCCAATTCGCACCTTTATGGCAAAACTCAAAAGGCACTCAATCCCATGCAAGAACAAACAACAAAGGCACATGGCTCCACGTCTTGCGAGGAAAAAAACCCCGTTCAAGCATCCAGGCGTGCCTTCTTGTTGCCGGCATCTTCCGCTCCTTCGTCATCCTCGTTTTGGCGCTTCTGCGTGGCGACAGGTGCACTGCTGCTACTGCTACCAGACGCCACATTTGCACTGGACACAGCTGTAGGGGCAACCTTTCGTCGGACTTGCAGCGTGTTGACAACAGCAGCGGCCGCAGCAGCGGCACTAGAGCTTGAAGAACCTGCGAGGGACAAGCTGGCCGCAACATCTTCAGCAGTGCCAAACCCAAGGCTGGCAGCGAGATTGCGCTTCTCTGCCACAGCAGCGCCAGCGGCAGATACCGGCGCGGGAGCACTGCTGCTGCTGCTCGTCGCACCGAGTTGATGCTTGATCATTTCAAATTGACCGGCTCGGAAGGCCTCGCCCTCTTCGTTGATTTCGGCAATCTAATCCAAAGACAAGAACGAAACCAGATTCATGATAAAACTCAGTAAACGCACAACAAAAAAAACACAACAAAAGAACAACAAACAAAAGAGCGGTTCCAAGCAACACCTGAAAACCCCAACTCACCTTGGATCGAATGTCGGGAATCAACTCTGTCAAGTCATTAATCTCTTGGTCAATCTCAGCTTGTGTGGCCGGGAGCGGAGACATGATCTTGGACGCTTCGTTGGCGGCCGACAAGGTAGGCGCGGTGGCATCGCGCAGCGCCTCGCCCGAGCGAAGGTAGCGCAAACGCATGTTCATCACCGTCATGGCACGCTGAAGGCTGTCGACGGATTCATTGTAATGGCGGCCCAATTGATACGCGATCGCCATTGTGAAGAGGAGTTCGGCAATGGAACGGTCGTGAGCTGGCAAAATGCTCTCGCGGATGTGAAGGCACTCTTTAAAGTCGGTGAACGCCTGGTCAAACTGTTCAGATTCGACGCTGTGCTCGCCCAAGCGCGCATGCACCGAAGCCAAGGCAAGACGCGCCTTCAGGCTGGACTGGCGGGCAAAAATAACACGCGCGCACTCCAAGTTTTCCCACGCCAGCTGCAAATTGTCGACGTCTTCATCGTCTGCTGGAGCGTTTTCGTCGTCCTGTCCCTGCTCGTTGCCGTCGTCATCATTCTCTTGATCTTGGTTGGCTGCTTTCCCTGTAAATCGAGTTCTCTAGGAGTTAGATCGGGGGCCAACCACGACACTACCTGTGCCACCATCTCCAGCCACCACCACCACCACCACCACCATCAACTCTCCTCGTCAGTGACATAGAATGGCTGCTCGAGCACCCACTGCGCCACTTCGGGGAAAAAGCCTGAACAAACCAAAATCAAAAAATCAAGCCTCACCTTTGCCCTTGCTGGAGGCGGCTGCGGCTTCGGCATCGTCATCGTCCTCATCGTTGTCATCATCACTGTCGTCGTCTGACTCGTTCTTGCTGGCGGAAGCGTTGTCGGGACGCTCAAAGACTTGCGATTCAGCGCGCGCTGCAGCCAGCAACGCACTGCCGTACTGGAAGAATGGCTCGCCGCACTCGTCCGCGAGTTCGCCATAGAGAACGACGCTTGTCTCGACGGCTTCTTGGAAGCAGTCGACGGCCAGCAGGTACTCTTCGCAGAGCATCTGGCGACGTCCTTGCTGCATTCGCTCGGCAATGAGCTCTTGCGGGGTTGCGTGCTGATCGGCCATCTCGGCGGCCATCTGCGCATCAAGATCCACTTGACTTGAACTCGAGCCTGAAGCCGCAGCGACAGAAGACGACGACGAGGAGGAGGAAGAGGAGGAAGCGGCGCCAAGCGACGAGGAATCGCCGTTTTGGCGGGAAACTCCCGCGCCACCATCGACGCTGTTGCTGCTGCTGCTGTTGCTGCCCGCGGCAGTGGTCGGCTCGATCGATGCGGCCGATTTAACATTCACTGGCGTAATGGTGCTACCATCGGCGGCGGAAGAGCTCTCGTTCGACATTTGCTTTTCGGGGATTTTGGCTTTTTGCGCGCGCTTTGTACTTTTTGGCGGGAAAACCGAGTGTTTTTGGGTTTTTGAACAACGACTGCGCTTCTCTCGCTTATGGTTGATAGAAGACGTTTGCGAATGTGTCTCGTTATTCAAACGCGACGCTTGGTTACCGCTTGTGCTTCACTCTTTGTTTTTCTGCGTGCTCGACACTTGAGCTTTCCTTCGACTCAATCCCAAACTAAATCCATACTACTGTACTTACTTTCATCATCCTCTTCTTAACTTCTGAGACACTGCACTGAAAATCAAAACATGTCAATTTCGGCCATTTCTCGGTGCGTTTTCCGTTACCCGGCATTTCGCTCCTTTGCTTCTCAGAGCAACGGTCGCCTCGCAGCTCTATCGAATGCTGCTGCTGCCACCAAAGCAGTGATCGCAGGTCGTGGTGGTCCCAATAGAATGGCTGAATTCTCTGAATCCAGCAGCCGCTCATTCGCTTCTCTGTCATTCTCAGCATTCGCCCAAAAGAAGACCATGTCGGACGAGCAGGCCAAAGCGATCGCCGCAGCGCAGCAGCCGCGCCAAGCAGACACCATCTTTGGCAAGATTGCTCGCAAGGAGATTCCCGCCCAGATTGTGTTTGAGGACGACCAGGTAAACAACGAGCGACGACGATACGGAGAGAAAAAGAGAGAGAGAGAGAGAGAGATAGAGAGCGAGAAGACCAACTCTAATGGTTTAAAAGTGCATCATTTTGCATACGCTTGCTCACTGCGGTCGCTAACAAAATGGTACCTTTGCTCGACTTTCCCTCCTTCGATTCCTTCTTTCCTCACTCGCTTCCGTTCGGTCTACGCTGCCCCCCCGTGGGTGCCTTCCTCACCCAACCCGCGTTTCCATGCGTGCGGCGCTCGTTACTCTCTCAACCCTGAAACGCGCTCGATTCTGACGCCGAACTCAGGCACTCGCCTTCCGGTAAGCCAAACAAGCCGGTTTGCAATGCAACCCCAGCAAAAAAAAAAAAAAAAAAAAAAAAAAAAAAAAAAAAAAAAAAAAACCTCAGAGTTTGGCTCAGAGTTTCGAAAATCCACTGCTGCTCACCTTTCAATCACTCTCGTTACAAACCGGTGGAATTTCGTCATAGTGACGTGAGCCCGACTGCTCCGACACACATTCTCATCATCCCCAAGAAGCCGATTGCCACCATTGCCGATTCCACCGACGAAGATGAGCAGGTACTGGCAAATATCTGGCAAATATCGTTCAATGTGGCTTTTTGGCTATCGTGGGTTTGTTGTGATTCTGAGGCCTTTTTTGTTTTTCACGTCGCTCGAAAATTTAACGACAGCTTCTTGGCCACCTTCTCGTCGTCGCGCGCAAGGTCGCCGAGCAGGAGAAACTCGCTCGCGGCTATCGTATTGTCATCAACAATGGCGCCGATGGAGGTCAGTCTTCTCCGATTCCATCACCCCTTTTACAACTCGTCCTCTCACTTTCACTCTCCATCTCCCTACAGGCCAAAGCGTCTACCACCTGCACGTGCACCTTATCGGAGGCAAGTCGCTCGGCTGGCCTCCGTTTGCCAACTAGATATCTCTGCGCTCTCTGTGTGCTCCCTGTTTATGAGCGCTTGCTTGCGATGATGAGAGTTTTTCAAAGCCTTCATTGTGATTGACTGTTCAGTACAATTCCAAATCATCGTCATCATCAATCAATCAATCAATCAAAACCCCCTTTTCATGAAACAACAAAAGAACTGTACGTGGAATACCACGAAATGGCGGCAACATAGCTGGGAAGGAGTCGAACGATGGCTCCAGCGACGACCGTCGTCTCCTCGAGGTAGTGGCTGGCTGCGGCAATGGCGAGCTGCGCACTTGCATCACTGAGCTCGACAGTCACATCCCAGCTCGTCAGACCTGGAGAACCAGTGGCCAGGAAGATAAAGTACGAACCCTCGCTGTCGGCAAAATGCACAGGAACGCTTTGGTTGAGGAACGACCAGGCCGTGATGCTCGGCAGCGCGCTTTCGGGCGCCGTCGATGGGCGGACTGCTTGGAGATACAGTGTCATGTGGTCGGGTCCCGTCACCTGAAACGAGACTGTGCGCCGACGAGTGGCCTCATCCACCTTGCTCTCTTTCACTGTCACCTGGTGATCGAGAAAACGGTGTGTGGCGCTCTTGGTGGCGGCTTCGGCAGCCACTTGCTCCTTGGTGAGGAGCCGCTGGCGAACGACATCCGCATGGATGGCGAAAGTGTTGGTCACAAGCTCGCGCACTGGCAAATACCACGGCAGGCCTCCGTAGACAAAGTCGACATTCTGCGGAATGGTGACTTGGTGCGCGGCCACTTCAAACATGTCGCGATGCACCTGCCGTTGCTGTGGGTTGTCGGGGCGGAAGGGCTTCAACACGGGCAGCTCATGGCCCGTGAGTTTGTGCAAGAGGGACGGTTGGAACGGGGTCAGCGGATACAGGCCAGTGGCATCGAATGGAATCAACCAAAGCTTGTCATCCTCGCTGACGAGGCTGCCGGTGGCATCGTGCATGCGACGCTGGACATGCTGGACAAAGAGGCGCTTGGGGTGCTGCTCGTGATACGGGTGGCAGAGCGTGCACGCGGCAACAACAGCCACCACAGTCACAACCCACAAGGCCCGCTCCACGCGGCGAGGGTGGGAAAACCCATGCACAACGCTGATCAAGGAGATGGAGAGCCAGCCGACAAACAGGCCGGCCAATCCGCCAATAAAGGCGTCGCCAGGCAACACGGATCCACTGCGCCCGGTGATGGGAATGAAAAACTCAAACAGCTCAATAATCAAGTGCGACGAGACGAGGGCAGCCAAAGAGTAGCCGAGCAGACGGGCCAGCCAAACCAGCGTGTCTGCAGCCGAGACTTGCCGGGGCGCAGAGGACGTGGAGGCGACGCGCGCGCGTACCAACATGGCGCCCACAAGACGGCCTGCCACAGGGAAGACGACCCAAAACAAGAGAAGATAGGCGCTGCCCAGTCCGAGCGCAGTCATCAGGGACAGCACGGCGACGTGGATGGTGGTGGCGCCCATAAAGGTCTCCAACTCGAGTTCTGCAGCCCCTACCACCTTGCCTCGCGCCGAGCCCCTCGAAAGATGCGTCCGAATGAGCGTGGCGAGCGCTGGAGCCACATACAGGCCAGACACCATCGCGGGGCTGCCGTAGTAGGTCATTGGCAAACCCAGGCCGAAAGCGAGCACAACGCCAATCAAGCTGGGGACCAGAGTCGCCATGCCGAGTGCTCGGAAATGCGTGCCGACACTGTACAGGATGTCAGAGCGGCGGCCACTGGCGGAGCGCTTCCACAAGACCAGACAGACAATGGCAATGAATGCGGTCGCTCCGTTCAACGCCACGCCCAGCGAATGCGAGTAGACGACCGCAAAGAGGCCAAGAATGTCGAAAAATACCGGCACAACGTCAGCTTCGGCTTGAATGGCAGCCATCAGTGGGGAGACAGTGGTCGAGGATGCAGATTCGCCAACAACATCCCCGTTGTAGTGCAGCAAGTCGAGCAACGTGGCCAACACGTTCTCGCCGCAACGTTGGATGCAGCCTTCCGTGACATGTGCCTCGTCATCCAAGGCTGTGTGGTAGACGTAGCCGTTCGCGGTGCGCGCCATGTCCAGGCCGGGAATGTTGCCGAAATCGCGATACACGCGAAAGTCCGTGTCCGAGGGCACAACACCGCTTTGGAAGATTTCTTGGCCAATGACCGAGGCGTAAGGGTATGGGCTGGCGCGGACATAGGCACGCGCGAGCCACGCGTTCTTGGGTCCAGTTTGGAAGACAAGCTCGCGCCCGCCCGCGCCTGCTGCCTCCATGTTCAAGAACGCGACGATGGTCTTTGCCCACGGGTGTTGGGTGATAAAGCCATGGGCCGCTTGCAAGATGGTCTCTTCTGCGCCGTTGAAAATGAAAATGATGGCGTTGTGGCGCGGCGGGGACGGCAGCGCGCAGAGATTGGACGCCAACTCCATCGCAGTCGCAATGCTCACGGCATCGTCCGAAGCGCCCACCGTGCCCAGCGACGAGTCAAAGTGCGCCGACACGAGGAAGGCGCTGTCCCGCGACGCTGGGCGGGATTTGGACGAAATCCGCATGAGCACGTTCGTCACGTTCTGGTAGGCGTTGGTAAACCCGCCGAGGAAGGCCAGCGGGAAGACTCCAGACGGCCGCTGCACCTCAATTTCAACGAGGAAATCCTCCTTGGCATCCGCGGTTGCCTTCATGCTTGCAAGTTGATCCAGAATGTACTTTGGTGTGAGTTCCTCGTTTGCCCGTGTTCCGACGGTTCTGATGCAAGCAGAGAGTCGAGGTCAACAAACAGGGGATACAAGCTCCATAATATTTGCAACAACAAACGACATACCGAACTCCAAACGACGTGATTGCGTGCAGATGTTGCCTTGCTCGAGCTTCTGAGAAATCGCTTGCTGGAATCGCCGCTGACTGTCCAGCACAAGAATGTCATTTTGTTGTTTTGTTTTAATCCGAAAATCCAATCCAATCGACCAATACGTGACTTTTTTTTTTGCACAACCATATAGTACAGCTGCACAATGCTTCGAAGTGAAGCCTTGTATGATTGTATGGGGTTGTCGGAATATTGTGCAAAGTGGATTGCGACGGCTTGGGACTTTCCCGTCACGCATCGTCTGAATCTGCTTACTTTGGGCTCAGGCAGACGCGTGTACGTCCATCCTCCAATGGCCGTCACGACAAACAGCATGGCCAGAACTAGGAACGGCGACACGGCGGCAATGGCGGGAAGCCGCTGATGATGCTCGGCTGCGTTCGTGCGATTCCCCTTCTCACCACGCGGATCATCGGACTTGGACGATGCGTCCTGATTGCCCAGTGACGGTCCGGTGTTGGTTGCTGCTGTGGCCGGCGCGCGATGGCGCAGCGACGCGGCAGACACGGACATTTTTTTTTTTTTTTTTTGAAGAACGCGAGCAGCGGTAAGAAACAAAAGGACTGCCTTCATTCATTCATTGCAGAATGGAATTGCCTCAGCATTGGAACACGTCTGACACGAAGCTCGACAGCAGAACAGCAAGGGTTGGAAGAGATCGAGGAACAAAGAAAGTGGAGCTTCAAGGACGCAACGCATCGGATTCTCTGATCAAAAGGCCCTCCTTGAAAAATAACCAAAGCATCTGCAGATCTCTGTCATTGTCTACTTGTTTGCACTTTCTGTTGGTTTTTTCTGTTTCTGAGCAACGTTCAAACCCCCCCCCCTTTCCGGGACAGCTCACTCTTACATTTTTTCCATTGGAGCTTGAATGGACCCCGTGTTTGACTGGGACGCCCACCGCGCGGCTGCAAACGCTGCGCCCGAGCCGACCGTCCCCTGCAAGGTCTTCTTCCGCGCCGTCGTCATGGCGGCCATGGCGCGCGGCCAGGAGTCGATGGCAGCCGTCTCGGAGGCAGTCAAGGCGCAAGTGGTGAGGATTTCCCGCGCTTTTTTTTTTTTTTTTTTTTTCCTCTTGTGTTCTCTTCCATTGCCAGCTCTATTCTTGCTGTCCTTTGCTTCAAACAACGCAATAGCGCAATAGGGCAAAGCAGCAAAGGGGGGTTACACTTGGGGGTCTGTTCGACCTCCCGCTGTTTCCACTTGTGCTCCTGTTTCTACTACTTCTGCTGCTGCTTGCTCTGTGTGTCTCGTTGTGTTGTATGCGTTGTCGGTCTTCCCGCCTTCCCCCTTCTCGTCCACGAGGAAAACGAACGACGAAGACGTCCGCCACACGTTTTCGCCCCCCTTTCTCGCCTGCCTCTCTCTCTCCCACTCTCTGTCTGTCTCTCTCTCTCTCTCTGGCTCTGGCTCTTGTTTGCCATCTTCCCTTTTGCTTACCACCCCCGCTTGTTCGCGTCGTCGCACCAATCTCAGAATCTTTTCTCCAATGCAAAACCCAGCCAAAAAAAAACAAAAAAAAAAAACATTTGTTTGTCTCCGTTCGCTTGCTTCTCCATTGTGTCAGGCGAGGTAGAGCGAGAGGGGCAGGGGGACCTCGTCCCACCAGCGTCGCTGGCATTGGGTTTCACATGCACCCGTCCCCCTCCTTGCAGCCTGGTCCTCCAGCGACTGTCCCCCGCTGAGGACTTGCCTTTCCTTTGGCCAAAGCGCAATGCTTCGTTCAATGGCGAGATCGCGCTTTTTTTTTTTTTTTTTTCTGGATTGGTGTCCTCCTCTCTCTGTCTCTCTCTGTCTCTCTCGTTCCTTCTCCAGGGCTTGACTTGTCCCATCTTCAGTGATTCAGTGATTCAGTGAGGTGCATCGACGGAATGAGCTGCAAACCTGGTTGAAGGCGACGTTTGTCGTTGACAGTGGTTTTGTGCTGTCGTCTCCGCTGTCCGTTTCCCGCGCTTTTGTTTGGGGTGACTACCGTGTTCCCAGACCGCCCCGATTGTCAAAGGGGGGTTTTGAAATCAAGCACACTGCAATGCTCCTATTGCAGAAGATATGACAGGAGAGGGAAGGAAGGAACGAAGGTCAAAAGCTGCGTCCACTTGAACAGGCTTCACCCCTTTCGCACGTCCACTGTGCATTCACAACACTCTCAAACACACAAACCCTCAGAATCAGAAAGCAACGCGACAAGACAAGGATCACGATTGTGGAGACTTTTGAGTGCAAAGTCAATCTCACGCTCGTCATTCACAACAGAGTGGAAATTCATCACTGGAGGACTTCAAGTTTACACTGCAGACGCACCTGGGCCGACCCGTGCCGGACGACTTTCTGAGCGTGTACCGCATGGAGCTCTACCGCTTCCGGAACGTCTTGAAGGACAGCCAACGGGCGCAGCAGGCCCCCGTGCCCGAGGCACCCGTCGGCGTCATGCAGCAGTCGCAGAAGGACATTGCTCGCAACGAGGCGGCGCGCAAGCGCTACCTTGCGGCTGAAATCCGTCGCCGAAGGGTCGACATGGAGAGCGGAAACGCGGACGCCAGCACAAAGCAGCTGCAGATTGCCATCATTGCGGCGCTGGAGACAGAGTACCTGACGCTGCAGTCCAAGGCCAGTGGCCGTGCTAAGGGCGCTGATCTCGACACGGAGCAGAGTCGACAAATCATTTCGCAGCAGTCGCAAGCCATTCGTGGCCTGTTAGCTGGCAAGGATTCGAGCTCCCCGACTGACGCGACGCTCGCCCTCCAGCAGCAAAACAACGCGCAACTCCAGAAGCAGCTCCAGCAGCACCTCGAGCAGCAGACACAGCACCAGCTCGACATGCAAGAGGCACAAAAGCAGCAGTCTGCCACCGCCGCCCAGCAGCAGCAACAACAGCAACAGCAACAACTCTTGGCGCTCCGTGCACAAATCCAGCAACAACAGCAGATTTCGCAGCAGCAACAGCAGCAACAGCTGACGCAAGCCGCTGCCGCGGCATCCAACCCTGCGCAGCTGCAAGCACAGCTCAAATTGCTGATGAGCGGTGGCACGCCTCAAGTTGCGTCTCAACCACAAATGCAGCAGCTTCAGCAACAACAGCTTCAGCAGCAGCAGCAACAACAGCAGCAGCAACAGCAACAACAGCAGCTGGCTTTGCAAGCGCTCGCGCAGCAAAAGCAGCAACAGCAATTGCTTTTGCAACAGCAGCTGCAACAACAACAGCAACAACAACAGCAGCAGCAACAACAACAGCAACAGCAACAGCAACAACAGCAACAGCAACAGCAACAGCAAAACCTCCTTTTGCAGCAGCAGTTGGCTTTACAAAAGCAACAACAACAGCAGCAGCAACAACTGCTGTTGCAACAAAAGCTGCAGCAACAAGCGCAACAACAACAAGCGCAGCAACAGCCACAACAGCAACAGCAACAAGTCCCGTCGCTGGCCATGATCGACATGGTCAAGCAGATGAACGCACAAATGCAACCGGGAACGGCTGTCAATCAGTCGCAAATCCAGCAACAAGCACTCGCCTTGCAGCGCCATCTCCAGCAACAGCAACAACCGCAGGCTGGAGCAATGAACTTGACGCCGCAGCAGCGTATTCAGCAGCAAACCCTGGCCGTGCAGCAGCAAATGCAGCAACAGATGATGCAACAAGCAGGCTATCCCCCGAAGGCTGCTGCTGCAACTTTTGGCGGCATTCCTGGTGCTGGCGTGATGGACTCTGGCAGTAATGGCAGCCCCAGTGGCCGCGGCCGTGGACGCGGCTCTGGCTCGCCGAAAACTCCGGGACGTGGCCGAGGGCGTGGTCGCGGGCGAGGTCGTGGGCGCGACATGGATTCGGACGAATCCGACGAAGGCGACTTTGTCCCGAACGGTCGTCCAGGTCGTGGCCGAGGCCGCGGCCGGCCGCGCAAGCCGCGCGACGATGATGACGACGAGGAAGAAGAGGAGGAGGCCGATGTCATGTCCGACGAAGAGGAGCTCGAGCTGAACAACAGCGGCGGCATTGCCGCGCGTCGCCGAAAACACGGCGGCGACAGCGCGCCCGCCTTCACATCCTCTGGTCGCCAGACCCGCACTGTGCGCTACGACGAAGCCAACGACGAGTACGCCGAGTACGATTCGGACGACGACGGCAAGGCATCGCGCGGCGATGAAATGGCGGCCTTCCGACCCACCCAAGCCACCAACCCAGAGTGGGTCATTGAAAAGATCATGTGTCGCCGAGAGGTGCCTCTTGGCAAGGACGTGGATCATTCCGTCACCTCTGACACTGCCTACCACTCCTCGTCGACCCACGCCCTGCTCACCCATGCTCGCGGCGGCGCGGAAATCAAAGCCGAGCACGATCGCGAGGTGGCTGCGGCTGCGGCTGCCCAGCGCTCCGGTGCCAAGACCATGGTGCTCGAGTACCTGGTCAAGTACAAGGGCAGGTCATACCGTCACGCCAAGTGGGTCACTGAGGACGCGTTCGCGACCGGCGAGATGCGCCTCAAGACCATGTTCCAGCGCTTCCAAACAAAGTACATTCCCATCGACCCCGACGAGGCATTCAACCAAGACTACCTCGAAGTCGATCGCGTCATCGACCTCATCAAGCTGTACGACCAAGAGTCCAAGGAGCACCCGTTCGTGCTGGTCAAGTGGCGCGGTCTCGGCTACGACGAGTCCACCTGGGAGCCCGCGGCAACCGTCCCCATCCAAGACATTATCCGCTTCCAGAAGCGCTTCAAGTACACTGCGGACTGCAACGTCATGTTCCAGCGCACTGCGGTGGATCTCAAGCTGCTCGACGCCAAGGTGACGTTCGAGAACGGCAACACGTTGCGCTCCTACCAGTACGAGGGTGTCAACTGGCTCCGCTTTTGCTACTCGCAATGCCGGTCGTGCATTCTTGCCGACGAAATGGGCTTGGGCAAGACCGTCCAGTCCATCACCTTCCTCAAGTCGCTCAAGAATGCCACTGGCTCTGGCCCATTCCTTGTGATTGCTCCTCTGTCGACACTCCCCAACTGGCAGCGCGAGTTTGCCGAGTGGACGGACTTGAACGTGATTGTCTACCACGGCAAGCCGCTCGCGCGTCGTGTCATTTCCGAGTTTGAAATGTTTGACCGCGACAAGGCCGGCATGGGCAAGGCCAAGCTGGTGCAGCATCTCTCGTTTGATGCCATCTTGACAACGTACGAGTCGACGCTCCAAGGCGTGGACGATCTTGGCCGAATTCCGTGGAAGTGCGTCATTATCGACGAGGCACATCGCATGAAGAACGCCAAGGCGCGCCTGAGCGAGACGCTTCGTGCCTTCACCATCAACCACTCGGTCCTGCTGACTGGCACGCCCTTGCAAAACCACGTCGAGGAGCTGTGGTCGCTGCTCAACTTTTTGTCGCCACAAGACTACTCGTCCAAGAAGATGTTCTTGGAGCAGTTTGGCGATCTGAAGACGGAGCAGCAAGTGCTGGCCTTGCAAGGGTTGCTGCGCCCCATCATGCTGCGTCGTCTCAAGGGCGATGTCGAAAAGTCCATTGCGCCCAAGGAGGAGACCATCATTGAGGTCGAGCTGACGCCCATCCAGAAAAAGTACTACCAAGCCATTCTTGGCCGCAACTTTGAGTTCCTCGCGAAAGGCTGCAACAAGAACGACATGCCCAGCTTGATGAACATTGTCATGGAGCTGCGCAAGTGCTGCAACCACCCGTACCTCATTGGCGGCGCCGAGGAGAAGATTCTCGGCGAAATTTACGGCCCAAACTTTTACTCCACGTCCCCCGCCACGCTGCTCTTGACGCTCATCCAGGCCTCGGGCAAGCTTGTGCTGATTGACAAGCTGCTCAAGCGTCTTCGCGAGAATGGCCACAAGGTTTTGATCTTTTCGCAAATGGTCCGATGCCTGGACATTTTGCAAGACTACCTGACCGCCATGCAATACAAGTTTGAGCGCATCGATGGTGGCATCCGTGGCGAGGCCCGCCAGGCCGCCATTGATCGCTTCTCCAAGCCGGGATCCGATTCGTTCGTCTTTTTGCTCTGCACCCGCGCCGGCGGTGTCGGCATCAACTTGACGGCTGCAGACACGGTCATCATTTACGACTCCGACTGGAACCCGCAAAACGATCTGCAGGCGCAGGCGCGCTGCCATCGTATTGGTCAGACCAAGTCGGTCAAGATTTATCGCTTGCTCACGCGCAACTCGTACGAGCGCGAAATGTTCGACAAGGCTTCGATGAAGCTGGGTCTTGATCAGGCTGTCCTGCAGAACATCCAGAGCTCGGACAAGCCCACCTTCTCCAAGCAAGAGCTCGAGGATTTGCTCAAGAAGGGCGCCTATGGCGCGCTTCTGGACGACGAGAGTGCTGGCGCGTCCTTCTGCGACGAAGACATTGATCAGATTCTGTCTCGCCGCGCCCAGGTCGTTCGGCAGGATGACCAAGAGGTCAAGAACTCGTCTTTCGCCAAGGCCAGCTTTGTCTCTGTTCAAGGCGAAAACCTGGACATTGAAGATCCCGACTTTTGGGAAAAGTGGGCCAAGAAGGCCAACGTGGCCGGCACGGCCAAGAGCACCAAGTCGGGTACGACTGGCGAAGATGCTGCTCTCGCTGCGCTCGCTGGCGCCGGTCCACGTCAGCGTCGCCAAACGGCGCGCTTTGGACAAAAGCTTGGCGGATCTGGCTCGGACGACGAGTTTGATGGCGGGCGCGGTCGCGATGATGATGACGACGACCCGGACGCTGCTCCCACGCGTCACAACCCCGGCGGTACCCGACCAAAGGGCCAGGGCTTGCCCAAGGAGGCCAAGTGGACGCGCCAGCTCAGCTTCAAGTTTGAGCGCGCGCTCATGTCGTTTGGCTGGCATCGCTGGCGTGCCGTGTCGAGCATGACCAGCTTCCCAGGTCTGACGCCCGACGCCGCGTTCAACATGGCCAAGGCCGTGCTGCGCATTTGCGTGGATGCCCCCAAAAAGGACGACAAGGAGGAGGAAAAGATGAAGATGCTGGCCGACCGCCTGACCGCGTCCGTCGATCCTCTTGGCGTGGCCAAGGTGACACGCGCAGGCGAGGACCTCATCAAGAGCGGCGTCGTCAAGGACGAGATTTTCCGCAAGCACCTCGAGAAGCGCGCCACGCGGCTCATCACAACCCTGTCGTCCCTGCAGTTCTTCAACGAGACGGTGATTGGCGCCGAGCTGTCGCGCGAAATTTGCATTTTGGAAAAGTCTGTGCACGAGTGCTCGCTCCAGGTCCCGGATGTTGGCACCAGCGTCAAGCTGCCCAGTCCCACTTGGACCGCGCTGGACGACAAGTCGTTGCTGATGGGCGTGTACAAGCACGGCTGGACGAACATGGACCAAATTCGTGAAGACGACATGCTGTCCTTCAAGGGTCGCTTCCGCAAGCTCAGTGCCTCCGACCGCGATGCGATTGCCAGCAAGCTGGCAGGCGACACGCTCGCTAGTCTGAACAAGAATGGCGGCGGTCTGTCTGGCGCCGCTGCAGAAGACGGTGGCGAGAGCGAGGGCGAGTCCAAGCCCATGGAGACGGATGACAAGCCCCCCGCAGTAGTGAAGACTGAAGCTGGTAGTGGTGAGGAGGAGGAGCAAGCTACTCCAATGGCCACCGACGCGCCAGTCAAGTCTGCTGCTTCTTCCACCAGTGTCAAGAACGAGGTCAAGACCGAGGACGATGGAGCCGCTCCAATGGACACGTCTGCTGCTGCCGATGCCGATGCGGCTGCTCCTTCTACTGACGCTGCTGCTGCTGCTGCTGCTGATGCTGCTGATGGTGGCGCTCAGAACAATGCATTTGAGGGTGGATCGCAGCTCCCGCTTTGGCCGAGCATTGCCGACTTGCAGCTGCGCTACCGCCGCATTTGCCAGGCCATCCAGGACAACAACAACCGCAAGTTGCGTGACGAAAAGAAGGTGACCGACCGGCAAGAACGCCAAGATGCCATTGCTCAGAAAAAGCACGAGGCACAGTCCCGCTGGACCAAGCGCGAAGAGACGGACTTTGCCAAGGTCCTCAACCACTTTGGTCTCGAGACGACCGCGGATGGCAAGCGCCGCGACTGGACGCGCTTTATCGAGTACGCCAACCTCGGGCGCAAGACGGAGGCCATGATGGACGAGTACCTGCAGGACTACTTGCTCATGTGCCACTGCGTCATTGTGCTTGCTGGACACGAGCAAGCGAGCAAGGCTGGTGCCGACACCAGCATTGCCGTGGATGCCGCGACCGCCACCGCCTTTTTGGAAGGCTTCCGTGCCAAGGACAAGGAGGTCTTGTCGGAAGAGAAGGCCACGCGAACGCTCGAGCGAATTGCCCTGTTTGATTTGCTTCGCTTGCAAATTTTGCGCTTGCCCAACCTCGAAGCGCGCTTCCGCAGCATGAGTCAGCAGCTGTCCAAGCAATTCCCCGAGTGGTGGACGGAGCACTTGACGCGCGATCTGCTTGTGGGTGTCGCCAAGCACGGCGTGTATCGCACCGCCAAGATTGTTGCCGACCCCGAGCTCGGCTTTTTGGAAGTGATTCGCACTCGATTCGCCGATGCGCTCGCAGCTGCCGCAACCAAGCAAGAAGAGCATGCTGCGGCAGTCGCTGCTGCAGCCACGTCTGCACTCTCCGGTCTGACCAAGGTGGCTGCTCTCCCTGTGAGCTCTGTGACTTCTGCTCCTATGGACACGTCCACGAGTGCCGCATCGGAAGCGTCTGCGCCTGCGTCTGCTCCCAGCGCTGAAACGGACACTGCTACGTCTGCTGATGCTGCTGCTACAACCTCGGACGCGGCGGCGGCGGCGACTGCTCCTGCGGCTCACACGCCCGTGACCCCCGCTGCGCCCGTGAATGTGGCTGCCCTGGTGACGTCTTCCAACGATGACGAGCGTGTCACGATTGATGGCACGCCCGTTACGCAAGACTTGCTGCGCGTGGTGCAGTTCCCTGCTCGCGACGTGGCTTTGGCCCGCGTGGTTGAGCGCGTTTGCCGCGCTGTGGTGCGAGCTATTCGCCAGCAGTCGAGCACGGCGGCGGTTTTGGCGAGCACGTCTCAGGCGTCGTCGGGCTTGCGCCTGACGATCAAGCGCGCCAACGCCAACGGCTCCAGTGATGCCGCAACCCAAGGCGGCACGTCGTCCGCCGACGATGATGCCAGCATTGTGGTGCCTGCGCAGTACAACAATTTGACGCAGGTGCCGTTCGACGCGCTCAACCAGGGTCTTGTGCTTTCCATCGACATGTTTACAAGCAGCGGCGATTTGGGTGAGGATTTGGTCGTACGAAAGCAACGGCTACTTGCCGCACACAACGGCAAGCGCAGGGCAAATGCGCGAGCCCCACGCGACCCTGCGAGTGGTGGCGCTGCCTCGGCGGCCGCGCGCCAGAAGCCGACCAAGACCATTCCTCGTGATGCCGATGGCAACTTTATCTTGCCGTTCGTGACAAACAATGTCACGATTGTATCGTTGGGCAGGATTGCCCACGACCGTCCTGCTTTCTGGAGCTCCAAGCACATTTATCCGATCGGATTCAAGACCTTGCGCAAGTATCCGTCCATGGTCGATCCTTCCGTCAAGTGGACGTACGAGAGCGAAATTCTGGACGGCCTGGAGATTGGCGAAGGCGACCAGCCAATCTTCCGCGTGACTCCGCTTGAGAGCCCCGAGTCTGGCTTTGCCTTCAAGCACGCCTCGACTGCTTGGTCGAACATTGTCGGTGCCGTGATGCGCATCAGCGAGTCAAAGCGAGCTTCGGCTTCCATCAGCGGGACGTCGTACTTTGGCCTGACTCTGACCAACGTTCGCGAAGCCATTCAGCAGCTTCCCAACGCACAATACTGCACCTCGTACTTTGCCGCGCTCGAGGCCAGTCGAAACGCTGCTGCGGCTCAGGGACTCAAGCGCCCAGCCGAAGACGACGAGTCTCCCAGCGGTGATGCCAAGCGCGCGCGTCTGGATGAGGACGCTGCGAATGACGCCGAAGAGGCCGACGACGATGAAGCGGAAGAAGAAGAAGAAGACGCAGACGAAGACGAAGGCGAGGAGGGCTCCGAGAACGAAGACGACGATGACGTTGACGATGAAGCCGAAGACGACGACGATGATGCTGAAGACGACGAAGCCTAAGCTCGCTGCTGTTGGTTGGCTGGATTTTTTCGCTTCTTCCAATTTTGGCTGTGGTTTGTTTTTTTTTTGCATTTGTATTTGTATGTCTCTTTCTGATTCTGTCTTTTTTGCATGTGTACCTGTATGTGATTGATGACTCTTCTGAATGTGTGTGTTTGTGTGATTGTGTGATTGTTTGTTTGTTTGTAACGTTGCTTTTTCTAAAACTTGATAAAAAAAAACACCCTAATTCTCATTGACACGGCAATTCTCCTCCTCCTCCCGTTTTCATTGTTCACTCTCACATCGCTCTCATCTGTTCCCAGCCTCAGGTGTTGTTGTTGATGATTTTGCTCTCTTTTGTTGTCTAATTCATTTTGGTTGAGCGCCACTCTTTTTTTCCGTTTCTTTTTTTTTTTTTTTTTTTCCTTTTTTTTTTTTTTTCTAGCTTTTGTTCGAAGCCGAGCACGTCCGCGCCATGATGATGGACGTCGAACCGCCCTCATCGTCGACCTCGACCTCGACCTCGGCCTCGACCGCTGTTGCGCCGTCCACTTCCACGCCAATGTCCACGGAGCCGCCATCCACCAGCGACGCCAGCGACGCCAGCACGAACACCAGCAGCAGCAGCGCGTCAGAGCCAGCCAGCGAGCCAATGCAGATCGCAGACGCCACCACTGCTGCTGCTGGAGCCGCTGCTTCCACTGCTGCGGGGCAATCAGGATCCAGTGCTGCTGCTGCTGCTGCTGCTGTTCAGTCAGGCACAAAGGTCCAGTGGGGACTCAAGACGCACCAGAACAAGGCCGGAGGCAAGCGTTTTTTTGCTTTTTTGCATTACAAGTTTCCAGCCAAAAAGAAAAAAAAAATCAAAAAATCCAAAAAAAAAAAACGAAATCTGTCAAATTTTGACTTATTCTTCGTCAAAGCAATGAAGAAGGGTACTTTGTTGCTTTGGTCTGCAGCACGTCAGGATTCACACGACAATGGAGATCGAAAGAACAATACAAAACAAACAAGCGACTTGCTTCGATCACTGGAGCGAGGAGAATGAAAAAGAAGAAAAACAAGCAAGCTCTGAGAAATGGATTCAATCTGAGCATTTTTTTTGTTTGTGGTCGATGCCTTTTTTTGTGGCTTGGGAAACGCTTTGTTCAATCAGATTGCTTGCTCTGTTGTGTTTGCACAGTGCTTTTGTGCTGACTATTACTTTTTTCGTTTTTTTTTTTTTTTTGTTTGTTTTCTTTTGGACAGATACGTTTGCGGTTGGCCACGAGCCAAGAGACAAGCCGTTCCAAGTCATCACGCACAGCGAATACATCAACCTGTCGGCAAAGAAAGACCCAAAGTTCAAGTTTGAATGTGAATGCTCGTTTGATCCAGGTAAAACACCGATTTTGCTTTTCCTCCTTCCCTCTCTCTCTCTCTCGCGCGCGCTCTCTCTCGCTTCACACCGCTCACTGCCTTGGCCCTTTCTACTCGAAAACTTTCTTGCTTGGCAATCCATCACATTCTGATCGCGTTGCGTAGCGACGGACGACCCGGCAACTGCTTGTGGCAAAAACTGTCTGAATCGAATGCTGATGGCCGAGTGCAGCCCTAAACGCTGCCCGTGTGGAACTTACTGCACCAACCAACGGTTCCAAAACCGGCAATATCCTGCCATGGAAGTGTTCCGCACCGAGAAGAAAGGCAACGGCTTGATGGTGCTGGAAGATCTCGCTCCGTAAGTCCAACCGAGCCCTCGAAGCGAAAGACGACAAGAATGCTCATCTCGCCTCTCTGTTCTTCTTCCCTCTCAAACAGTGGCCAGTTTCTAATAGAATACGTGGGCGATGTGGTGCACAATCGCGAGTTCAAAAAGCGCACGAAAAGCTACCACGAACGACAATACGACCACTTTTACTTTATGACACTCTCCTCCGACGAAGTCATCGATGCGACCGTGCGCGGCAGCATCTCGCGCTTTATCAACCACAGCTGCGAACCCAACTGCGAGACGCAAAAGTGGGTTGTTGATCGACGGATTCGCGTCGGCATCTTTGCCAAGAAGGCGATTAAGGCGGGGACTGAGATCACCTTTGATTACAAATTTGAGCGATTCAGGTAAGAAGCGACGCTGTGATTTGTCGGGTTTTGTTTTTGGTGTGGCTCTTTGTCTGTTGTTTGTGTTGGTGAACTCATCCTTTGCGCTAATTATCGCAACCCGCATTCCTATGGAGACAGTGATGAAGGGCAGGCGTGCTACTGTGGGGCACCATCTTGCAAGGGAATTATTGGCGGCAAAAAGCAATCAAAGGACTCTGATGCTGCCGCTCAAGCGCAAGCCGCGGACGAAGAGGAAGAGGACGAAGACGACTCTGACGATGCGGCCATGGACACCTCCTCCGCCTCGACGCCTTCTCGAAAAAAGCCGAGCAAGGCCAAGCGCAAGGAGTTTAACTCATTCCTGGACGATCTCAACGAAACCCTGGATGTCGAAGGTGGATTGGCCAAGGAGCTTGATTTTTCGCGGCTCATGCTGCAAGTGAATGAGGACGAAAAGCGATTACACATGCTCCGAGCATTGCAAGTAAGGGCGCTCCATTTGCCCTTTGTTGTGTGTTGTGGGAGGGGGGGGGAAGTGATTTTTTTTTGTTGTTCCGCTTGCTCCGCTTGTTGCTCACCGTTTGCTGAATCTTCCCCCCCCCCTCCCCGAACGACAGAAAACCAAGGACAAGTCCATCTTAGCCTCCTTTGTGGCGCACTTTGGATTGCAGCAGTTGCGATTGTGGCTCGTTGATATTCACGCAACATCGACCGAGCCACTCTTGGAGCTGCTCAGAACGTTGCAGTGTTTGCCGTTAAAGACGCGAAACCCCATCGACAATGCCAAAATTTCAAAGCATGTCGAACCGCTGCTCCAGCACGAGCAAGAGGAGGTCCGGACGGCCGCAGAGTCCTTGCTTGCAGAATGGCAAAAGCTGCCTGTGGAGTACAAGATTCCCAAGCGGAAGCTTCCGTCACCACCAGCAACGCCCTCCGGTCCCAGCGGTGGCTCTTCCCACGCCACCACGCCTGCGCCTTTGACACCAGGCACCGTGCCACCACTATTGCCCGCGTCGTCCATGGATCGTCGCCCAAGGTCAACGCCTCAGCCGCCTGTCCGTGAGCGGGAGCGCGAGTGGAGCGGTGCTCGCGACGACCGAGGAACGTCCAGTGATCGGGACCGCGATTGGAGCCGGGATCGCGAACGGGACCGGGATTACCAAGACCGAGACCGAGACCGAGACCGCGACCGTGACCGTGACCGCGAGCGAGACCGTGATCGCGACCGCGACTACCGAGACCGCGACCGTGATCGAGACTACCGCGACCGCGATCGTGACCGAGACTATCGCGGAGATCGTGACACGTTCGATAATCGGCGAAGTGAGTTTATTTGGTTTCGTTTCGTTTCGTTTCGTTTCGTTTCGTTTCGTTGATCTTTCGATTGCTTGGTCGTGGTCTGGCTTCTCGCTAAATTTCGTGCATGCTGTATGATGCAGATTCCAAGCGCGACTACTCCCAGGTGGATGGCGGCGCAGACCGGGATTCCAAAAAGGCAGCGACCGACTCGAGCTCCCAAGCGCAGCTGGGAGCGATGCCATTCGCCATGCCCCAAGGAATGGATGCCTACGCGACGCAGCTCGCGCAAGCGTACGGTATGGATGTTGCTCAAGTGCAGTCCCAGCTCCAGGCACAGATGCAGCAAATGATGATGTATGCTGCCTACTCTGCCATGCAAGGCGGCATGCCAGCGACTGCCGAAGCAACTTCAAGCGCTTCTGCACAACCAGCAGACGCGCCAGCATCGACCCGACCATCTGAATCAAACGGCCAGCAGGACGACGATGCGGACTCTGACCAAGAGACAGGCGATGGCTCGCACCGTGTTTCCAAGACCCGTGAGTTTAAGAAGAAGGTATGGTCGATCGTGGATGGGAGGTTGAACTGCACCTGCAAGAATTCCCGCCAAGTATTGGCGCTAACATGCGTGTGGCGTTGGGGTTTTCTTTTTTTTTTTTTTTCTTTTTTTTTTTTTTTTTTTTTGCTCGTTCAGCTGGCTCCAATCATCACTCAGGCCTTGTTCAGCTGGCTCCAATCATCACTCAGGCCTTGTCGCCGTATTTCAAGCCAGCCTGCACACAAGGCAGGATTACCTCCAAGGAGGACTTTAAGCATCTTGCTGGCAAGGTAACGGATTGTGTGGACGGATCTGTTCAAAAACAATGTGACTCAACCACTCACTGTGTTTCCTCAACCAAAACAGCTTGTCAAGCTTATTATTGAAAAGGAACGAAAGAAGCTCACTGATAACGAGGCCAGCCTTGTTTTGGACGAGGCAGTGACCAAGCGCGCCAAGCTGTTTGTGACAAAGTACATGTCTGCTTTCGACGCCGAGTATACTCGAGTGTAATCGAGGAAGCTTTTGGCGTTTCATGAGTATCTTTGGACTGCTTTTTCTTGTTTTTTCACATTGTATCAACAACACTTTTTTTTTTGGACTTTCTGATGGTCATTTATCGCAGCGACTCGTGTTGTTGGAAGCAAAACCAAAAAAACTGATGATGATGATGGACGTGGATGAAAGAGCAATCGAAAACCAGGGGGGGAAATCACTAAAATTTTGAAAACAACCAAAAACAACAACATGACAGTACTTTTAATCTTCATCGTCACGACCAAGCGACAACTGTTGATCTTCTCCCTCGCTGTCGCTGCCAAACAGGCCGCCGAGTCGCGGGCTGCGCGAGCGCGGTTGCGAGGCAGAGCTGTATCGATCGCCCTCCGGTTCCAAATCATCGTCTTCGCGTGGTCGCACGGCGCGTCCAGTGTATTGCGGGTCAACCACGAGCATAAGCCCGGAGGGCCGAGGCGCCTCTGGGTGCTCGAGCTCGTGCTTGGCAGAGCGCGCGCGACGGCGTGTCATATTCCAGCGACGACCAATCGGGGCGTACAGCACTTGACCGCCCATCTCCATAAAGACAAAGTTGTCCTCGGTGGTTGTGCCTTTCGGCACTTGAAACGTGTACTCGCGCACAGAGGCAAATTCAAGGGTGGCAGCCTGGTCCTCGCCCGACTCAAGCCGCCGCCGCTTGCGAACAACCTCGGTCGAAGCGGGAAGGAAGTACGTCATCACGCCTGGGCGTGTGGCCTTGAGCATGCCGGCCGACATGGCAACGAAATCGCTGTCCTCGAGTTTTGAGCCGATGGGCTTGTTGGCAGGCGCGCTGTCGAAGGAAATCTGGGCCAGCTGCTCGAGGTGATGCGGGTACGGGAAGATTGGTTGCACGCTGATTGCCGTCAGGTTTGGATGGTTTGGGTGGGTGATGATCGGGCGCTTGGCATGGTCGAACGTTTCTTGAATGGCGCGAATTTGGCTCGCACGGTCCTGCGCATTTGTTTTGTGATGGGTCAGCAAAGACACGGAGGATTTGTTTTCAAAGGGGGGAAAGCAGAAACAAAACAAAACATGTAGGTTGCGCTTGGCAAACTGACCTGCCGCAATCCTTGAGTAATGACATCCTGCACAAGAACACCAATCCTGCGCTCGAGGTTTTCTTTCGGCTAAAAAAAAAATCGGAATAATGAAGAACAAGCGGCGGGTGGGAGGAAGAAGTGAGCGACAGTGACAGCTTATTGTCAATCAAAGCAAAAATTGTTAAAAAAAAAAAAGCGGAGGTACCTCAAGGGGCTTGTCTTGTTCGGCGGAAATGTACTGCGTAGCACGCAGCCATGCAACATTCTCGGCTTCCAATCGCGCTTTCTGTGTTTGTGGTTGATGACCAACAAAAAGGAGAAAATGCAAAGGCGTTAGGTTGACTAGTTTCCCGCCGCGCGCACACACCCAACCGTAAGCTCCTCCAAACCTTCTTGGGATCCATGACCGTGGAAAGTGGCTCGTCTGACAGAAGGGTTTGATCAACAGCGCTGAGCTGAGCTGTCTGACCAAACGGGATTTTGTAACGGTCAGGATCTATCAAGTCGATCGGGATGCTCAGATTGGCTTCCGTGAGAATGTCAAACTTGAACTGGCGCTCCAGTGAGGTCTGGCAAGAGTCGAGGTTGCGATCGCGGTGACATGATGAGCACGAACGAATCGGTTGTTCAAAGTTTGTCAGCAATCGGCTCTTCTTTGCTTACTGTGGCGTATTGGATGGATCGCATCGGGTCCAGTTGGTAGTACAAGAGCTTGGGGTCGAACGGCACATCTGGCAGTGTGTTTTTGTACTTGATCGGCCAGTTGAAGGGTGGTCTGCGCCACAAAAAAACAAAAACAGTAAGTCTCCAAAACAAAATTTCGGATTGTCTCAGACGCAGAGCCCACTTACCGAACATTTGCGCCCAAGTTGTCTGCACCCGCATCGTCTGCAGCAGACGCACCTGCCGCGGGCTTTTGTCTGGACGACGACGACGACGACGACGATGATGATGATCGCTGTGCATTGGATGAGGACGAGGATCCGGATCCACCGCGCGAGGCACCTCCGACCGACGGCGTTCGGCTGTGGTGAGGCTGCCTGTGTGTCTTGGACGACGCTGGGTCGGACGACGACGACGACGACGGCGGCGCCGTGGCAGTGGCAGTGGACGAGGAGGCAGCCGCAGCAGCCGGCGCCAAAGCAGGCTCCCTGATCCAACAGCCCCATCCCAAGTCAGCGTGAAGCAGATGTAATGACAACAAAGGGGTTGGAAGACATGGAGAGTGTCGCAGGTCGAACAGCAAGGGGCAGGGGTGGGGGAGGGGATGAAGATTGAAACGAAAAGCTGCGATCTCGCATTTTGGCTGGAGTTGCATTACGCTCCGGTTTTTGGCTGGAGTTGCATTGCGCTTCAGCCTTTTTTCTAATTGTAGCGAGCTCTTGCATGAAATGGCGATCAAACAGGGAAGAACGAAGGAGAGAAGGGACTTTTTTTTTTGTTTGATGAAGGGTGAATGCTGAAGAAGAGCTTACGAGAAGGAAACGGGCTCTGGTGACGAGCTCATGAGAAAGAGATAGACTGAACCGTGAGAATTGGATTGGACTGAAAGGGGAATGGGAATGAATGAATGCGAGGCTGTGAGGGTTGATCCATCAGAGAAAACATGAATTGAGGGACTCGAATGAAGGGGGAAGGGGTTTGAGAGCGAAAATCCGAATTGAACCATCGCCGCTCAAAGTGCTGCCGATCGAAGCCATTGGAACAGATAAGAAGCAGAGTGATTCGCACCAATCAAAGCGAATACGATGACAAATATGATCTAGTACATGTTTATTGGGACTTTAGAGCACGGTCGAGTGCAACTGCCGTAGAGTCGACCTATTGCCAAAATGTTTCCGGATGAACAGCTGGTTCTCGCTCCCAGACCAACTTATTTGTCGCATACTTCGTGAACAATATTGTCTGTATTGCTGTGTTTGTACTTGCTGCTTGAATCAGTGTTTGCGTTGAACGACAGCAAAACTGGGTGTTTGATGCTCCCAGCATCATTTGTGGCCAGAGCATATTCAGTAAACTGGTGTACGGCGCGCGTCGGGCAAAAAATTATCACGATTCCAAGCCAGATACAGTCACAGACGATCATCACGACAATCAAGGCCACCCCAAAGATGCACAGGAGCAGCGAGATGGTTCGTTTTAGGCTGAACTCCCCACAGCAAATCCAACTTTTCCGTTTTCTCGCCAAGTCAGGCTGTCTACACGAGCGAGTTGATCAAGCTGGAAATATTCTACATTTTAAAAAACACGTAATGAAACAGCAAGTAATCAAAAATACTTGAACGGCGCACGAATGCGGCTGGGGGTGGATACAAACACATCAAACGAAAAAAAAACAAAACAAAAAAATCGTTCCGGTAATCCCGGCTCGTGGTGCTGGTCGAAGGTGTTCTGTGCATGTACAAGAGATGCACAGGCACGGAGAGAACGAAAAAAAGTACATCATCGCAGCACTCGTTGGAGTGGTGGAATAAACTCTTTCTTCCGTGAAACGCGATTGCCAAGATCCAGCTGGAGATTGTCAACCACGGCTGCATCGCTGTAGGCTGTCAGTGCAAGATCGCGTTCCGTTGCGCTGCAGACAAGCAGGAAGGATCGCAATTCCAGCACGTCCACGATAGCGAAAAAGCCATAGTCCAATCTTCGCCGCTTTTTGATGTCGCATGTAATGGCGAGCAGTTCAGTCTGTTTGAACGCCCCCCCCCACGCGCACACAACCGAGCAGAAGGAAGGAGTGAGAGGATGCATGCTCTGTCACAAGCCGAACCGAGCCCCACTTGTTGCATCCGAACAAAAAACAAAAGGGGTCGCCACTTACCCGCCGCTGGAGTTGCACTTGAGGATCAACCGTCTCCAAAACACCAAATCCAATGCGTTTGTCTGAAATGGTAAACTCTTTGAAGTCGCTGGCGACAATCTGCTCCATCGTCATGTTACCAAACTGTGCTTTGGCAGCAAACATGTCGCGAGCCCACTGCAGCACATTGTCGACACGAGCAATCTGTGCCAAGCGCGCAACCGCAGTCTGCAAAAGTACAGTGAACAAAAATCCCCACGAACAAATAAATAAACGAATAAGGGTCCAGATGAGCGAGCACGTTCCGTAACAAGCAAAGAAAAACAGAACACGCTCGTCCGAATATCACGAACCTGATCGGCAACAGTGGTCGTTGGAGACCTCAGAAACAGGGTGTCGGAAATGACGCCGCTCAACAATACCCCCGCAATGGATGGTGGCATGGGTCGGCATGTGTCAAAATACTTCCAAGCGACGACACTCGAGCAGCTGCCCCAAGTTTTGATTTCGACGTGGATGGGTCGGGAGATTTCCACCGTGTCCTTTTGCATTGCGTGGTGGTCGATGACACACACGACGTTGTCTTCGTTGATGTATGGCATCAGCTGTGTCCGCTGGTTGAAATCGACCAAGCAAGCGTGCTGGTCTGGCGGGAAGGTCGAAACGAGTGGTGGCTCTGGAAGCTGGAAGCGCTGCAGCACGAGTGTTGTTTCAGGATTGATCTTGCCAGCTGATTGCGCGCGAGAAAGAGAGAGAAAACAGCGTCAAACGACGCGTATCGTGTTGGACAAAGCGGCAAGAACGCGTTTAGTCACAGTGTCCAATGCCACCCAACAAGTTCAACAGGTTGCTTCGTTACCTGTGGCAGCCATTCCACCATAGTAATGAGCTGCTGCTATTGCGGATGCGACCGAGTCCGTGTCGGGGTTGATGTGACCAACAAACACGGCTCCCGCAAAGTTCTCGAGCGCGACACTCAGTCGATGCACCACTGTTCAAACACAACAAAGCAGCAGGTGAGTGTTTGAATATAGGTTTTCAAAAACACACCATTTCCACCGGTGACTGGGGGTGACTGGGGGTGCTCTGAGAGTCTGAGACGTATGGTTGTTTTTGGCCTGCTTTCAATTGCCGAGTGCCTTCTCCGGATCTCGTCTGTCTGAGATCTCGGCAAGCCGTCAAAGTTTGCTCAATTATGTTGCCTTCTCCGATTCTGAGAAATCTTGTTCTTCCTGTGTTCTGAGATTCCGGTCCAGCCAAACTCTGGCGTTTGTTCGCTCCAATCACTCAGATTCGTCTCAGATTCGTCTCAGATCCCTACCTTCGACGTCCGTGTTCTTGCACCACGGCGCAAACAATGCCGGGTCTGCCGCCGAGTCGTGCTTGCCACCCGAGGACCCGCCGGCGCCATGGGCACCCGTGTTCGACCGGCGGCCAGGATGGACGGGCTCGGACCGACCGCCCCAGCCAAACCAACTCAACCACTTTTGCGATTGCTGTTGTTGTTGTTGTTGTTGCTGTTGCTGCTGCTGGTGGACGGGTGCGTGGTGTGGCTGGTTGAGCGCTGGCCCGGCGAGCAGGACCTGGTCATCGCCGTAGCCGTCGACGCCCCCACTACCACCGCTGCTGCCGTCGGGCACCATTGCTGAGGGCGTCGGGAGCAGCACGAACAGCACGACGGCGCCGAGCGAAGCGGCCGCGAGCAATGGAAGAAGCAGCCAGCGAAGCCGCGCGAGCCGCGACGACCCGCCCAGGATTGGGTGGCTGTGATTGCTGCTGTTATTGTAGTGTAGCACATCCACATTGTAGCTGGACGCGGCGAGGCCCAGGACGGGTGGACGCGGCGGGCGGCGCGAGCCAACGAAACTCATTGACAGTCGGTTGTGCTGAGTTGCTCAGAACAAAAAAAATCAATAACAAAAGGGAACAAATAATCTGAGAAAAGAGTAGGGAACGGAAATGCACAAAAAAAGTGAAGTGAAGTGAAGTGAATTTGTGATGGAAATGGAAGAAATTCACAACTTTTCTTATTGCACCCCGTTAACTTTTTGGTTTTTGAGCTTGTAAACTGAATTGTCTTCATCGTTCTTGTGTGAATGCATCGTGCGTTCGAGATACGAGGCAGCTCTGAGTTTCATCGATGTATTGCTGGCACAATAAGGGGACGAGCGGAATACACACAACGAAACAAAACAAACGCAATGGAAAAAGCACGTTCAACAGTCATGAAGCTGCAAAACTCGGCAAGGAACCTCACAGCACACAACAAAAAACTAGATGGTCATCCCGGCATTCGCTGGTGGCACTGTGCTCGAGGGCGAATCGAGCGTGACTTCCGAAAAGCCGTCCTGCGTCTGCGCAGTCGGTGCAAAGAGTGGGACGCTCGTGAACGCAGCGTCCTCATGGCTGTGACCATGCCCGTGATCGTGGCTATGACCGTGTCCGTCCTCGTGGCTGTGGCCATGGCCGTTGTCGTGGCTGTGACCATGATGTCCGTTGCTGTTGTTGTGGCTATGCCCGTGTCCACCATCATGGTTTTGATTGTGGTGAGCGGAGAATTGCGCAACTTGCGATGACGATGGAGACACTGCGTTCGGCTGCGACTGGGAGGCAGCTGATGCGGCTGGCGGCGCTGCTGGCGGCGGCATGGCGAGTTGTTGCATCCTGCGTTGCTCTTCCTCGCGCAGTTTTTGCTCGTACTCTTCTGCGCGCCTTTTCACTGGAATTCGATGTAGATAGCCATAGCCAATGCCGCATCCGAGACTAGACACAGCGTCGTCGATTCGTGCGTGGATGAGCAACAGGGCATTTGACAAGAAATCGAATAATACGAAAGTGGCACTTACCTGCCCTCGCCGCCCCAGTCAGAGTTCGGAGTGATGACAACCTACAAGGCAGAGCAAGCACGACACCGCAGTCATTGCGTCAAATTCATTCTGCTGCTTGTTGGTGTGGTGATCGAACTCCCAGCGCAAAAAGCCACCTTACCTCTCGGCAATCGTCGCGATCTGTGTTGTACACAAACAAGCTCAATGCAGTCTTGTCGGAATTGGCAATCAGGTTGTAAAAGTCGTCTGGCTCGTGTAGCAACGCATGCGGTGTGCCAATAATGTAATCCGCCAGACTCTTCAATCCCGCCGTTGCAGCTGGCGAATTCGAATGTACCTCCTGCGCAAACACCAACCACCATGCAAAGCGCACCGTGTGAATGATGCGCCGCCACGCCTCCCCTCACAAAAATGCTTGTACCAGTGCCACAAACAAAAACCCCTCACCAGAACATGCCAAACATTGTCGTTTGCACCATCGAATGAGCAGAATCGGATGCTGACGCCAAGCAATCCCATCCCGCCCCACATGTTGCTCGGGATGAGCGTCAGATCTGTCCAATGGTTGATATTCAGTCAAATCCATGACTCACTGCGTGCATGGTACGCAACAAAGCGACATACTTCGGACGGCAGCTGTTTTCGTGCTGTAGACGGTCAGAATGACTGGCCGTTCCACACTCTGCTTGATGTGCTGCTGGAACGTGTCGTCTTCAACATTCTAACCAAGTGTTGCACCAATTGGAAGTACCATTGAGTGCTGCTGCATTGAGCAACGGGAACTAACTGACTCCAGTCAAGTCCAGTCAGAGAGACCACCCCTCCCGCTTACCAGTCGGATGTCGTTGACGGCCACAATAAAGTCAAAGAACGCTTCGAGGCCTGCGAGTGCGCCGGGCGATCCTGGCTGGACCTGCGACAGAGTAGGAGAGCGAACCCACAATGGAAAGCCAGCGAACCGTGAGCACTCCCCACACACACGGTATCACGGAACGGCCCATTCGAGTGGCAAGAGGGGTGTTACTTTGAGGACGTGGTAGCCCTCGGAACCGGCGGCGGCGGCGGCAATCTGTGGCTGCGACTGCTCAGCGCCCATCTGAGTGAGATTGGACGTTGCAAGTAAAAGACTGGAGAGATGGCGAAACATATCGGGATGGATGGTGTTGTGTGAGTTGATGAATGGGAATAATGTATCGAGGTGTTTGGGGGAAGGAGGAGGCAGGCCATTGGCGGGTGGCTGTAAACCAGCAAGCTCGATGAGTTTGGCAACGCAGACCCCTGATGAGAGCCCCCATGTCGTTAGTAGATCGACCTTGATGGTAAACAAGCGTCAGCGAATCTATCTGCGAGTTCAACTCGCTTTCCGCTTGGATATTGGCGTCCATTCTAGCATGTTTGAGTAAGTTTGGCAACAAAATGTTCTTCACGGCAGTGCTCAGACCCCTCATCAGAGCTCCCATGTCGTTAGTAGATCGACCTTGATGTTAAACAAGCGTCAGCGAATCTATCTGCTAGTTCAACTCGCTTTCCGCTTGGATGGATGGGTTGGTTTTGTGGAGGCCGCCGTTTCATGTTCTCAAACTCTACAATAAATTCAGCGAACTGCCTCCGAGTTTCATCAATGTCGACATTCCAAGATGGCGATATCAACGGTTACATACGCGATATGTACAAAGCGCTTCATCCAGAGATCGACCAAAAACCCCCAACATGGCGAAAGTTGGTCGGTGTTTAAAATTTGCATGTTTTCTCGTGTTGAAATGGTATCTGGAGCATGGATCATACTCTGCTACAACCTGCGACTCTGAATGCGATTGCAAAGCAAAAACAGCCATAGCTCAGAAAACAAACAAACGAAAAAAAAAGCCCAGTCTTGTTGCGTGAGTGACTCGCAGTATCTTTTTTTTGTTTCCGTTTTACTTGCATTTTCCCCTGATACTCCCATCCTCACTAATTTCCACTTCTCCCCTACCCCCTTTCTGTTCTCCTCGCTTTTTTCTTTCTCCTTCCTTTTGAGCTGTTCCACCTTCGCCCACTCCAACTCTCTTGCAGCATGTGTGTATGTGGATGCACAGTGGAAGAGGGCGACAGAGCGACCGCGGGGGAACTGACTTGCAAGCCACGCGGCAAAACGGCGATAGAGAGAGAAGAGAGAGATCGCTGGATTTTCCATTGGATTTGCATTGAGAACGAAAGCCCCCCCCCCACCCACTCCATTCGGACTCGACAGCACTCGATGCGAATACGGCGACCCAGTCCCAACACAATGAGACGAACTGCGGGATTGGATTCCGGAGGGCGGGAGAACAGGGTTCAGCTTTGCAGTCCTCTCACTTGTCTAAACATGATGTATGGATGACAGACAACACAAACAGCTCAGTGATTTGAAACAAGATACAAAGAGAGGGACCAAGATCTAAGAAATCAAAAAACCATGGCGCTGTTGTTGAGAACGACGACGACGACGACGGTGGCGGCTGCACGACGACAAGCGCTGCTCTTCCAGTCGTTTGCCATGCGAGCTGCTTCGACAAGCGCAAGCGATGCTGCTGCTGCGCCGGCAATCACGCAGACAACATCCGTGGGCGAGACGACAGTGACGCCGAGCAATGCGCAACGCTTGGCCCCAGGTGATGTCAAAACGGTGGGCGATCTCGCCGCACTCAGCTCGAGCAACGTGCTGCAGCTCGTTGGCGCGCAAATCAAACAGCTGTATCCGCACAACCTGACGCGCTCGTCGGCGGCGGCGGGCTCTGCCAACGCTGCTGCCGCTCCGATCCAGCGCCCTGCCATTTCCTCCGTCCCGGACACCAGCCGACCCTTTGAAAACACAGCGTCGCAGTCGGCGACACAAACACAGACCTCCAGCCCAGCGTTCGTCGTTGTGTACGTTGCTGGCCACCAGTTTAAGGTCTCTGTCAACGACACGATTGTATCCAACAAGATCCACTGCCCGGTCGGCACGCGCATCAACCTCGAGAAGGTGCTGATGGTCGGCTCGGCCGATTTCACGATTTCCGGCACGCCGCTCGTGCCCACCAGCGTTGTCCGCGTTCAAGCCACCGTGATTGAGCAATCTCTCGCAGAAAAGGTCATTGTCTTTAAGAAGAAGCGAAGGAAGACGTACAAGAAGTGGAAGGGCCATCGCCAGCCCATCACGACCCTCCGCATCACGTCAATTGATCTTGCGCCCGCATGGCAGGAGCAGAAGCAGCAAGAGCACAAGCAAGATGCCGCAGCGTCACTATGATTTTTTGCTCCTCAACTCGTTTGAATTGGCAATTGTGCTTGGTGTTTTTTTTTTAAAAAATATCATCCGTCTTTTTCTTTTGTTTCCGATGCAGTTTCTGTCAAATTCCCATGAGCAGCAATGTCAGCAGCGAAGAAGGTTTCTTGAGCAAGGTGACAAAGCGTTTTTCTCCTTTCCGCTCGCTCCGCTCCCATGTCATTCTGTCAATTCTGTCGGTTCCATTTATCATTCACCTCTGCTTTGTTTTCTGTCCATCCTGCAATCAGAATGACTCTTTTTCGCTTGTTTTCTGAGCACTTCAGTCCTTTTTTTTTTTTTTTTCCTTCCGTTCTTGTTTCTTGTTTTGATGGTACAAAAACAACAACAACCGCTTCTCGCTTTTTCATTCGCTCCATTTCACCCAAAAACTCAATCTGCTTTGATTCAAAACAACGATGCGATTTTGAGTCAACCGATCGGAAAACAAATCAGAACAAAAAGCAACGAAATCAGAACAAAAACTGAAACAAAAAAAAAAAAAAAACAAAAACAAAAAAAAAAGCACATGGAAATAATAATAATATTATGATGACAAGTTTTTTTTATTTTTTATTATTGTTTGATGTTTGCCGAGACTTTTTTTTTTTTGATTTTTGATTCTCGTTTCTTTTGCCTCGTTTTTTTGTTGTTGTTGTTGTCGTTGCTGAATTTCGAGAGTTGATTTGCTTTTGAGTTTGCATTGGCTTTGCTTGTCTCTTTGACGGGGGGGGGCACGAGGGGGGGGGACGGTTGAACGAACGGGAAAAAAGACAAAAAAAAAAAAAAAAAAGATCTTTTCTTTTTTGTTTGATGTTTGCGTCAGTCATTCAAAACGCAGGGGGGCCAGCAGGGGTAGGGGAGTGGGGAAGGGGAATGGAAGAGACAAGGAAGGCGCAGTAGAAGCAGGAATGAAAGCGAGGGGTGATGCATGGCGGACGACGTTGACGGGGCGGCTTCTGTGAAGCGAGCGACGATCGGATCCACAATAAAAAAAAGAAAAAAAAAAGAAAAAAAAAAAAAAAGAAGGCCTCCATTGCATCAATGTCGATGTCGATGGCATGAATCGAGCATCAAAGCGACTGTGATTGATATTTAGTTGAATGGAGCATCATCATCAGCACTGGTGAATGGCTGGGCGAAGTCGGAGTTGCAAGTCTGAGCAGCGCGATTTGTTCTCCGTTTCTCAGACTAAACATGTTTTTTGGACCACTTGTTGTTGCATTTCCCCGACAGACTCAAACTCAAACGCAAGACGCTCACGCAAGCAATCCAAGTCAAACGATGAGCAACGAGGCATCACCATCATCCTCGCCAATCGCTCGCAATGGCGAGGACGAGCTCCGTCAAGCGCTCACGCGCCAGCTCGAGCACTACTTTCGCCTGGAACACTTGGCACAGGACGCTTACTTGGTCGCGCAAATGAGCGCAGACCACTATGTGGCGATTCGCGTGCTGGCAAGCTTCCCGTCCATCCAACAGCTCACCACAGACATTGCGCTGATCACGGACGTATTACGCGCCTCCCCGCTGGTCGAGGTGGACGCTGCTGGCGAACGTGCGCGCCCTGTTGAAATGCACACGCAGCATCGCAACACAATCATTCTGCGCGACATTGACGCAAGCACTCCTGCCGACACGATTCGCGCTGAAGTGTTTGACACGCTGCCCACGTCGTTGCCGCGACCAGTGTCGATTCGTGCTGACGTGCAAAACACTTGGTTTGTCACATTCGATGCGTCCGAAGACCAAGTCCGCGACGTGCACCTCGCGCTTGTTGGAAAAACCTTCCAAGGCAACCCGGTTCGTGCGCGCGTCAAGTCCGAGAACATTGTGCGCACCAGCGGTCCTGCCCGCGGCGCTGCCGCCGCTGGCTTTGCGGCCGATGGAGTGGTGACGTTGCCCGGAACCGCTTCGTCGCAGTCGTCCGGCTCCTTTGTGCCTCAGCCGCAGTTCTTCCAGCAGCCGCAACAGCAGCAACCGCAGCAAATGTACCAACAGCAGCAGCAGCAGCAGCAACCGCAGCAGCAGCAGCAACACCAGCACCAACTGCATCTTATGCAACCAGGCGTATCCTATGGATATTTCGACATGACTAGCGGTGTTGGCGGATACAACCCGTGGGCAGTCAATTCGGGCCAGGGCTTTTACTATGATCCCCAGCAGCAGCAATCGTTCGGCTCATTCAACCCAGCTCAGCAGCAGCAACAACACCAGCAGCAGCACCACCACCACCAACAACATCAACCACAACAACAACAACACCAGCAGCAACACCAGCGACAGGCGTTTGCCCACCCTAATCAACAGCAGCAACATCAGCAGCAACAACAATACTTCTACTCGGATCAACCTCAGCAGCACTCAAGGAACTTCCGCCACAATAAGCATCATAGTCACCACCAACAGCAGTCCCACGCGCAGCAAATACAGCCGTCACTATTAGGGCAGCCGGACGGCGTTAGTGCCGTGCGCCAACACCCCTCGTCGTCGGGCAAGCCTGGCACCCACAACAACAACAATGGCACCCACAAGCTCGCGAACGGCGCATCGACAGCGCAAGCTCACGACCCGTCGCTTCAGCAGCACCAGCACCAGCACCAGCAGCAGCATCCACACCAGTCACAACAGCCACACCAACAGCAAGAGAATGGCCGGCGGAGGTCGGCCTCTGCTTCGGGCAGCAGTGCCGCGTTGCCGTCTGCCGTTGGTGGCACAAACGGAAAACCGCGTCGAAAGGCGAGCGAAGACTCCGCCCGTGCTCGCGGCCAAGCTTCTGGCGGTGCTGCCAAACAGTCACCCGTTGCATCATCAGCGCCAAAGCCCACACTGCAACTTGGTGCTGCCAACTTCCCTCCGCTTCCTTCGTCGGCGTCTCGCAAGAACTCTGAGCTGTCTGCCTCATCCTCCACTTCGTCCTCCGAGCCATCGCGTCCCTCAAGCGTCGGCCCGTCCGTTGCGCTGGCTGATGTGGTCAAGGGCGCGCCTGTTTCCGTTTCCGTTTCCGCGGCTTCTTCTTCTTCTGCTGCTTCAGCATCAGAGACTCCGGCGTCTGTGCCTGACCATGTCGCACCAGCAGTGAACCGCGCCTCTCCTGTTGTCGAAGCTGCACCATCCGTCCCTGTGGCTGCTGCGGCGGCGCCTGTGGTAGAATCTGAGCCCATCAAGTCCAAAACTTTCAGCTATGCCTCTGCCGCAAAAGCTCCTGCCACTGCGCCAGCGGCCACTGCCGCATCCCAATCACCGCCATCGACAGGCACATCGTCATCCGCTGACGCACGCCGTTCGCGCACCGATGCATCTCTTCAAAAGTCGCATTAATCCAAGTGTGCCGACTCCATCATTAATTTTTCGCTCCATGTCAATCATCCCTTCTTTTTATCATGTGAATCGACTTTGTGTTTGCTGGGTTCCGAATCCCCAAGTTGCAGTGCTTTTTGTTCTTTGCTGTGTTTGTTCGTTCGTTCGCTCGTCCGTCCGTCCGTATTCGTTTGTTTCGATTTCCACTGAAATGTACACTGTTTTTGTTATTCCCTGCCCACTTTCACTCGCATTTTCCTTCTCCAGTCTGAGATTCTGCTTTTCGTTCAGTCTGTATTTTTCAAACCAAAATGGGCAAAACGAAAGGTTTGTGAATTTCCTCAGAACTTTGAATCATCATCATCATCATCATCATCATCATCATCATCATATGGATGGATGGATGTCGACTTCTACTTGCTATGACTGCTAGTGGCTGGTTGGCGCTTGTTACGAAACTCATTCTTATGCTTGACGACCCGCTGCAGGTGGGCTTCCGCGTGGATCGCTGATGGACGTCGACGAGCTGCGACCCGCGTCGAGCAGCGCCAGACAGCCCGCCTCGTCTGCAGGTGGATTCGGAGCACACGCGTCGCCGTCATCGTCGGGCGGCTGGACTGGCATGGCGGTGGACGGACAGCCTGCCGGTCGCCAGCCGGCAGCCCAGCGCAAGAACAAGAACGGTCAACGCGGAGCCGCTCGCGGTGGTCGCAATGGACGCGGTGGGGCGCAAGCTCAACACCAGCGCCAGCAAGGGCGCAGTCACGCTCAGGCCCAGGTCCAGCAGCATGGCCATGATGCCGGATCCAGCTCGATGGACTTGGACTCGCCCGCTGGCGTCGCGTCCAATGACAACGGCTACCACGATTCAGAGTTCATGTCAGATGCGGCCATAGGCATGATTTTGAGCTCTGGAGCGGCGGCAGGCCGGGGCGCTGGAGGATTCTTGTCGGCGGGAATGGGTCTTGACGATGGTGGCGCCGGCGAGGATGCATCCCTCACCGCTGGAAACACGCGCGATCGGAGCAACCTTCCTGAAGCAGGCGACGGTGCACAGGCGGCCCTGGAGCTACTGGAGGAGCAGTCGATGGCGAAAAAGGCAAAGCAACAGTTCGCCAAGGCTCAACGCGCTGGCAATCTCATGGACGATGGCACTGGCATGATACCCTTTTCTCGAGCTCGCGCTTTCCCTAGTGGCGAACGTAATGTGCTAGTGCTTGCGCTGTGTGGTTTGCAATCGTTGAACTGGAAAACTCAATTTTTTGTTGTTTTGTTTTTGGCTTTTCGCTCCTGGACGTAAACAGTCGTGATGCTAGATGCTAGCGAGCTAACACCTATTCCATCGTCACTGCGCAAAACCATCGACGGCACAAAGCGAGTTGGCAAGCGCAAAGTCACGGCCAAGTCCAACCGAAAGAAGATTAAAATGTTTGAAATGGCCAGCAACCGCGCTGCTCAATCTGCCACAAGGTTGGCCAAGTTGGATGTCAAGCATGCATTGCGGGAAAAGTTCAAGCACTTGTATTGAAGACACAAAACACAAAGAGAGACGATTTGAAATATTCCATCTGTGAGATTCTTGTTCCAGTTCCAATTTTCACAGTTCAAACCCTTTTCCCCACATTTACTTCATGCTGCAGTGGTGATGCAGCTGTTGCAAACCAATGGAAGCAATCGTGAAGTTTACAACAACGGCTTGGTCAAAACGACTAGATTGCACAAAAATATTCATCGTCAAACACGAAACGGCACACAACAACCCAAAACAACTGCTTTCAAGCCTCGCTCGGCTCCACGGCGCTGGGCTCCGCTGCGACCGTAGGTTCACTCCTTTGAGCAGCGCCATTTTCGTGCACATCCATTGGAGCAGCAGCTGTGGGAGTATCAACCGAGGGTGAGTGATGTGATTGCAAATCAGCAGCATCCGCCTTGCCATCCCCATCACCACGCGACGCTTCCGAGGCGGAGCGCGCAGGAGATCGCGAGCGCACCGGTGAACGTGAGGACGAGCGCCGACGACGAGACGACGACGAGGACGACGACGACTTGCGCGAAGGTGAGCGAGAGCGAGACCGTGCCCGACGAGGAGGAGAGCGCGAGCGCGAGCGAGATCGGGATCGTGCACGGCGAGAAGGAGAACGTGAGTGCGAGCGGCGACGGTCGCTGCGTCGAGACCGGTCATAGTCGCGATCACTGCTCCGGCGAGGGGAGCGAGATCGCGAACGACGACGACTCGACGATGACGAATGGCCGCCAGACGATCGAGAGGACCCGGGGTTGTCGAGATCGACATACGAGCCTCGCGGATAGCGATTAAAGTCGTCGCGACTTTGACGGCCGCCGCCGTCGCGGTCCCGGTCGTTTCCTCCGCGGCGATCGCGATCATCGTAACGACGCGAATCGCGGTGATCGTCGTAGCGTCGGCGGTTGGAAGGCGAGCGCGAACGAGAGCGACGGCGCGGCGGGGAGCGTGACCTACCGCCACCGCCACCGCCACCGCCACGGCGATCGTCACGCCCTGATGGGCTGGATGGGCGGTCTCGCGAGCGGCCTCCGACGGGGGAGCTCGATCCAGACGTCTCTGTAGCAGGAGCAGCAGCGCTGCTCTTGTCCTCATCGTTCGCTGGCAAATAGCTCTGCCCTCGCGCCGCAAAGTTTGCCTGGATTTCCTTGGTGATTGGCACTGGGATGCGCGGAAGCAGCGTGCCCAAGAACTTTGAGTCGACGAGCAATCCACGCACAAACTCGCCAATGGTTGTGGGTTGCGCCGAGGCAGCCCATTGCAGCTTGATGGGCTCCTGGTCCTCGAGGTACGGCTCGAACCAGTCCCACAAGTCCTTTGGCGGCGTGCAGTAGCGCAAGTACAAGAATCCGATCGCTCTAATCGCGTGCAATTCAAATGCCAAGCACCAGCGCAGTGAGTTGCAGTTCCAATTGAGGTAGCATGTTCAGCATTCGTGACGAATGGATAGCAGTTGTATGAGGTGGCATTGGCAAAGTTGGCCGTTTTTGACCTTTGGATTTTTTTTTTTTTGGATCCGAGTCTGGATGAGCATACCCAAAACATGGCTGGCTTTACCTGATGAACGGCGAGTCGGCGTGGTTGAGCATGGCTGTGAGCTGGTTCTCAGTCAGCCGCAGCACAAAGAGCTTGTACAGCAGGCAGAACGCGGACGACGCTTTGGTGCCGCCGCCGGGCATGAACGGCTCGAGGTCCGACACGCTATTGAAGATCTCATCGATGAGCTGGGGGTGGACCGCGGGGAGGAGGGGGGGGGGGATCCAGGAGCAGAGAGCGAGGCAAGGAAAACGATGCAGGAACGACATGCACAAAACGGCAAGAAACAAGTACCAAAAGCAAGGTCGGTCGGTGAGTTTAAACGGGTTTAAATCAATCTTAGCTCATACTGATCGTTCTGCGATTGCTGAACACTCTGTCTGTCGTTCCTTTGCTCGTTGCTTGTGACTTGCGTTTTGGGACTTACCTCTTGGTAGGTGTTGAGCTCGCTGAGGTCTTCCTTGTAGTAGCGCGCACTGAGAATGTTTTGGTGAAGCAGAAGGTTGAGATTCATTGTCTGCTGGTTGCCCCACAACTCCAACGCGTTCTTCACCATGATTGAAGGGATTTTGAGATTGAAACAAGGGCGAGAAGGGGTCGGTGGGTCGGTGGGTCGAGGGTTATGGGTGGGGGGTTTGGATTGAGTGCAGAAAGAAAGAGAAAGAGCAACAAATAAGAAAAGACTGAGCTGCTCAGAATCTGAGAGTACAGGCCCACTCAACCGATCGAGTCTTGCTTCTGAGGCTGGTGTGAGCAGCCAGGATTCGCAAATCTACCAAATCAAATCCAATGCAAGTCCACTCTACTTTTTTTCTGAGCGACTTTGACGACGATGGCCAAACCAAAGCCCAATGGTGCTCCAGCCAAGTCGGCTCCAGCCAAACCGGCTGCTTCTTCAGCCAAGAAGACCAAGTCATCGACCTCTGCTGCTGCTGCTCCTGTTGCTGCTGCTGCTACGACTGGGACGACTGCGGATGGCCGCTTTGCCCACGTCGCGTACGACCCGCGCTTCAAGGCAAGCTTGACGGCCACCGCTGATGTGACTTTGGGGAAGGGGTGTGTGTGTGTGTGTGTGTGGTTGATCTCGACATCGATTGACAATGTCGGTTGGCGTGGAGTGAAGAGTGAAAGACCGAGTGAGTGTCATCCACATGGAAGAGCGCTTTGCCACACACATGGCCTCACACACAACCATACCATGAGCCGCAGTCAAAAGGCGACTCTGACCAAACCCCCCCGGGTTGTTTAAAGTCAAAAGTTGGTACTCTGCCGAAATGGAATCTCGTGTGCAAGCTAGAGCGACAGGAAACAAAAGGAAGCGGGAGTTGAATGGCGATTGACTGGGATGAACACTTCAACTGCCAACAACGCATGCATCAGGAAAAAACATGCTAACATTGAACATGTCCAACTGTATGGCGAGGGCGGCATAGAGGGGAGCGGGAAGGACGCGGGGTTTTTGGAAGAAAGCGTCATTGTCTGAGATTCAACGGCGGCAGAGTTTTCTCAGACTGACTCAATGATACTCATCGCTCGATTTCCAACTGTGCCTTTTGTTGTTTCGTTCATAGACTCTGCCAAGCAAAAAGTCGCGCATTCCCATCGAGTCGCGCTTCAAGGCCATGTTCAACGACGATCGATTCAATCCCAAATGTAAAGGCATTCGCAATCGAATGCAAAAAAATTGATGCCTAACATTTGTGCTCACTGGGTATGAGTGACTGTCACAGTCACCGTGGACAAGCGCGGTCGTCGAATTGACAGCACTGCAGTGGCAATGCGCAAAGACGATCTCTCGCGCTTTTACGAGCTACAAGATGAGGAGGGCAATGCAGCAAGCGACGACGACGACCAAGACGACCAAGACGACCAAGAAGACCAAGACGATGGCGAGGACGAATCGGACGTGGACGACTCGGAAGCACCCGAATTGGACGAGCAAGCCAAGCGATACGCGCGGGCACGCGGTCTTGTCGACGCTTCCTCGTCGGAAGACGAAGATGCCGACGCGGACGACAGCGCCGATGACGCAGACGCCGCAGAGCTTGGAGCAGAGGACGAAGAATCAGACCCGTGGGCCCTCGACCAAGAGGAAGTGCCGATGGGCGACGATGTCACGAGCCGCCTTGCCGTTTGCAATTTAGACTGGGATCACTTGCGTGCGGTCGACCTGCTCGTGCTCTTCAACTCCTTCAAGCCTGCCGGTGGCACAATCCGAAGCGTGACCGTCTATCCCTCACGTTTCGGTGCCAACCGCATGGCGATTGAAGATCGTGAAGGTCCGTTTGCCGCCATGGCGCGCGAAGGCCGTCTTCCCGCCGCCGCCGCCGCCGCAGCCGACGACGACGACAACGACAACGACAACGACGACGACAACGACAACAACGACAACGAAGAGGCATTCTCATCCAACGACAAGGCCGATTCCAACAAGCAGCTGCGCAAGTATCAATTGTCGCGCATGCGCTACTACTATGCCATCATTGACTGCGACACCCCCGAGACTGCAAACGCCATTTACGATCAGGTATGCAAAAGGCCGAGAGGTGGATACTGGTGTGCTCGTCAAGTGTTTTTTTCTATTTATTTTTTTCTCCGCCGCTCTGATCTTTACTTACCGTCCATATCCTTTGTTGAAATGTCTCTCCTGCAGTGCGACGGCTTGGAACTCGAAGCATCCAGCAACGTGGTGGATCTCCGCTTTGTGCCAGATGACGAAACATTCGACGAATTCCCGCCCCGAGACTCGTCGACCGAGCTGCCTGCAGCAGCCAGCTTCCGGCCGCCAGAGTTTTACTCCTCAGCCCTGCAATCCTCACGCGTCAAGCTCACTTGGGACGAAGACGACGATCAGCGCGTTGCCTTTACGCGTCGCAAGTTCACCAAGGAAGATGTGCAAGAGAATGACATTCGAGCCTACCTTGCCAGCGACAATAGCGATGACGACGAGGATGACGACGAGGATGACAATGACGATGCTCCTGCGGCCCGCAAGTCCAAGTCTGCTGGCTCAGGATTTGTCATTGAAGAGCCCGCCTTTACAATCGAAGAGCCTGCCGGCGTGGCACAAAGCGATTCCGAGGGCGAAGCGACTACTGCGAACGCAGACGACGATTTCTTCAAGCCGGCGGCAGCCACAGGCAACTCCAAGAAGAAGCAGCGCAAGGCCGACACTGCTGCCAAGTATCGAGAGCTTTTGGCTGGCTTCAAGAGCGACAGCATGAGCGGGCGAAATCGTGATCGCCACTTTGCCGCGTCTGCCGCTGCCCAGGCTGGCGACGACGACGATGGCGATGCCAGCAATCCCCAGGAGATGCAAATTACGTTTGCCCCCGGCCTGCGTGCGGCGGCCGAAGAAGCTCTGAAGCGCAAGGACGAGAAGGAGCGCTCGGCAAACAGCGACCTCACCGTGTGGGAGCAGCGCCTGGAGCGCATGCGTGAGCGCAAGCGTCTGCGTCGCCGCGAGCTCGCCTCCCAGTACAAGAGCAAGGCCGATGGCGAGGACGCTGAAGATCGTAGCTACGGTGGCGCGCGCGGCGAGCCCACCGCCACCTTCAGCGACGACGAGGTGGATGTCGACATGAACGACCCGTACTTTAAGAATGCAATGGCGGCCGAGTTTGGCGCAGACTTTGCTGGTGGCAACGCCAAGTCGGCAAACGCAAACGCAAAGGGCAAGGGCAAGAAGCAGTCCAAAAAGCCCGTGCTGCTCTCCGCCGAAGAGCAAGCCCAGCAGGCCAAGGAGCGGGCAGAGCTCGAGCTGCTCATGCTGGACGAGAAGCCGTCCGAGTTGGTTGGCAAGCACTTTAGCCTCGCCAAAATCATCGACAGCGAGAAGGGCAAGAAGGGCAAGAAGGGCAAGAAGGGCAAGCAGGCTGCTGCTGGAGGTGCCGACTCTGACGAAGAGACTGGCGCCCAGGACGACTTCCGTCTGAATGTGAACGACGATCGCTTCAAGTCGCTCTTCTCGTCTGCCGACTTTAGCATCGACCCGACCAACCCCAAGTTCAAAAAGACCAAGGCCATGCAGACCATTTTGGACGAGCGCACCCGACGACGCACCGAGGTCGAAGAAGCGCGCGATCGCGGCCAAACCCTTCCTCCAGCAGAGCCCTCCAACAAGAAGGCCCAACAAGGTCAGGCGGCGGCAGGTGGCCGGCGAATGGACCCCAACCTCTCCCTGCTGGTGAACTCTGTCAAGCGAAAGGCCCAAGACGCGCTCGTTGCTCAACAGCCGAAAAAGGCGCGTGTTTGATTGATGTGGTATTATTTTTTTGGTGGATTACACGACGTTCGTTTTTTTTTTTTTTTTTCGCAGCTCCGTTTTTTGTTTTTCCCCCCGAGTCACGAAGATCACCCCCAACTCCAAAAGAACTCCAACAATAGTTCCTCAACACCACACAGCAGAACGACCTTTGACTCGCCCGATTCCAAAACACAATTTTTTTTTTTTTTTTTTTTTGCACAAACAAAAACGTCATGATGTTTGTATATAAAGGTGAAACAAAGACAAGACACACACAGATCGCTCACTGCCACCACACGCTGCAAGTCGCATTCATTTAGAACAGGTTGATCTTCTTCTTGGTGTCAGTCTTCTTCCAGGCGGGGAGCTTGGAGAACTCCTCGCGAGACATCTTGAAGACAGTCTTGAAGTCGGCGTCGCTCAGCCAGCGCTCGCGCTCAGCCTTGTCAACATCCTCGGGAATCGGGTGGGTGGTGAGCTGGGCAAAGGTGTAGAACTTGGTGACGGGGCCAGACTTGTCGACCGAGCTGAGGAGGGCAGCGCCAGAGGTGGGGCCGGACGAGCCAATCTGGGCCTTGAGCTGCTCGTACGTCAGACCGTTGGACCATTTGTCGGCATCCCAAGCGCCAAAGTAGGCGGTGAACGACGGCGGCTCGTAGCCTTGCTTGACAACGTTGATGGGGGTGTCCTTGTCGCGGCCAGCGGGGTCGGTGGTAATGTACTCGGTGGCAGTGCGAACGGCCTCAGCCTTCTCCTTGTCGTTGGCGCCAGAGCCGAGCCAGAGAACAAGCTCGTCGTACGTGTCGAGGAGCATGACGTCGTCCTCGACGAGATCGGACTGGTCAAAGTCGAAAATCTCCTCAACGTAAAAGTAGCCCTTGCTGTTCGAGCACTGGAAGAGACGCGGGGCGCGGCCGGCAGAGTCGGCAAGACGAGGGGACGAGGCGTACTCGCCCTTGCCGCCGAGGGCAGCCCAGAAGTCAGCGGGCTCGCTGCCCTCCGAAACGTTGTCGGCCTCTTTGCCGCCAGCAACCTGCTTGGCAACAATCTTGGCAATCTCGCGCTCGTCGCCAGTGGCGCCCTTGCCAAACCAAATGTACACCTTCTTGGGGGTCTCGAGGACGAACGTGTCGTTCGAGTTGAGGGAGGCGGCGCGCTCGGCAACCTGGACGGCGCGGGTGTTGAACTCGTTGGTGCCGCGAACCTGGAAGAGGCGGGTGCCGTCAGTGTCGTACGAGTCAGCCTGGGCAGCGTTCTTGAAGCCAGAGCCCTTGCCGCCTTCGTGGACCATCATCTTGCCCTTGAAGAGGCGGAGGAAGTGCTCGGGCTCCTTGTTCTGGACAACACGGACCTGGACGGGGGCACCGCCGAGCTCGTCGTCGAGCTTGGTGGCGAGGATGGCCGAGGCGCCCTTCTCGTCGGTGGTGGACTTGAGGCCCTGCCAGTAGTAGATAATGTAGCACTCCTTGCTGTTCTTGAGGTAAGTGTACAGGAGAATGTACGAGTCACCAGAGTAGAACTGGCCATACTCGGCCTGGGGGATGGCCACCTTCTCAAAGTTCTCAATGCGCCAGATCTGGAGCTTGCCAGAGCCGTCGTCGACAGCGGCCTCGCGCTCGCGAGCAGCCTGGCTGTGCATGCCCTTGACGTCGACCTTCTTGTTGGGATCGACGCGAGCAATGTTCGAGCGGTTGCTGCCCTGGGGGGTGGTGCCGGCAGCAGCCTCGGGCCAGACGGCAAAGTTGGCCTTGAAGAGGGGCGTCTCGCCAGACTCGTTGACCTTGGTGACCTGGGTGTGCGAGGGGTACTTTTTCTGGGCGATAAAGTCGGTGGCGAGCTTCATGGCCGACGAGCGCTCCTGCTTGGTGGCCTTCTTGCCAATCCAGGCAAAGATGGCAGCGCCGCCCTGATCGAGGATGAAGCAGTCGTTGGTGTCGAGCATGTCCTTGTTGAGCGGGGGCGAGGCAACCTCGGTGATCTTGACCGAGCCAGAGGCGTCCGAAACGCGGTAGAGCTTGACGTCGGCCTGCTTGGAGCGCTCAAACGAGGCGTCATCGCCGCCCTCCTCGGCAGTCTTGATGCGCTTCTTGCCGCCAATCTCGTTGAAGAAGGCAGTGTCGTCGTCAGAGCCATCCTCAATGACGGCAATCTCGGCGTTTCCACCGCGCTCCTCGTCGCGGATGCGCTTGCTGACCTCGAGGCCCTTCGAGCGCTCGGCCTTGGACGAGTCGCGGCCGTTCCACTGGATGATCTGGCGGCCATTGTCGAGGATGAAGACGTCGCCCTGGTTGAGCGAGTCGGACGAGAGGGCGACCTGGGCCACACGGACCTGGCGCTTGCCCTTGAGGTGGAGGAGGCGCTTCTCAAACTTGTCCTTCTCGACGTGCTTGAAGCCAGACTCGACACCGCCAGGCAGGTACTTGATGCCCTTGGGGAAGAGGGCGAGGAACTGGTTGGACTCGTGGCCCTCAACCTCGCGGAACTGGACGGGCGCGCCGCCGAGCGAGTCGTCAAGCTCGACCGTCTTGTACGCAGCAACACCAGCCTCGTCCGACGACGTCTCCTTGCCGAGCCAGAAGTGGATGTTCCACTCAAAACCGGCCGACTTTGCCTTGGTCTGCAGGCAAATGTACGAGTCGCCAGAGTGGAACGAGCCGTGCTTGGACGCGTCCACAAGGATGGGCTTCAGCTTCTCAATGCGCCAGATTTCAAGGCCGGCCTTCTTGCCAGCGTTAGCGAATGCGGGATCGACGGACATGGTTAGGGTTGCGAGTTTGGTTTTTTTTTTTCTGTCGAAAATGTACCAAGTTAGAAATTGGTTGATGATTCAAACATGTCAAACAACAACAACAAAGCTAAGAAAGGTGCGAATGGGGGAAGGGGAACAACTAGAGAGAGAGAGAGTGAGGACATGCTTTCCAATTTGCGTCGTTTCATGTTGCTCTCCAATTCTCAATGCACTTGCACTGCATTGTGCACACGTTTGAAAGTGATCACGAAATTTTTCTTTTCGTTGTGTTTTTTTCCTTTTCTTTTTTGTTATGGTTGATTTTTTTGTTTGCTGCATCATCGTTACGTCCAAATCAGGAAGGCGATCTTTTTTCCCCTGTTTTTATTATTATTTTTTTTTTTGTTTTGCCTTTCTCATCATCACCAATTGTTGGTGTTGCAGGTCGCTCGTGGAAACCAGACATGCAAACGCAACCCACTCGCCAAGCGCACATCTTGCCAGCGCGTCGCAGTGCAGCGCTGAATCGAGTAAAGTAAAAAAAAAAAAAAAAAAATTCATAAAAAAAAAAATCGTTTTTTTGTGTTTTGTGCTTGTTCGAATAAAATGCAAACCCACTGTGTAGCGTCAAGCCACATCAGCACCAAGACACCGACCAAACAGCGCGATTGACAGCCGTTGCGACAACCAAAGCGCAGCTCAGTGGCACCGAGGCGCAATCGAACACGGCCGAAAAAAAAGAACGAACGAACGAACAATTGAAAAAAAGAAAAAAAAAGCAAAAATCGCAATGACGAAGCACAGCGAAGAATTTTGTTGAGTTGGCTTGGAAAAAAAAAAGCATGGCTCTCAAAGTGTCATCGTGGAAACGATGTCATTGAGTGCAAGTGTTGAATCGATTGGGGTTTTGATCGAGTTTTAGAGTCAAAGCTTTTGGAGAGAAATCGTCACAAAGTCAAAAGAAGAAGAAAAAAAAAAGAATTAAAAGTCATGATTTGGCTTTTTTTTTTTTTTTTTGTTTTTTGTGTATTGGATCGCGTAAAGTCGCAGTTGGGGCTCAGCCGCCCACATCCCCACATCGAGACAACCGTACACGATGGAGACTCGAACTGTGCAAGAAACGCTCGCGCTCTCGATTGAGAACAAGGCAAACGAACGCGCTGAAACGAAAAAAAAAAAAGAAAAAAAAAGGGAAAATTTTTGGCATTTTTTTTGCTGTTCAACGAAAACAGCAAGCGAGCAACCGCTCCCGAGAATCGATCGTCAGATAGAATGATAGAATGAAGATGATGATGGATGAGAGCGAGTGCGGGGAAGAGCGAACGATGATGGGTGGAAAAAAAAAACTTACAAACGAAAAACAGAAAAAGAACTGAACGAAACACCATTTTAGGGTTGTGTAATGGAAACCAACTCATTTTGAAATGAAAAAAAGAAAAAAAAGAAAACGAAGGAAGGAAGGAAGGAAGGAAGGATTGTGAGTTGGAAAGCATCAAAAGAAGAAAAGAGCGATCCACGACAACGACAATGGCAGAGAAGAGGAAAGAAGACATCAAAGTGCAAAATCAACGAAGATGCAGAAGAAAAGGAAAAAAAGGGAATAAAACGAAAAAAACAAAAACCATTTCAATTTACAGTTGACACTCAATCGGTGGATCAGAGCGGGAATGGGGGGCAGAGAGGCTCAGCACACAGGACGAGTGACAGAGTGCGAGAACACACACAGCCACATGGAGCTGGAGGGGGGGCGCAGTGCTCTGACGCGAACGGAGAAGGACACCAATTTTGACCGTGGAATCTTGAAAAACCAAACTCTTGGTGTGCAAAATTGGTGAAAATTGGTGAAAATCAGTATACATAAAAAATCAACAAAAAAGCGTCCAACGATAGAAATATGAACAAACGAATAAAGTCTGTGTACTGTCGTATGCAACCCCCTTCAATCCAGCGATAACAGCAAGAATTCTAAGAGTCATTTGTTAAAATTCAAACCGATTACACTCCGAAAAACACAAACAAACACACACATGCACACACAAAGCACTCAAACACGCAAAATCTCTGACAAATTTGTTTTTCTCGTTTTCTTGGTTTTTTTTTTTTGGTTCACCATTATTGCAACCATCGTTTAACGACGCTCCTTGTGCAGGTACTTGAGGCAGAGGAAGGCCATGATGTGGAAGACAAAGAAAAAGCCCAGGAGCACGTATTGGTTGTCGGCAACGGTGGTGGGGTTGCTGAAGTGCGCCTCTTCAATGATGGAGAAGCTTGGATCCGAGTTGGCGTCGTAGCCTTCAAACTCGTTGAGCACCACGCCGGCATACGCGTACTTGAGGAAGGACGTGTACTGCAGCCACTCGGTGACCTCGTTGAAATTGCTCGGAATGACGAGGAAGCCACTGAAAATCTGGCACAGAATGACAAAGCCAGCTCCGAGCGCGAACGCCATGTCTTGGTTTGGCCTGCACGAGCACACAACAGAGGAGCACACACAAAGAGACACAATGGTTAGGCACAGCGAGCGACACGATGGAGAGCACCCAACATTGGAAATCAAAGCAATGCTACTGACATCATGAGGCCACAGAGCTGAACCATCTGGTTTCCGACAATGTGCAGAAGAGTCATGATGCGCAAAAAGACCCAGAAGCCGTTGGCGTTTCGCTCGGCTCCCTACAATTTGGATTTCCGAACAGACAGTCGGCTCAAAACGTTAGTCTCAAATCGCATCATCAAACACACAGTTGACACACAATGTTTACGCAGCGCGCGCCTTACCAAAATGTTGTCCGACAAACCCAAATCAATCATCCAGTATGCAACCGAGGCCGAAATAGCCACGTTCGCGGCATTAAAGGTCAACTCGACAAGCGAGTTGGCCAAGTAGTACGCGGATGGGGTGTACAGGCGGGCAGCACTCTCGCGCGAGTAGAACTGACGATCGTAGATAAATAGCGAGAGGGAGGTGAATGGCTGTGTGTGTGTGTGTGTGTGTGTGTGTGTGGCAAAGGAGCCAAATAGAAAAGAACAAGCGAAAACGGTGAGCAACACAGCACTTGCACACCAAAATCAACCACAACACATACACAAAACTCACCAGCAAAACGTAAATCACACAGAGGAAATACAACGCGCCGAGACGGCTGTTGAGAGCGTCCCAGTGCTCGGACAGGCCAAAGAAGGCGGCGCCAGTCATAAAGCCGGTGAACGCGACAAGAACAAAGCGCGCAATGACATTGCCTGGGTTGCGAACATAGTTGGTGATGGCGCGCTTGAGCAGGACGCCGAATTGCGTGCCCCAGGGTGCCATGGACTGGTGCTCGGCATTGCCAGCCATCTTGCGGGAGCTCTCGATGACGCGGCGCCAGAGCGACGACTGCATCTTGGCGTCCTTGTCCTTGCCAAAGCGCGTCATGAGCTCGAGCGTCTGATCCACACCTCGGCTGTAGCTGACAAACTTTTGCTGTCGGCGAAGCAGCGCCATGTGTTCGGACTTGGCAAAGGCGTCGGCGGCGTCCTCGACGTGCTCGAGCTTGCGCATGGTCTTGTTGCCAAACAGCGCAGGGTCCTTGTGGAACGAAATGCTGGTGAGATCGAGCAAAAAGTCGGCGGGGTTGGCTTGCGGGTCGGTGGGGTAGCCGAGCGAGTTGAACCATTCGGTGGCGCGCGAGGCATCGCCCATGTACATGAGGCGGCCGTTGGCAAGGAGCATGACCTTGTCGAACATGCGCCAAATCGAGGTGCGGGGCTGGTGGATGGTGGCAATGATGGTCAGCCCTTGCGTGGCGAGTCGGCGAATCATTTCCATGACCATCAAGGCCGAAAGCGCGTCGAGGCCAGACGTGACCTCGTCCAAGAAGAGAATCGCGGGGTTGGCAATCAGACCGCACACCATCGAGAGACGACGCTTCTGGCCACCCGACAAGCCGCGCACAGTGATGCCGCCCGGAAGCGGGCCGCCCACCTTGCTGTCGACGTACTCGAGGAGACCCGACTCGAGCAAGAGCATCTCGCAACGGCGCCAGCGCGCCGCGGGGGTTGCGTACGCAGGCATGCGCAAGGTGGCATAGTACATGACAACCTCGCGCACAGTGACCGTGGGCAGGAAGAGATCTTCCTGGGGCACGTAGCTGGACATTTTGTAAAAGGACGAGTTGCGCTCGTGACCGTTGATGAGAACGCGGCCTTCGACATTGCCAGTGTTTTTGCGCATGGACAGGACGTCGAGCATGGTGGACTTGCCCGCGCCAGAGGAGCCGAGCAAAGCAGTCATCGTACCAGGCGCAATGTAGCCGGTGAGATTGTGAAGCACGCGGTTGGACTCCTGGGTCTTGGGATCGACATAGTCGAGCGTAATGTTCTCAAAGTACACGTCCGTCGGAGTGAAGAGCATGGAGCTGCCGTTCGCGCGCGAATCTGGCACAGTGATCGAGACGTGACGGTCGCGGATGCGCAAAAACTCTTGCAGCGACACCTTGCCGTCCACAGCCAGCGGCTCGTCTTCGAGAAGCTTGTTCACGTCGTCAGAGACGACTTCGTCCAGCGGGATGCCGGAGGCTGCCGAGAGCGCCGCACGCAGAGTGTGACGTTCAATGTAGCCGTCGTTGTCACGGTCGAGCTCGGCAAACATGACGCGAGCGCGCGCCTCAGCGGGAGTGACATTGATGGCAAGCGTGTCGCTGTCGATAGCACCCTCCTTTTCTTTGCCGAGAAGCGTAATGCGGTCCTTGGTGGCAGCACGCTGACGCGCACGATCGGCCTCAAACTGAGCTTGGGCGCGAGCCGACACCTCGGCGTCCTTCTTCTTGTTGCGGAACTTGTCGGACAGGGCGTACAGCAACGAAAGCGCCAGTCCGATAAAGGCAAGAATGCCTCCGACGATGGCACCAATGTTCTGGCGCGACAGGCCAGAGTCATCGTCCGAGCTCATGCAGTACGGGGAGTCGCGGCAGGCGTCGAGTGCCTGCGCGTCGATTGCCGCGGACGCCTTTTGGCTGGTGACCAGGATTGGAACTGTAATGAACATGCCGGGGATTTTCGGGAAGACGGAAGCATCGACGACGCGCAGATTTCGGACGCCGTACACGCGAAAGTTTGAGTCGAGCACGGCCATGGGGTCTTCCTGCTTGCCAATCTTGGCAGTGCAGCACGCATGGTGGCCCCAAGTCGTGTCGCGGATGTGCTGTTCGACCTCTGCGTCCGTTTGCACGCTGGGTCCGGGATACAGCTCCTCTGCAAACAGCGAGCTGGGGAGGCCGGCCTTGAGCGATTCGTTGCGGACGACGTCGGCCATCTCACGCATCAGCTTGAAGCCTTGAACGAGTGCGTTCAGGTCCTCGTCTGCACCCTCCTGGAAGTACCTAAAAGTTAATGTTTGGCGGCATGAAGGGATCCTTGGACTGGATTTTGACAAATCCGGCGCGGTTTTGCGTGTGCGCCTTCAGGAGCAGGTACGTCCAGCGATCGTGCAGCAAGCGCAGGTTTTCGTCGCGAGACCAGCCTGGGCGGTAGCCCGTAAAGTTGCCCGCACTGCCAAAGAGGAACATGTCTGGAGCGGGAAGCGACGCGTTCGACTTGCGCGTCACGCCAAGGACGGGGCCGTTGAGCGAGAGGATGGACTGTTGCTCATTCTTGTCGAGCGACTCGCGGCACCAGCTGTACAGGTCGCGGCACGGGTAGTTAAAGTCGACCAGCGTGCTGGACACGACGGCAATTTCGTAACGGTCTTGCAGGTTGGCGCCCACGCCGGGCAGGTCGACCAACACGGTAATGTTCTTTTCCTGCAAAACCTCACGAGGGCCGACGCCCGACAGCATCAAGATCTGCGGTGTGTTGAACGCTCCCGCAGAAATGATGACCTCGCGTTGCACAAAGGCAGAGCCATTGACAGAGTTGCCGGGAGTCGGGGGAGTCGCCATCGGCGACGCGCCGTACAGCTGCTCGTTGTTCAAGCTGCGCGTGTACTGGACGCCAACAGCCACTTTGGTGTCTGGCGTGATAATGACGCGCGTGACATGGGTGTTGGTCATGACGTGCAGATTGTCTGGGAAACGGCGCACCGTGTCCATGATGAATTCGCGCACGCCATAGCGCTTTCCCTTGTAGGTCATGGTTGGCATGATAAAGTGGCCTTCCTTGTCCGTGTCATCTAGGGGTTGAGGAAGCAAGAGGATGGCGCAGAGTGGGAAAGCGATGTTTTGAGTGGACATTCTTTCAGAAAACAACAAGTTTCCAAAGCAGCAGTTCCCAAAGAACTTACCATAGTTGAAGGGGTCAAAATAATCATTCAGCTTGCCTTTGGAGACATTCTGGAAGGAGAGAACCGGAATGGTGATCAGAGAGTCGAGTTCCAGCGGAGGTTTGGCCAGATTGACTTGGGCCGTCGGCATCCATCCACGCTGCAGCAGCGGTTGACAAGTTGAGCACACAAAAAGCAAGACACGAGGCGGGAAACGATGAGCAAACAGCAGACGGTTTTGTTTTTCAAAAGACACCTCGAGAAACATATCCAAGTCTTTTGTTGGTTTTTTGAACTTACATAGCCGTGGTCGTTGGGGTTGCCTGGATAGGGCGAGTACGAGCAATTTTCGATGGATTTCCAGTGTTGGCGCATTTGAATGGGGTCCCAAGACGAGTCGCCAGTGAGCTGGGCAATCTCCTCAAAGTCGACCTTGTGTGGCGGATGAGCGATCAGCGCGTGGTGTTGTGTGCAACCACCGAGAACGCCAGCGCGCGGGTACTGGACATCCGGACCTCCGTCATAATGTTTCACTAGAAGTTTGGGACGAACGGGTTAGCGGTTGGCTGGAGTGAGAAACAGAAAAAAAAAAACGAAGCATTTGCAACAACAAAACATTGGCGGCTGAATGCTTACCTCGGTAATCAAAAGCTTGTCCGGGGTCCTCTGCATTTCAGAAGCAAAAGCAGAAAAAAATCGAAAGCAAAACAACGGTGAGAAACAAACAAGTGTCCCAGCCCACGCTTGTGCCACACACTCACCGACACTCAGGGCATTGTGGATTGGAACGCTCGCGTTGTCCGAGGTGTAGTTGGAGCCGGACTCGATCAAAAGCACCTTCCAGCCCTTGCGAGCGAGGTTGCAGGCGAGAGGGCCGCCACCGGCACCACTGCCGACGACAATGTAGTCGTAGCGGGTCTTGTTGTTTGGAAACGGCAACGGGTTGGACGATGCGTGCGCGACGGGCGTGTGCACCGAAAGCATCGCTGCCAGGACGGCGAGCGTTGCGAGGACGACAGCCGTCATTGCCGAACGTGGCACGCGCCAGCCTTGCATGCTCGAGCCGGCTCCGGCGTGGCGGAGCTGTTGAGAAGCAGCCATAGCTGGCTTGATTTAGGGGTTTCGGAGTTTCTTGTTTTTCACGCGCGTGCCAAACTGGGGGAAAAAAAGCTTCCAAGCGCTTGGCTTTGACTTGAGTTGTGTCGAGAAGCTGCTTGTTGGTTGGAGGGTTGCCTGTTGGAAGCCTTTTCGACTGTGATGGGCAAAAAACAAAACAAAGAAAAAAACCAAAAAACAAAAAAAAAACAGCAGAAAACAAGGGGTCAGTATACTTTGAAATGCACGTACTCAAAGGCTCAGCAACAAAGTCTTTGCATCTGGCAAGTAGAAGGTGAATCCCACAAGGCCAAAGCGACCAACCCGCACACTCAGATACTCAGCGAGAGCAAAAAGAAAAAACAAAAGATGAGCGCTGATTTCGTTCGTTTGGCTCGTCAACAGCCTGTTCACTTTAACGGCACAATGAGAAGCCCAACAAACGGATCAAACCAAAAGGAAGATTCACTTTCGAGTCAAATCCAGAGCAAAGAAGGAGAAAAAAAAAAAAAAAGCAGGCGAGGAATTTATTTTCCCAGATTTATCCGTTGCGAATCTTTGACAAAAAGAGCCACCCGGCAAAGCGGAAAGGACTGCCTCCAAGAAACGAGCGGATTCAAACACATTGCTTCCGTGACTTCCTTCTCACTCTCTTCCTTCTCACTCTCCACACAGTCCGGAAGTGAAACTGTTATGGAAGTGATACCCCGAAATTCGCAAGAGAACAGTGCAAAAGCCATGATTTTTTTTTTTTTTTTTTTTTTTTTTTTTTGGTTTTGCGCTGGTTCAACAGTATGTGGTCTGTTTCGCTGCACAATGGACGAGCACTCGCGCAGCGCTCTCCCAGCTTGTTCTCGCTGCTCGTGTTGTTGTTGTTTTGCTAAACTTTGCCGTGAAAAACGAACGAACAAACCAACGAGGAAAATCGCTTCCAAAGAAAAAAAAAACAGTGAAAGAAAAAATCGAACAAAATACCAGCAAATGACTGAAGCGTGGAAAAATATCACAAAATGGAAGTTAAATAGAAAAAAAAAAAAAGAATACTATGAAGATGCGAAACTCGACACGACAGCACGTTTGCCTTTGTTCACTCTCTCGTTCAGTGACGACAAGCGGTCTTCTCGCTTGCTTGCTTTCTGGATCGTTTTGAGTATTATAAATTTTTCAATTCCCGTTCAAACCTCCAAAGACGGATAAAGAAAAAGCCAGGAATGCGAAAAAATGGACAAAACAGCACGAAACCGCAAGACCGTATCAGAAAAATACAAAAAGAGGGTGTTTGGAATCTTGGCCGTGCGTCTGGATTTGCGTCGCGTTTGTGTGAACGGGGAAACAACTGCGATGGCGATGGCCGGGCAGACCGTGTGTGTGTGGGGACTTGAGCTGATGGTTTGGTGGTCAGGCGACAGATGACCTGTTGAGTGGGTTTGTTTTTTTGTTGTTGCTTTTGTTTCTGACGCGCCCTTCCTTCTTGTTATCATTGATTGGAGCAATATTGCATTACAATGGAGTGGCCACATGACAGAATCGCAAGGCCTGTTGCCGCCGGAAGGCACGGCACTCTAGAGTGCCGCTGTGGGGTGGACAAGAGGTGTCATACCGTTGATGAGCCCTGAATCGTCAACCACTCCAAACGCGGCCTATTCGACATTCGCGTTCGCCACTTGCTCCTGCTCCACCCGCCCAGCCCAACCGAGCAAAACAACAGCAAGCCCCCTTCAACAGCAAGCCCCTCAAGGTATGCAACGCAAACGGGACACGGCGAAAAAGGGTGTCACCTCGCAAAATAGCAAGGAGTCATCGTACCACGCATTTTTTGCCGCGTGCTCAACCCCACACTCCCCGTTTGTCTCCATCGCTCTCCCATCGCTCTCCATCTGTCTCCAACCAATCTCGACCTCCTCCTTCAGTTCATCATTGTCTGCCGTTTTGGCTCTCGTTTCGTCCACCCGTTTCGCGATTCCATTCGCAGTTCCATTCGCAGATCTTGATCGCGTGGAATTTCGATTGGATTTTTTGCGGTTTGACGGTTTCGCTTTTTTTCCGTTTTTCCATTTCAGCCTTTTTGAGGGCGAGTTGGCCGAAAAAGTCAATCGCAATGCTAAAAAGGCAGGCTCGGCGAAGATCCACACCAGCACGCGTCGTCCTAATCAGTACCGCTTGGCATTGTGGTATGACTCTCATGCGACAAAGCAGAAACACCGCATTCTCAAAGCTCTGCAAACAAAAAGGTTGATGATTTTTGTTTTTTCGCATTCATTTTTCGCTTTTCCTTGTTCTGCTGCTTCTGCTGCTTCGGATTTGCCGCCTCTCCTTCTCGCTGGAACTTGGCAACACTGTGCTGAACGTATCGCAACGAGAAGAACGATTGCCAGGACCTCGAATTCTCTCCATCGTCAAACCTAAACACGGAACATATTTGTCGTCTTCAGTCACCTTTTTTTTTTTATTTCTTTTTCCTTCCCTCTTTCATTGTTCACTCGCGATTTTTTTTTGTTGGAACTTTTTTTTCTTTATTTCTTCCGTTGCTCTTCTCTTCTCTAAAGTGGCCATCTACCATGCTGCAATCTGCGCTGTCCGTGGCGCGAGCTCTGGCGCTGCCAGTATTCATCCTCGCGTCCTTTGGCGGCATCACCCCTGCTCGTGCCGACGCGCACGTCACCACGGCTGAATACGACTCGGCAATGTGCCAAAATATGGCGCTCTGTGTTGCAAGGTAGTTGAACAAGCCGAGAGCATTTTCAACCCTCTCTTCAACAACCAAAAAAAAAAAAAAAAAAAAAAAAAAAAAAAAGCTGCATTTATTTTGGCTGGAATGACTTTTTTTTTTTTTTTTTTTTTGTTTTTGATTTTTTTTATGCGGAATGCTCTTTGAACAAGAGTCGCTTCTTCGGAGGGCGTGAGTTTTTAGTGCTACGCCATAGCAAGCCATTCTAAACTCACGTTTAAGTGCGTTGAGCAATGTCAGACACCTCGAAGCGCTTGAACGAAGGCGAGACAAATGCTGCGAATTCCTCTTTTTTTTTTTTTGAGTATTTTTCGATTTTTTTTTTTTTTCGTTTTTCGTTTTTTTTTTATTTCTTCATTTCATCCCAACTTCATCAAAAACGGCAAAAAAGAGTTCAGCTCAGAAAGCACGGTGAAAATGTTCCAAAACGCACTTCAAACCACACCGAACACATCGAGAAATCTGAAAACACCGGTCGACAACCGGGGAAAGGGTTGAAAATGTTCGCCTTTTCATCTGAGAAGATTGAAAAATTAGTCCAAAGCTCTGAGCTGCTTGAAAAACTGTCAAAGATCGAAAAGCTTGCAAAATTCTCACTCACCAATGCTGTGCTTTGCGTTGGCAGCATCCTGTGCGACTTTTTCGTCGTTTTCTTCCACATGCGCACTCCTCCGCATCCCAAGTTCCTGCTGCTGCCTGCACGTCGCTTCTCGATCCACTTGCACTTGCTTTCGGGCACTACGGAAATCATCACGGGTATTTGTGCCTTCTTTGTCGACGAGCCGCGCGTGCCGTCAATGGTTGTCGGCATTGTCGCCATCACCCATGTCGCGACTGCTCTCTACCAAACTCCCATCGTCTTTGGCAGCAAAGGTAATAACATGCACCCAGCTATCATCCCCCCCCCTTTGATCCTTGCCGTGCTGGATTCCTCGTTTCAACGTTGTTTGTTTCACCTCACTTTTCACCTCTCTGCACTTCCCTTCCTTCCCTTGACATGAACCTGCTCTCCTCTTTTCTGTAGCCGTCATGATCCCCGCGTACCTCGTCGCTGAGGGCCTGCACCTGTACTTTGCCATCCGCCTGATTATCGAGCCGGAAAGCCTCACCTGGCTGCTCAACACCTTCCTGGTGCTCCACATTTACGTCTGGTGCCGTGTCTTTTACTCGGTCTTTGCCGTCTTTGACGTCCTGTCCGAGCACCGCTACACGATTGCCATCATGTTTTCGGGCTTGCTCATCATCCCTGCCGTGGTCGGCTCGATTGGCAACTTGGCCGCCCTGGTGATCATTCTGATCTACAACCTGCTGTACGTCCTCATCATGAAGCCGGACGAGGTGCAAATGTACAAGTGGGTGGTCGAAAACCACCGCGAGACGCTCCAGGCCTTCCGTTCCCGCACGGCCAACCTCCTCACCATGGGCGCCGTCCAAGCGAGCACCATCGCTGCCAGCGGCGGCAGCCTGGCCACCCCAACCCCTGGCCTCACGGCCAGCGGTACCACCAAGGAAGGCGTCTTCTTCAGCGGGTCTGACCACACTGTCCAGACTGCGGACGGCTTCCGTATCGCTGTGCCCACCACTCCTGGCATCGCCAAGGCAATCGGAAAGAAAGGCACTGGCGCGGGTGAAGCAGGCGACAAGGATCCCATCCCTGCCCTCCAACTCGCATCCCTCGTCAACGCCATCGGCAACCAGAACGCGATGGAGACCATGACAGACCGTCAACGTGCGCGCGCAATCTTCCGTGTTCTCGACCGCGATGGCAATGGACGAGTCACAATGGCAGAGCTCACCAACTTTTTCACGCTTTGCGGCATGGAAGAGGCCGACATGGGCTCGGACGGCACTGGACGCGACCTGTTGGCTCTGTTCTCGGACGCTTCGGAAATCACCTTTGAGCAGTTCCATGCCTGGTACTGTGACGGCTACAATGGTCGCCTGTTTTCACAGCAAATTTCTGCCGCTGCGGAGACGGACGAAGGCAAGGCCAGAATTGTGTTTGACTTGCTCGATGCAGACAAGTCTGGCTTCCTGGAGCATGGTGAACTCGTCTATCTGCTGAGCAACTGGGGCATGCCCACGAGCGAGGCGTCGCAATTCTTGCGCACATTCACCCACGCGACTGGCAAGGTCAACTTTGGCGACTTTTTCGTCCGCATGAAGCCGCTGTGGCAGTATGCGTTCAAGATGATTGCCTCGGATGCCGAGCGTGCCGCCCGGCGACAAAAGACGGACAAGGCGCTGCGCGAGTACTCGCGTCGTCTCAAGGCGATGCGCGCCTCGCTCAAAATGACGGGTGGTCGCTCTGCCGGCACGCACCATGGCGCAAGCAAGCTGGCTGCCGTGAACGCCGAGTTTGACCAAGAGTATGACACCACCACCAACAACAACAACAACAACAGCAACAAGCTGTCGCGACAAACACGAGGAGGCCGAGCTGCCGCTGCAGGCAGCAATTCGGCCCCGCAGCCTGTTGGCAGCGGTGTCCACGGGCGTGGCAGCGACACTGACCGGCCGTTGCTTCTGGGTTCGGAGGAAAGCATCCCGTCGGCCCTTCGTCTCAGCCCCGTGCCCCCGCGACGCAGCCAGCCCCACACAGCCACCGTGGAGATGGAAATGGTTCCGCGAGAGATTAACGAATCCTCGGCAGAGCATCAGCCCGCCTCCACCAGTGCGACGACCACCAGCACCAGCGAGCGTGGTCCGGACTCGCCTGTCTCTCCCGACGGCCCCAACAAGAAGACACCAAAGAGTGCCATGCGTTCCTCTGCAGTCCCCTCCTCTACCTCCGCACCTGCGCCCCGAGCTGTCAGCATCTTTTTGCCCGAGTTTGACGAGATTCCCGACACGACGATTTGAAGCAGCCAAGAACGCTATCGAGAGGCATTCGTTTGTGTTTGTTGTTGCTGTTCGCAATTGTTGTTGAATTTATTGTTTGTTTTTTTCCTTCGTTGAGTAATGCATTTGAGTCAGTTGTGTTGCGTTGCGTTGCGTGGTTGTTGTGATTGCGAAATGAAACTGGCAACATTCAGATTTCCACTTCATTCGCTCTCAGAATCGTTCTCATCGCTCCATCAAATCAACACCCTCTTCTTTTTCTTTTTATTCTCGTACATCATGATCATCCTCCCTTCAGTCATGATTTCAATAATATGAGCTTCAGTCTGCCCGCTCGGCCGCCCTGCCGCGCCATTATGCATCTTGATCTTGATGCATTCTACGCACAGGTTGAAGAGCGTCGACTCGGCGTCCCTCCAGTACGGGACAAGTTTTGTTTTTGTTTTTAAATGTCTGCGTGTGTGTTTTTGTGTTCCCGCCAAAATCTCAGCGTTTCTGAGCTACGTTTTTGTTTTCCCGCCAAATTTCTCACCTTTCCACTCACGCGCTCGTCCTTCCACGCCACACCCCGCACCGCACCGCACCGCACCGCACAGGGCGCCGATGTCCCGTTTGCCGTGATTCAGTGGGGCATGATTATCGCCGTCAACTACGCGGCGCGCAAGCACGGCGTCGCTCGCTTTGAGCTGATTCAGAACGCGTGGAAAAAGTGCCCGATTCTGCGCGCGGTGCACGTCCAGACATTCACTGGCGATGGCACACAGCCACAGGGCTACTATCCAAACCCGCGCAAGGCCACGCACAAGGTCTCGCTGGACGCCTACCGCGACACGTCCGCGCGGATTTTCGACGTGCTCGAGCGTGCAACTTCAGCGCCAATCCAGAAGGCGTCCGTCGACGAGGCCTTCTTTGATCTGACCGAGATTGCCTGGCAGAGGCTGTGTGCGTGGCACGGCAGGCTGCTGCGTGCTCGACGGGAGCAGCTGGAGTCCGAGTCCGAGTCCGAGCCAGAGAGAACGAGCATCGTGAATGGCGTTGTTCCAGCCATCCCCGCTCCTGCGACCCACTCGACAGCCACAGTCGATGAGAATCATGGCGTGATGCCTAATGATGAAGCGTCGAGCCCAAGAGCAGCAGTCCATCCTGCAACTACGGCGCCACACAACGACGTTGAACCCGATCGTGAATTTCGCACGACTCCAACAGCAACAACAACAACAACAACAACAGCAACAGCAGCACCTCTTGTGCTCGACAAGCATGATGTCGTGTCCGTCAGTGGGCTCAATCCAGCTGCCAATCGGCCCATTGTGCAAGTCGCGTCGGGAATCGAACCAATCCATGCTGGCCAATTTGCAGATTACCAGCGTCTTCCGTCGCAACCAGTGCCCTCGGGCCCTACTTTTACCGCCGACGGTGTGATTGATTGGAGCACCGTGGGCGCAATCCAGCGCGACCAAGCCATTTCGAAGGAAGAGGCAGAGTGGGTGGCTGAGCTTGACGACGACGGGTCTTCCACTCATGCTGCTCATTCGACAGCAGCAGCAGCAGCAGCCGCAGCAGCAGCGGTGGATGAGCACATGGTCAGCGACATGATGGTGGATGACTTTGACGAGACAGGATATGATTTTCATGATGCGACCGAGCTGGACGAATCCGACGCGTGGGCAGTTGCCGACGCAGCCAGCAACAAGACCAACCCTGCGCTTTTTGACGCGAGCCATGCATCCGTCAGCCTGCCCGGCCCAAGCAGTTCCACCACCGCAGCGCTTGTTGCGCCGCCAGAATCAGACCTAGTGGCATCCATCCACCCTTCTACCGCCGATATAGCACCAACCGCCAGGGATGCAGCGAATCCCACCTTGCTGCTTCTCTGGTTTGCAGCTCAAATCACCTTGGAGATTCGCAATGCTGTTTTAAACCAGCTGGATTTCCACTGCAGTGCTGGCATTGCCGAAAACAAGATGCTCGCCAAGTTGGCAAGCTCGCTCAACAAGCCGAACAAGCAAACGACTGTCACGTCCACCGGCGCCATCGCACTGATGCGGTCATTGCCCCTGCGAAAGATTCGCGGATTGGGCGGCAAGCTGGGTCGTGAGGTGTGCAAGCGGCTCGGCGATATCGAGCTGGCCGGCGAGGTCTGGTCGTTTCCGCTGAGTCGGCTCGTGTCGCTGCTCGGTAGCGACACTGGGCCCTTTGTTTACGCGGCAGTTCGCGGACGTGACTCGTCCGCAGTTGTTCCTCGTTCCACGACCAAGTCCATGCTCGCAGCCAAATCCTTCTCCCCGGTTGTTGAGACGTATCAGAGTTTGCTGGACTGGCTGCGAGTATTGGCATCCGAATTGGTCTTGCGCATGCGGGCAGACAAGCGTGTTCCGCGAACGCTGAAGGTTCAGTTCCACCGCGCATCGCCCAATGGACGCGCAAACAGCCATGCCTGGTGGTTGGAGGGCAAGAGTCGGTCTTGCCCTCTGCCTCACGATCGCTTCAACGCCGAGCTGCTGGCATCCACTGCGTATGGACTTCTCCCTAGCGACGCTCGCGAAATCTTACCGTGTCTGATGATTGCTCTTGGCGCCGAGGGGTTGTCGGAAGGACCCGTCTCGGAGTCAAAATCCATCGCCGCCATGTTCAAACGCGTGGCAGATCGGCGTCCAGAGGCAGGGCTACAAGACTCGGTTTCTCAAGCAAGTGTATTTGATGCGGGCGATGGCGCACAAGAGTCTTTGACGCACGCGGAGCCCGCAGGTGTTGGATTGTTCTTGCACGCCTCCACGCCGCTGAACAAGCCTCCCCACACAGCCGTTGCTGACGACGATGACGGGTTTCTCGTTGTATGTCCAAAGTGTGGCGTGCGCACCACGATTGATGAGGTGGACGAGCATGCCGATTATCATGTCGCGCTTGCGTACCAGCAACAAGACCGACGCTCTCAGATGCAGCAGCGAGAAGCGCAACTGCTCGAGCAGCAGCAGCAACAACGAGCCGCATCAGATCGAGAAGAGCGATTGACTCAAAAGCGGCCACATACATCTCAGCCCTCGCACAAGGAAAAGCGACCTCGGGTAGGTTCGGTCAGCAGCAGCAACAGCAATAGTAGTAGTAGTAGTGGTAGTAGTGCCAGAAATCCAAGCAATTCAACCTTGACATCATGGCTCAAGAAGGGATCTTGATATTGACAAAGCCACGACGCTTCCTCTTCTTCCCCCAATACAATCAGAGTTTTCGTGCATTAAACGCTCCCCTCCCCCTCCCCCTCCCTCTTCTTCTTGCATTCCTCCTATCATTCGTGGATGAAGGTAAGGTCAAAAGCGCGGCAAAGAAAATGCACCAGCCTTTGCCCGAAAATCCGTACTTTGTGCGCGAACGCAGAAGGCGCTGCCGATTCGATTTCGAGTGGTTGCATGATTTTTTCGAGCAATCGGTCTTGATGCACTTTACTGTATCATTGACGAAGCTTGGATGGATGGATGGATGGATGGATGGATGTGATTCAATCGTTCCCGTTCTCTCTCTCTCTCTCTCTCTCTCTCCCCAATCCAACGTCTTCCATTTTGCCATCATTTTTGTTTTCTTGTCCTTTTCATTCTTTTTATAATTATTCATTCACTGCTTATTATTCTTATTATTACTATTTTGTTTCTCAGATCATCATCCGAACACACTCAAAACCTGACAATGGCAGACGATGACGCTGACTTTCCCTCCTCGACGACGAACGCTGGACCAGCAGCAGCAGGGGCGACCTCTTCTTCCTCCTCCTCCTCCGCTGCTGCTGCTGCTGCCGCCAACCCCAACGCCGCTGCTGGTGCCGACGACGACAACGCGGGTGCTGCCCCTTCAGCGCCGTCGCCGTGGACGCTCCGCAAGCCGCCGACCAAGGACAAAGGTCCGTGCTGGTGTGCAATGGCGGCGCATTCAATAAAAGCGACGCGCTCCCTCAACCCCAACCCCCCAACCCCCAGCCCCTCAACAACAAAAACAACAGCTGAATGGTTTGTTGAATTCAATGCCAGCAGGGTTTCAGAAGTGTGGTCAGGGGGGTGGGGGAAGCCGGTCCATTCGTCTTTGCTCTTGGCCCCCTTGGCTTGGCTTGGGCAGATCGAACAGTCAGATTGGAAACCGAGGAGAAGGGTTGTTTCTGATTCAAAAGGGACAAGGTGTTTGAGTGTGTGATGGTGCTTCTGGTGGAGGGCAGAGACAGAGAGAGAGAGAGTGTGTGTGTGATGCACGGAACATTATTATCGGAGGTGTGGCTCTTAGAAAGCGGAAAAATTGAGCACCCACTTTGGAAAAAACGAGAGGTGGTTATTTTTTGGCAAATGGTGGAAAAACACGTTCTGAGCAGCCATGCTTGGAGTCTAACTGTTCTGAAAAGTGCCTGAGATTATCATCAAATGTGACAGCGCTGTTTTGTTTTTTGGTTTGACTCACTCTTGTATGCTTGCTGTTGGATTTAGTCATTGTTCAATTCCGAGCTGCAGGCAATGCGCCGCTGATGCGCCAGAAAAAGTTCAAAATCACAGCCAGCGAAAAGTTCCAGACGGTGATTGAGTTTTTGCGGAAACAGCTCAAGTTCAAGCCCACCGACCCGCTGGTACGTTTGCAGCGAGCGTGCTTGTCTGTCGATGGCGGTTGCAGGTTGAGGCTGAGCTCGCGGGCAGCGTGTCTGGTTGGGAGCAAACACGCCGAGATGGTCGTTTCTGGATTTGCTCACTTTGTTTTTGAAACTTTTTGTCTGGAATCCAGTTCTTGTATATTAACCAAGCGTTCTCGCCTGCACCTGACGAAATTGTGCGAAATTTGTATCAGGTACGCAGCAGTTGGGGGGGGGGTGGGGGTGTTTGTGTTTTTTTTTTTTTTTGCTTTTGGTAGCTTTGACTTTGCATCGAATGCTGACCCCGCTTGTTTTTTGTGTCGATGCTCTTTTGTTTGCCGACTCTCGCTGTTAGTGCTTTGAGATCAAGGGCCAACTCGATATTCAGTACGCGACAACGCCCGCATGGGGCTAAACCGAACAATCCGTGTCGATATCTCTTTCCGGGTTTGTCGTGATTGGTCTTCCATTTGCGTGTGTACACCGCCCCCCCCCGCCTCCGTCTTGCCTTTGTGTGCGTGTGTGTAATGTTGTGAATTTCGAGCTCTTGCATCATTGCTTCATAGGAGGAAATTGTCAAAGCCGACCACACAGGCAAACCCTGTGAATCTCGCTCTTTCTCAGAGTCGCTTCATTTCAATTCGATCTCTACATTATTGATTGGAACATGCAGAATCGTTAACTTGAGATGACGACTGTGAAATGTCAAAAAAAGGCAGAACAAGAAAGTGTTGGAAAGGAGCTGTTGAATGGTACCAAATCCTTCACTTTTCCAATGCACTTTTAGTTAGCTCACTCTATCTTTTTTTGCTTTTTGACCCATTTCCGAATGCCGCGCAACTCGTCTCGTGGCGGCGCACGCGGCCACAGTAGCCACGGCCAGTCGCACCACCGCCCGCAGCCCCATCGCCAGCAGTCGCCCAAGCAGCCACGCCGAGTCAACCACAATGACGATGATGGCAGTGACGAGGAGCGACTGCTGCCCGCGAGTGCGTTTGGCGCCAACTCTTCCCGCCAATTCCCCCAGCAGCAGCAGCAGCAACAGCAGCAGCAGCAGGGCCAGCGAGTGAGCGGATCGCCGCGTCAGCCGCATCATCATCAGCATCCACAGCAGCAGCAGCAGCAGCATCGTCAGCAGCACGGTGGCGGTCGCGGATCGCCGCACTACTCGGCCCCTGCGTCATCATCCTCGTCGCCCGGTCCGCCTGGTCCAGTCGTCTACGCGCACCTGTCGCCAGAGCACGCTGCAATGCGCAGTCTCAACCGCTATGGCATCCAGGTCGGGTCGCTGAGTGCGCCTGGACAGCCATCGCACACTGGCGCCGTGTTTCGTAATAGCGATCCAGTGATGACGTCCTCCTCCTCTTCCTCGTCCGCCTCACTATGTCGTAATCCAGCAAGGTCAAGCAAGCATGGCTCAGCAAGCAAGACAAACAGAAGGCAGCCCGCGCCGGTCGGGCATTTGTTCAGCTTTGAGTATGATCAGGCTTCAGAGACGACTGCTACTGCTCCCAACGGACCCGGCGAGGGAGGACGTCAAGGACCGCGCAATGCGACTCTGATGAGCAAGAATAGCGCAGTCGCAGCGAAACGGCAAGGCACAAAGACCAAAAAAGCCCAAGTCAAGGACGATGAGGACGACGAGGACGACGAGGACGACCAGGACGACCAGGCGATTGCCATGCTCGAGGATGAATTCACATTCGAGGCAGAGCTCAAGCGGGCTCGCGGTGGCGACCTGGATGAACCCTCTGGCAGCGAATCCGAATCCGACAGCGAGGACGACGACGACGAGAGCGATCTCAGCGACACCAATGTGGACGCAACCACAATGCACCCAGACGCGGATGTCGATGAGGACGACGTCGACGAAGACGAACTGGCCGCTTTGCATGCAGCCATGGCTGGGGATGGCACAGACTCGTCTGACGAAGATGACGGTGCGCATGGCCTTGGCTGGACGCCAGTTACAGCGAGCACCAACAGCCGCTCAGCCAAGAAGCTCAAGGTGGTCATGTCTCCCCGCGTATCTGATGGCTCGCTGCTTTCACCTTCAGCCATCATTGAGCCTGTGATTGATCGACCAAACAAGCACCAGCGACGAAAGGCTGCTCGGGAGGCTGCGGCCAACGGCACCAGTCCAACGGTGATTCGCATGAGCAGCAACACGGCCGGCACTCAGACCCTTGCTGGACCCTTCCATCGCCTGCAACCGACTGTTCAGCCACCGATGAGCAAGAGTTCCAGTTGGCAGCAGCAGCAGCAGCAAAGCAGCGACGACAGTAGTGAAAGCAGCGACAGCAGCGACGCAGACTCGGATGATGACCTGAACGCCGATGAACAAGCCGCTCTGCAAGACTACTATGACAACGTGAACAATGCTAGCTCCGACTCTGATGATGACGACGATGCCGGCCTTGCGCGACCCGGCCTTGGCCAAACCCAATCCACAACTCGAAGTGTTGTCCAGCGATTTGCAGCCGTCAAGCTGCACCCCAACTCTGGAAGGAGCGTGGAAGACGTGTTTCAGTACGCAGACGCGGCCTTGTACGACCGAAATGCACCCTCCGCTGCACGTCGGCAACAGCAAGCCATGGCGTCAGTCATTGCCAGCCTTCCTCCAGGCGTCTCGATGAACCACCAACGCATTAGCAAGCAGCAGCGAAAGCAACTGCGGCACGAGGCTCATCAGTTGCGGAAGCTGCAAAAGAAGCAGCAACTCGAGATGCAACGGCGACAATCCCCGTCCCAAGCCCAACAACAACGTGGGCAAAAGCGTCATTCCGACTCCCGCTCGCCGCGTGCTCCTGTCAGTGTCGATCATGTTGAGGCCGGCCGAAAAGCGCGATGGGTGACTTCCTCGACGACCATGATGCAAGACGATGCGCTTTTGCTCAAGCCTGTCGATGTTGCCAGCTCGCCTTCTCAACCCTTGCCGCCGAGCGACGTTCCGTCAAGTTCGGGTCGAGATTCGATTCCTACAATTGAACCCAGTGTTGCCGATGATGCTCCGCCAGAAAGTCTCTTCTTTATCGATACGCATGGCGACCAAGCGGACGAATTGTCCGATTCCAAGCTCATCACCCCTCAGCTCTTGCTCGACAAGCTGGGGAAGGTTGAGAGTGGCGACGATGAGAATGATGACGAGGACATTGACGAGGACATTGACGAGGACGATGGCGAGGACATTGACGAGGACGATGACGAGGACATTGACGAAGCTGACGACGATGACGACGACTTGGACGAGATCGATGAAGTCGATGAGGGCGTCGCTGCAGCCCTTCGAGACCTGGACTACTTTGCCGCCAACCCTCGCCATGCAGCTGCCACTTTTGCCAGTCCCACTTCCAGCCCATTGGGCGCAAAACCCTCATCCTTCTCAGAGGAAAAGCGCAACTTTTTGGACAACATCACCCGTGGCTCTCCGCGTGCGCCTTCTCCACGCGCCCCGCCGTCCCCTGCTGGCTCCATGATGAGCAATGACGAACTCATGGACGCCTCTTCTCACCGTGATGCGACCATCATTGACGGTGTTCTGAAGCGCTTGGTCGACTTTGTGCTCAACCCGGCCGTCGAGGAGCAACCTCTGGAGCCGATGAGCAAAAAGTACCGCGCCTTCGTGCACAAGCTGGGGCAAATGTTTGGCGTGATTACAGACAGCGCTGGCAACGGTGATCGTCGCCACCCCGTCCTCATCAAGACCGCGCACAGTATGCTGCCCAACCCCGCCAAAGTCAACAAGGTTGTTTCGACATTCTACAGGTATTCGCACCTGTTGGATGACGAGAGTAACGGCGAAGACTATCGAAGCATGCTTCGCTACGGTCGCAGCGGACCTCCTCCGTCGCGGGGAGGCGGCGGCTCGTCGCGCGGCGGCAAAGGCAGCTGGAGCGCTCCTGGCAGCAGCTATGGCAGTCCTCGCAGCAGTCCTGCGCCCCCCGGTCGTGGTGGCCGCGGCGGCCGTGGCGGTCGTGGAGGATCTGCGTCGCGCGACACGAGCCGGTTTGGATCACCCACCACCACCGATCGCGGAAGCTCCCCTGCCGGCAACGGGCGATCACGCGACGGCGATGTCGTTGGCGCGGAAGCCGAGCCCATCCCCGAGTCCAACATTGGCAGCAAGTTGTTGGCGAAAATGGGTTGGAAGCCCGGCAACAGTCTCGGCGTTGGCAACGCTGGCATTGTTCAGCCGATCGAAGCTGTGGTCAAGACCAAGCGGACTGGACTTGGCATGGATGTGTAAATCATTACATGCTCATTGCATTGCGTCTCTTTGGATGGACAATACATGCTATTTGTTGGTGAAAAGAAGACTCGGGTGGGCTTTTTTTTTTTTTTTTTTTTCATTGATTGGATGAGGTGTTCCGAAACACAAGGATGGAAGTATCTGGCACTTTGGTGCGTCCAGAGTGAAAGAGAGGGTGTGCGTATTGAGCAAGGGCAGATCGGGAAGGATGGTTGAGCATTGGCATGGTCACTGTGGTTCCCAAGTCGTTCGTTGGTTTTTTGTTGTTTTGTTTCACTCTCTAAAATTTCATGTTGCATGTCGTGGAATTGTTCGAACAACCCTCCCAACGTTGTTTCACTGGTTGAAAATGCGGTGCCCAGAATCTTGTTTGAAACGCCGACAAATCGCGGCTTTTTTGAAACCAGTCTTTTTGTTTCTACGTTGATTCGCAATGACAACCGTTGATACTTTGCCTCTGTCAGTTTCCACCGCTCCCCCTTCACCCACTGATAAGCATCCCACTTCTATAGCAGTTGATTGTTGCAGCTCATCCTCACTCCGGACGCCAAAAAGCGAGACAAATGGAGGAAGACGAGATGATGAATTTGGAACGGTTTCATTTTTTTTTTTCAAATTTTTGGCGCCATTTCGAATGCGGTGGATTTACAATGACGCTGGGGTTACTCGAGCCACCAAGTGAACTGGGCCGACAGTACACATACTTACATTGATTGAGTCATACCAATTGGGCAGGATTACGGCGGCTGTGGACGAGCTCAAGCGCGCCAAAGAGCCCCAGTACCACTTTCTCGACTTGCAGCACGCGCTGGTCGGAGCCGAAGCCGAGCAGACCGCCGCCGCTGATGTTCTTGTGTTCAAGGTGAGAGCGGCGAATTGCTTTGTGAAGCAAGGAAAGGCGTGCTGAAGCGCTGGCGAAGAGGCCAGGGTCCAATTGGGAAGTCCAACAATGGAGCTTGAGCCAAACGTTTTCACGACATGACGAGTGGTTGATCGCTCCCATGTCGTGTACTGTGACTTGCAAACTCACCTTGAATATGCGGCAAACGTGACAGGAAAACTTGTCCAAGCTCAAGTTTAACTTTATCGAGCTGGAAACCAAAAGCGCCTTCTTGATGCACGTTGGGCAGAACACTGCCTTCCCATCGTCCACTGAGCTGGCAGCAGAGGGTACAGGACAACGCTCGCTTTGTTGTTGCTCTTGCACAATTGGGTGACTGGGGAGAAGAGTCGCTGTGTGTGTACGCAAAACACGACACCCAGCCCTCTCAACTTTGGTTTGATTCTGGTTTGTGCACAGAGAGCAAAAAGTCTCAAGCACAGGCACATTACAAAAACCTCAAAAAGCAAGCATCTCAAGTGCGAACGGAGATTGCAGAGATCGCCAAGACGATTGATCGCGGTAAAGCTAGCAGTTTTCAATCTCGTTGTTTTTTTTTTTTGTTTTTGTTTTTTTCTTTCATCAACTGCAATGTATCGAGCTGGAAATTCACCATCACTCTGGTGGATAGAATTCACCGAGCTCCAAGGCAAACTCGCGGAACTGGCCGCCGTCATTTCCGAGCTGGAGCAAACAGTAAGCAAGCGTTTTCAGATGTTCGCGATGACGGCTTTGGTCCGTGTCTCACTTGCTTTGAAATTTTGTTTCAGCAACATGAATCACAGCAGCTGATTTCGCGGCAACCGCAGCCAATGATACTGGAAGGAAGGGTGAGGCTTTGGTTGGAACCCGTTGTATTTCTGGTGCTGCAGATGGTTTGGTTCTTTGTGTTTGGCTCACGCTGTGCAATGTTTCAGACGGTGAATGCAAACGAACTGGAGGCCATTGTTCAGCAACAGGTGAGGCTCTTTTCAAACTTGTTGTTTCTAGGATCGTTTGTGACGCACTCAACCAACAACAAACACTTTTGTAGCAAGAGCTGCTTGGCCAACTCGCCAGCGAGCGCGAGATGGTTGCCAAGCAAATTGCTGATCTGCAGCGTGCCAAGCATGCTCTTGAATCGGATCCGGAGAGTGTGCGCCAAGCGGCGGCGTCTGGTGCTAGTGGCATGGACCAGGCCGTCGAGCAAGCCCAGCTGGTTGAAATGCAAGCATGGTAAGACGTGCTAGGATTGCGCATGCCTTTGAGGTGTCCCTCCGCTGACGACTGCTGCTTTCTTTGCGACAATTCGCAGGTTTGTGTCCATGACGGCCGCTCTGGCCAAGCTCGGGGGTGTAGAGCTGTTGGACGTCCAGCCTCAGTCGATGACCATCCGCATTCTGTTGAACAACTCCAAGACTGTTGACATGTTCTTGCAATTCTCGTGAGTGTCGCGTTTGTTTTTGATGCAGATCTGATTTTTTTCTTTTGGGGGGGGGAAGGGCGGAGGGGTGTTAACCCGCGCAGGAATTGCTCAGTTTCAAAATTGTATTTGGCAACAGAAAACGATCGAGCGCAGTCAAGCTGGAAGCTGCTCAGGTATTGGGTTTTGTCACTGTTGCCTGTTGTGAGTGTTGACGCCTCGGATACTAACCGTGCGCCTGTTGCTTGCTCTGCGAATGTGTGTTCCCAGCTCATGTCGAGCAATACCTCTGTGGCAGATTTGGTGGAGCAAGCGGTGATTTTGAACGATGTGCCCTTCTTGATTTCAGAGCTCAGACATCGTCTGTCACGTTAGTCGCTCTGCCTGGCCGATGGCCTTTTTTGGTTGTGTCGTTGTTTCTGTAAATTTCTCAAACAGTGACGAAGAACGTGTGCCTTTGGTATGCGTTATGACGATATTCAACTGTCTCATATCCGACGTTCTTATTCGAAGCGATGGGAAAAAAAAAAAAAAAAAAAAAAAAAAAAAGGCAGCGTTGGCGGGGTGGAACCCCGTCGTCGATTCCAACGCCTCCCAGCGTCCTGCACAAAGGTTCAATCTCCACATTGCATGAAATGAGCAAGGTGAATCGTGGGTGCGCGAACAGACAAGTTGAAGGGGCTGACTTGCGTTCGCCTCCACAACCAGCTGGTGCTTGCTTTCTTGAATCCAGACTTTCTGAACGCTGCAGCACCAGCAGAGCGATTCCGAGTGCGTCTGTCATGATTCCAACACATCATCATCGCGACTTTACGACAGGGCTACTGATGGATCCGGACCGGAGGCGCGGGGAAAGGGAGGCTGCTGCCCAGGAACCAAAGACGGGCGGCCGAGTGGGTTTTGGCGCGCGACTGCCGAGACTCTTCACTCGCAAAACGTCCCCGTACAAGCGGTAAAACGCGGGAAATCGAGACCTCGGACACGCTCCAATGCAGTCCCATCCCCCAGCGATTTGAAATGGACCACCACGGCCCGTGGAAGGCGACTTTAATAAGGCACATTTTGTTTTCGCTGTCCAAATCTGGTGAAACCAGTCTTCATTTTGTTTCGAGATGGCGGAGCTGCAGGCGATGCAGGCCTTAACCCTCGACCCTGTGCAAGCAGCGCTGATCACAGCGATGAACACAGCGATTGCGGACAAGAATACGGCAATTGCGGAGAAGCAGGCGGCGATTGCGGAGAAGCAGGCGGCGGTCGACCAGGCGAAGGCAAAAAAGAAGGCTGCGAAGGAAAAAGCGAAGGCGGCGAAGGCGGAGGTCGACCAGGCGATTGCAGACAAGAACGCGGCAATTGCGGACAAGCAGGCGGAAGTCGACCAGGCGAAGGCAGACAAGAACGCGGCAATTGCGGAGAAGAAGGTGGCGGTCGATCAGGCGGGTGGATGGCATTTACCACCAAATTCGTATTTGTAAGCGAGCCGTTGTTTGACGTACCGTGCTGCTGAGCCCTTGTAAGCCAGCCGTTGTTTGACGTACCGTGCTGCTCTGAGCCCGAAAACTTGGCTGACACGCAGTGTGACTGCTCTTTTGCTCGGTAGTGTCCTTCATCGGGTCGAACACAAATGAAGAGCTTGCCAAACGGCTTGTTTCGCACGCTCCCCCAACTTGGAAAGCCAAACTGAACTTTCCCATGCCAAACGTGAACCAGCATGAGTTGGCGCTTCCAGCGGAGTTGATTAATTTTTCTCCGAACGTGAAGGAAGAGGCTCTCTATCAGCCCATCGCAGAATTCTGCCAGAAAATATGCGACCTGGTTGGCTCTCCGATCGACTTCCGTCCCACCCCTCAGGGGTTGTTCGGTCCTGATCTCGTTGCGCATGCCAATTTCAATGGACAAAAGTCTAATCGATGCAGTTCTCCGCCCGCCCCAGCTGCAGAATCACAACAGCGTCGTTCCCCCCGTCTGTCTGCAGCTGCCGCGGCGAATGTGGCTAGCCCACCCAGTTCTGTGTCCATTGGCACTGACCCCGCTCGTCGCAGCGCCATTGGTAGCCTGATCATGGTCCAAGTCAAATCGAGCGACTCTCACCATCACGAAGCTTGTTTGCAACTCGCAAGTTATCTGCTTTACTATCGTCTGCAGTTCAACGACACACAGATTCCGGCCAGTGTTCAATCGTGGCCAGCATGTCTTTACGGCATGGCCTGGCTCGGCTGCAATGTCTATGTCGTCCGAGTCGATCTGAAGCTGGATGGCAAGCTCATTCAACCTGCGATCACTTTTTGTCATACTGAACCAGCGGTAGCAGTTCTATTCCTCTTGAGAACTTCCATCATCAACGACATGTCGGAGCGATCATTGGTTGGCGATTTTGATTGGAGGTACAATTTCAAGTTTTAGAGTCCTCCAGGGCGGACAGCCACCCACCCAGCGGACAGGCCCCACCCGGCAATGATGCAACCACACAACACGACCCTGGAGCCGGCTATGGTACCTCCACCGATGGAGGGACTGCAGGCCAGGCCGACTCCCTTGTTCTCAATTTGGTAAAGTTCGGTTTGGTGTCTCGGGTGCTGCTTGTGCAACTCTTGTCTCAACGTCTTTTTCTGCTCGTGTCATACTGTACATTGTTCAGGCAACTGGACCGCAACCTCTGCTCGATGTTTCATCGCTCTTTCATGCTCACCGCCAAGCTCCGCCTGAACTCGAGCGAGGAACTCACCAACGTGGTGGTCAAGGCTGCAGCCGCATCTGACACGGCGCTCACAGAACAGCTGGCGCGGGAGGGCATGGCGCTAGCCCGCCTCAACCGCGACCGAATGGCGGCTTCAGCTCATCGCATTCCCGAGCTGCTAGCTTTCTGCACTGCCGATTTCGACGGAGAGCCTGGACTGGCGTTGGTCACGGGCCTCATTTCTGGCACGAGCATTGACTGGAAGCAACATCAACCACATGCGGCAAGCATCGCCTTGCAAGTTTGTGACACGCTTCGCTGGATTCATGCGCAAGGTGTGGTGCACGGCGATATTCATCGTGGAAACTTGCTGGTCACCGAGACGAAATTGCCACCGACGCCACCGGCCTCACCGCCCAAAAGCGCCCTCGAGCCGCCGTCGAAAGGCGCTGTCGAGTTGCCACCTCATTCGATTGCGTTGGTCGATTTTGGGCTTTCTTGCTTCCTTCCAGATGTGACGCGCGAGCATGTGCAAGCAGCACTCTTGGCGGCGCCGGTGACTGCCGCAGCTGCTCAGGAGCTCCAACCATGGCTCGATCGCGTCGAACACAACGCGTGGGAGATGTGGCCAAACCATTTTTACGACATTGCGAGCTTCGAGGAGGTCGCTACTCCGCAAGCCGACTTTCTCGGTCTCGGCTTGCTTGCTGTGTCGCTGGAGGTAGGCGGCACAAAGGTCCTGCAGCAGCATCTTCATCTGGACGACTCCGCCGCTTTGTCTTATTCGGCTCGGACTCTGAAGCGCCACCTGTTGCGTGATCAAGACGGTCTACTCTCCCAGCTGCTCGCGCAGAGCCCTACAACGTTGCTCGAGGTGCAGAAGATAGTTGAGCTTGCAGATCAACCCCAACCTCTCCTTTAGTCGTATTTGTTCCAAAGTGAAATTTGCAAATTCAGAAGAGATTAATTCACAACTCAATCCTTCCAGTACAAATGGCTGGCCAAAGTAATGCACTGGAAGAGAGACGCACAACCTTGTACTAGATCTTTCAGCAGTCCGTGACAGAGAAGCACCGGAAGAAAGTAGGTCGTTCAAATTTCAAAACCGACCGCCGGAAAGGCCGGACGCGCTTTTCCGCTCTCTGATTTGTCGAATTCGAACGCAACTACTCTGTATTGCAAGTCCCAAACCACAATAGGACAATTTCAACAACAACACACACAACAACAAAAACCCATGAGAACCGAGGCAACAAGTGACCTGGCGTTCATTCAAAAATGTAGGAACATGGATTTTTATGCAGCAGTACAGTACAGTACACTCTGATACCGCAGAGTCCAGTGGAGCAACAAGACGACCAAAGGATGGATGATTGTCTTCAAAGGTCCAATGAAGCAATGAGGCGACCAAAGGATGGGCGATCGTCAGCAATATCATCAAGACACTCGAGTGCGAGAGTGACAACCTCGCTGATGCTTTGGCGCTCGGCTTCGGTTGGTTTCAAGGCCGGGTCCTGCATGTCAAGGAATTTCTGATTTTTAACAGCCTTTCGCGTCTCTCCTTTCAGGCGGTTGCCAGGCTTGAGTGCAGTCAGCAATTCCAGCAGAATCATGCCAAAGGCATACACATCCGTCTTGGGAGTCATGCGGCCTTCCTCCAAGAACTCAGGACACATGTACGCCAAGGTACCTTGAACGTTCTGTGTGCGAAGGTAGCTCTTTTCATCGAGGTGTAGGGCAGCACGAACCAAGCCAAAATCAGACACTTTCGCATTAAGGTATGCGTCTAGCAGAACATTGTCCGTCTTGAGGTCGAGGTGGAACAGAACATGATCAGGGAAGGCGGTTTGGACATAGTGCATGCCGCGGGAGACATCGGCAGCAATGCGGTGGCGTTGCGACCAGGTCAGCGGAGGCCTATCATTCTTGAGGCTGAGACGATCACGAACAGAACCGTTTGGCATGAACTCGTACACCAAGCATCGCTCATCGCCTTGCTCAGCATACGACAGAATAGCAATAATGTTTGCGTGGCGGAATTTCGACAAAGAGTCCAGTTCAGATTTGAACTCGGCAGCGCCCTGCTTGGATTCGGCGGACAGCTTTTTGATGGCAACACGAGTGCCAGGCATAATGGCAGAGTACACGCGACCAAAAGTGAATCGGCAGCAAAATTGTTCGTCGCGGTGACAAGAGTTGCGAGAGAAACTGGCGGGATTGGTCCGTCAAAGTTCGATGAGTCAAAGTTCGATGAGGATCCAACGGGGGGTTCGTTGCGCTCAAATACGTCAATTCGATCAAGAGCTGACTTCAGATCGGAGGTCTTTGGTCGCGAGCTCCTGGTCTTTGGTCGCGAGCTCCTGCTTGTTGGCCGCTAGCTCCTGGTCTTTGGCAGCCAGTTTGGAGCTTGGGCAGCCAGTTTGGAGCGCAATTGCTGAACCTCAGCTACAATCTGAGCCAAGTCGGCAGACGACGGTGCACGCTGGTTGTCAAGGTCTCTGTTCGGAAACCCCAATTTTGCCAAATCAGGTGAGTGGCTTGTTGTTCGGACGTTGCTGAGTCCAATAATCACACAGAGTCTTACTCCAATTTACAAACGGTATTGCCTGTTTCGTTGAGTGCAGTGATTCCAGTGTTGGTCAAGAAGTTCTGGGACAAACTGATGTTGTCAATTACAGCGTCAGATTGGAGCATGAGGTCTAACGACTTTCAGAGCAACTTAAAGCGATCAATATTTACTAAAGGCTAGTCAGCGTCTTGTTCACTTTGAGCGCTTCGGCAATCGCCTGTCCTCCCACATCGGTCATCTGATTGCTATCCAGACTGCTCCATTCCCTTCATCGGTGAGTTCTCTTCATACCTTCTGCTGAATTACCCACTTAAACAAGTGAGATGACCTACTAGAGCTCGGTCAGCGTCGTGTTCACTTTGAGTGCTTCAGTCATCGCCTGCGCTCCAGTATCGCCTATCTGATTGACATCCAGACTGCTCCATTCCCTCCATCAGTGAGCACTCTAAATGCATCAGTAGCTCTGAGATGCCTTACTAGAGCACGGTCAGCGTCGTGTTCACTTTGAGCGCTTCAGCAATCGCCCGCGCTCCAGCATCTCCTATCTGATTGCCACCCAGACTGCTCCATTCCCTCCATCAGTGAGCCCCTCATATGCATCAGTAGCTCTGAGATGCCTTACGAGAGCGAAGTCAGCGTCGTGTTCACTTTGAGTGTCTTAGCAATCGCCTGTGCTCCAGCATCGCCAATCTGGTTGTTATCCAGACTGCTCCATTCCCTCCATCAGTGAGTCCCTCATATGCATCAGTAGCTCTGAGATGCCTTACTATAGCTTCGTCAGCGTCGTGTTCACTTTGAGTGTTTCAGCAATCGCCCGCGCTTCAGCATCGCCAATCTGATTCTGTTGCAGACTGTCCTCCGCTTCGTTAGCACACGCGATCGCACTGTTGCAATAGATTCGGCTTTTTCTTACCCGAGCTCTCCACTCGCATTCTTGACTTTATCATACAACTCGCGCTGTTTCTGATTCATACTCTCATACGACAGCATTTTCGAAGATTGAACTGGAAGTAGACTGCGCTTTGAGCAGTTCTAAATCTATCGTCCATACGCAATAGTGCAGGGATTCTGTATGGAACTGTATTGGAGGATGTCTCTGTTGCAGTGTAGCACAACAGGGACCAGTTGAACGAATGCTGCGGCACACAGCAAAAGCAAGCTCTGATCGCTGTCGTCACTCACACAAGCCAGGCAACAGCTGCAACACCATAGAAGTAGTTGGGCCTTGCTTGAGCTGCAGCACAGTGCAGCAGATCGAGGAGCGATTTGTGTGCTCGACATTTCTCAGAACCGTTCCAAAATCAACCGAACTTTACCCAACTCTCATTTTTACTCAGTCCACCCCATGCCCATTCTTTGCAGCACTGTTTGGTCATGTTCCACAGTTCCCACATTTACCATTATCCGAATATTCGCATCTGCTCAGAAACGCTCAGTCTGCCTTTTTGTTTCCTCTCTCCCTCTCTCTCTCTCTGTGCAATGTCGTCCAAGCTTCCGCCGACGCCGCTGATGCTCAAAGGCCTCGTGCCGTACCTCCAGCGTGCCGACGAGTTTGACAAGCACGATCCAGTCACTGCGTACTACTGTGCGTCACCTTCTCGATGATAGAGAAAACTGGTGACGAAGGACTCGTTCGCCCTTCTGTGACCTGACCTGACTCGACTTCCGACGTTTTGGCGTTTCAGTGACAAAAGCTTTTGAATGCGTTGACTTTTGAGAATTGGGGAAAACGCGAGGATAGAGGGGAGGGGAGAACACCAAAACGCAGCGAACGTTGGGCAAAGTGGAAGGAGGTTTAGTTGCGCATTCATACGCAGCTGCACTACCAGCCAGTCTGCGTTTCCTATACTCTCGCTCTTACCCACTCACTCACTAACTTGCCTCATTCTCTCATTCTGCTTCTCTCTCCTTCTCTCTCCTTCACAGGCCGGTTCTATGCTGCCCAGAACGCGCTCAAGGATCCCGAGGCCAGCAAGGACAAGCAGTGCCGCGCCTTCCTCATCGCGCTCATGGATAAACTAGAAGCTGTATGGCAACACAAAGTGAAGAAAACGATACGGATGCGCGCGAATTTTAGTGAATTTTCGTATCCCTGAAACTGAGCTTTCGTTCGTTCTGGGATACGGAAATCCTCACTAGTTTTTTTTTTTCCTTTTCGACGTAATCGTCGCTCTGCTCAATTTTTTTTTTTACTTTTCTTCATCGTAAATATTCTCACTATTATGATTCCGACTCATTCCCACAACAGGACAAACGCTCACTGAGCAACCTCGAAGCCATCCGGAATGATGTCGTTGCGGCTGCACACCTCGAGGACTTTGCCCTAAAACTGTTTGACTTTTCGGACAACGAGGATCGAGAGGGCCGCGCCAACAAGAAGGTCGCGAGGTCGTTCTATGCTGCGTCCATCGTGTTTGATGTGCTCAAGTCCTTTGGAGAGATGGATACAGAGGTAACAACCCCAAAGCACGACGAGGATGACTTTTTGTTTGTTTTTTGGAAAGACGGTTTTCACGATTTGCTTTTGTATCCCTTGCGCAGATTGCCGAAAAGCACAAGTACGCAAAGTTCAAGGCAGTGTACATAACAAAGTGCCTCAAGAACGGAGAAGTACCGATCCCAGGCCCGCCGACCGGAGAGGACGCGGTTGGCGGCGACGATGCTGATTTCGGCCAGCAATCGCAACCCCCACCGGCGCAATCGCAGCAGTTTTACGACTCTAGCAGTACCCCTCCATCATACGGGGCAGACGGAGGTGCTCCCCAGCAACAGCCGTCGTTTGGCGGTGCCAGACCACCAGGCGCCTTCCCCGTGCTCCCACTCACAGATGTCCCATCATCGCCAGCAGGGCCGGCCTATCCGCCCCGTGGTGCCTCGCTTGGCGATGTCCCCGTGCCACCCGTCAACAATCCTTACGGTAGTATCAGCAATTTTAACAGTGCTCCTGGTGGCGGCAACATGTACAATCCAGCGATGGGTATGGGCAACGGTCCAGCCGCTGGTGGCTACCCCGGCCCTCCTTCACAGCAGCAACACCAACAGCCTCCTCTCCCTCCGTCGTATCCACCCAATCCAAGCCACTTCCCAAGCGTTCCTGGTGCAGGCGGCAAGGGTCCGACATCCGGCAACTCTGCTCCGCAGCAGCCTCCAGCAGCACCCACGCCAGCAGCACCTCGCCCAATGGCACACGTGCCTAACGCGCCGTCGCCTGCCCCCGCAAACATACCCTCTGCCGCCGCTCAGGGCATGAATGCGCTTGGAAATCTCCAACCCCGCCCAAGCATTTCGCTTGACGACTTTGCCATGGCTGCCAAGCACGCCAAGTTTGCCATCAGCGCTCTCCAATACGAAGACGTGACGACAGCCATCACCAATCTGCAAAACGCCCTTGCCCTTATCTCTGTCGCACGTCGATGATTTTTTTGGTTGTAGTTTTGGTTGGTTTGGTTGTTTTTGTGTTTTTGTGTGGTTTGATTTTTCTTAGTGGTCCAGTCCAAGTAGAAATTGTTTAGAGTTGGCAAATTGTTGTCATCCCTGGCATTCGCACGACTCAACTTGAATTGCTTTATCGCTCGAGTTCTATTCTCAGCAATTCTCAGCCATTTTGAATGGTCTCCCTCCACTCCTTCCTTCCTCTACAACCTCATCCATCTCACTCTCCATATATTTCGCTTCATCTCATTCATCCATTCACTCTTTTTTTCTTCTTCTTTCTTCTGTCTACACAATGTTTGCTCGCTTTTCAGAGGCGTTGCTCAAGCCAAAGCAAAAGTTCTCTCTCGATCACCTCAAGTAAGCTCAAACCCCCTCCCCCAATCGACGTTGTTGACGACTTCCACTCTATGCTGGCCCATGTCCCTCTGTGCACTGCGCTGCGCTGTGCTGCGCTGTGCTGTGTTGTTTAGCAAGGCTTTGAAGGCCAACAACGTCCTTGTTTCCTATCTCACTCACTCACTCTCACTCACTCACTCTCACTCTCACTCACTCACTCTCGCTGTTTTCATTAGGTATCTTTATACGGTGCTCGCCAAGAATGCAAAAGTCACCGAGCAGAACAAGTCGCTCGTCGTCGAGACGCTCCGCTCAATGGCAGAAATCCTCATCTGGGGCGACCAGAACGACAATCGCGTGTTCGAGTAAGCTGCAAACGCAACAACGATGAGAAGAAAACAAGGAGAAGCAGAAACAAGGAAGATGGATTGCGGTTTGGAGACAGGCGGAGGGGGGGACGTTGCTTTGACAGGGTTGCTTTTGTATGGGATTTGCATTGGGGGAACTTTTTTGGGTTGTACAATCCTGGTGATCCGGTGACTAGATACAATCCTCGCAACCACTCACTCACTCACTTTTTGATATTTCATTTGCGTTTGGTTGCTGATCTTGATTTTTTTTTTTTTTTTTTTTTTTTGCAAACCCGAAATCAGCTTCTTCCTCGAAAAGAACATCTTGTCCTTCTTTCTGAAGATTCTCGCGCAGAATACGGGCAGATACGTCAAGGTGCAGTTGCTGCAGACACTGAGCATATTATTCGAGAACATTAGCAACGAGACGTCCATTTGTGAGTGATAAAGCCATCCAAAGGAGAAAATAGCCTTGATTTCTCTGTGCTCATCGACTCACCACCACCCCCTCCGGCTCCCTTGTTCGCTCAGACTACCTCCTGTCCAACAACCACATCAACGCCATCATTGTGCACAAGTTTGACTTTTCGGACGAGGAGGTTTTGGCGTACTACATTTCGTTTTTGAAAACGCTTTCGCTGAAGCTCAACACGCACACAATCCACTTTTTCTTCAACGAGGTACGCGTTTTTTTTCGTTTCTCTGCGTTCGTCGAGAGCTACTGTGTCCCTCGTCCATGTGCATCGTTGACTGACTTTCGCGTCGTTCGCCGTCTGGTTAGCATTTGCACGACTTTCCCCTTTACACTGAAGCGATCAAATTCTTCAACCATCACGAAAGCATGGTTCGCATCGCTGTGCGCACTCTGACCCTGAACGTCTATCGCGGTATGAAGTGAAGTTTGGTCGCCTGTTGGCATGTTTTTCTCGTTCGACGCTGACTTGTGCCGTTTTTTTTTTTTTTTTTTTTTTGTTTTTTTTTTTTTTGTGTGCACGTTTCTCCTCCAGTTCCGGATAACCACATGCTGACCTTTATTTTAAACAAGACGACCGTGCCGTATCTCTCGAATCTTGTTTGGTTTATCGGCAACCAAAGCATCGAGTTGGACGAGTGTGTTCGAAATGACGCAGAGTACGTTTCGCATTTTTGGCTTTTTTTTTTGTTAATTGTGTCGCTTTGACGCTGTTCATTTTGTGCTGAACGGGGAACCTGACCCACTTTTTTCTTCTTTTCCCTCCCCTTCTCCAGCCATCTTCGACGAGGCCGATTGAACGATCTGGTGGCAGAACACTTGGACCACTTGCACTATCTCAACGACATCCAGCATTTGAGCATTGAGCGCCTCAACCAGGTCCTCACAGACCACTTGCTCAACAAACTCTTCTTCCCATTGTACATTTCCAATTTCCAACGAGGCGACTCCTCCAGAAATAAGGCTGGCCGGTTGGCGAACGGACAGCCAGTGCTCTGCGGCTTGGTGTCGCTGTTTTTGCTGGCGCAAGTGCTGCAAATCTTCGACTCGAGCCCGTTGGCCTCGGCGCTGGCCGCCGAAGTACTCCGCGGCAACTGCGATGTCGGGCGCTGGGAGCGCCAGCAGCAGGATTTGTTCCGCGAGATGCATCCCATCACCGGCGCTTTGGCGACCTCAAACCGCGACTTTACCCCACCAGAAATTCCCATCATGCGCATCCGCGAGGCTCTTGGTGCCCAGCATGATCAAGAGCTGGCGGCGCGCGCCGGCACTGGCTTGGACGCTGCCAGCGAAGCATCCAACACTTCGTCCTCGTCGCTCACCAACTCGAACATGAAGCGGCTCTCGTCCTTGTCGATGGTCACAACCACCTCTACGTCGTCCGCCACGACGGGTACCTCTGCAGATGCAGCCATGCCTCCCATCCGGGAACAAGGAAGCGATCCTGAAGGCGATGTGTCCGCTTTGACACCTGCGGCTGACACCAGCGCGGCAGACAGCTCAGACCATGCTGCTGCTGCAAGCGATGCCGCGCCTGTGACTTCTGCTTCGATGAGCGAGAATCCAGAGTCAATCGTCAGCTTTTCAGGCCCTCCGAAACAGCTGCTCGATTATCTTGTTTGCGACGAAAACGACTTGACTGCCCTGCCCGCCCTGTGTGTGCTTTTCGCCATTGTCAAGAGTGGCCACGTTCAAAAGCGTGTCATGGAGCTTGCGGGCGTCTATCCTCAGCGTTTCAAGAAGGCCAAGATGTTGCTGGTGAGGGCTTGGTTTTTGTTTCTGTTTTTCGTTGTTCTGGTTGGGTCTTGGGATCGCGTCGTGGGACTCACCTGGGTTTCATCTCTTGTTGTTGCTGCTGCTGCTGCTGCTGCTGCTGCTGCAGGACGAACTCACATCCGGACCGTTCACTCCTTCGGGATTGGCGTTCGGCAGCGAGGAAGGGTCACCTCTGGCCGGTTCGCCAGATCCAGTCGCGGGCGCTGCTGCACCCAACCTGCCTTCCGGATCCAGCAACGACGACACCTTGAGCACCATCACTGGCGAAAGCAACGTCGAAGACGACGACCCCACACGAGCAAGTCACTATTCAAATGCTTCTGACCGTGTCGTTTGTTGCTGACACATCTCTCTTGCTGCTACAGACAACCTACAACGCAACCGTGATTGAGCGACTCTTTAGCATCATGTACGCCAGCTTGAACATTGACAGCCAGATTCGGCTGGTAACCTTGGAGTTGGCCATCATGCTGCTCCAAGAACTGGTGTTCTTCAAGGGCGCATCGCCATGCTTGACAGACGAGCACTTTGGACTTCTCGCTGTAAGCCAAGCCATTCCACATTCATTATGGTGGAAGGGGGGGGAGTGTTGGATCTTTTTTCACTCAAAATGTGTTAATCCTCTGTGTGGAAAATTCTTTGAACTGCTCCTTCAGGACATTGAGCTGGTCAGCACTGAGCGCCTCCGCGCATGCTATTCCGGCTCTGCGAGCAACGACATCTTTTTGGACATGTTCGAGGACGAGTACCGGACGCTGCGACCGCTCCATTTCGAGTCCCTCATGATGGACGCCTCCATTTTGTTGCCACCAACAACCACCCCATTAACCGGCATTGAATTCTCCAAGCGTCTGCCCTGCGGCGAAGTCGAAAAGACACGCCGTGCCATCCGTGTCTTCCTCTTTATTCGGCAATTGCGGACAACGCTCAAGCGCGAGAAGGATCCGGAACTTCCGCTCTCCGAGCAGCAAGAGCCTGTCAAGATTGACGATGCTCTTGACTTGAGTAAGAGGCGTTTTTGTTTTGGTCGACACTTGTTTGGACGTGAACCACTCAGCTGTCTGAACGCCGCTTCTTTCGTTGTATACTCGTTCATCTACAAACAGACAACAGCGATCTGATTGCTTGCAAGGTCGTGGATCGGACACGCGCAGCCCAGCAGGCGGCACAGGCACACATTGTCAAACCTACAGGAGTGCCGAACGCTGCAATGGCGGCGGTGGCTCGCTTTTTGGTGGTCGACCAAAACCGCCTGATTCTCGTCGAGCCAGACCACACTCGGCTCGGCTGGGGCGTTGTGCGCTTTGTGGCGTCTCTGCAGAGCGTGGAGACGGCGTTTGACAAGACGGATTCGCGCGTGCTGCACATCACGGTTCTCAACAACCTCCGCCCGTGGGCAGCCAACGGACCCACCACGGTCAGCTCGCTCAAGTGGAGCGGCAGCCTCATTTTCGACGACCACATTCGGTGCCTGGCGGCCAAGCAGCAGCATTTGGACAAGAGCAAGAGCGAGTTGCGGCTTCGCAAGCTCACCAAAGTTGCCAACATGCTGGGCGTGCCTGTCCCCGTGCTCTCGCCGTTGTCGGCGGCCCATTCGCAGACGCAGCTCCCCGCGCAGTCGCCCCTCGTGCAGCACCATCCCTCGTCACTGGCCTCTCCTGCGCAGGGCGGCTTGCAGCCGCAGTTGTCGCTGAATTTCGGTCCGACCATGTCCAAGTCCCCTTCGTTGCCGCAAGTGTCGTCCAACGTGGCCACGCCTTTGGAGGTGGCGAACAATGCTGATGCGCAGCATCGACTTCAGCAGCAGCAGCAGCAACAGCAACAGCAGCAGCAGCAACAGCAACAGCAGCAGCAGCAACAGCAACAGGCCGCGGTGGTTACCCATGTCTCCCAACCGCAGCGCCTTCTTGATGACGATGCCGCTGCCATGTCTACGCCAGTCAGCTCTGTCGCGACCTCCGATCCGCTGACAGACGCCCTGGACGATTGAAGCAAGGGTCGGATTTGTTGATAGTAGTTGATAGCGAGCAAATGGATTATCGGCGCGATGCAAAGAGAAATTGTATCGCTTGCATTTTACAGTTTATTCCAAATTTCCAAAATTGTATGCAAGCTTCTAAGCAAGACGTGCAAATTCTGAATATATCGGGACAAAGGTCGGCGGTCATGCTACGACCTGCCAATCAACTTCCAAACAAAGAAGGCTGAAAAAATCGCACCAATCCAAGAGCTGCGTTGATGCACATGAAAGAACCGGAAGTGTGGAGGCAAAACCCAGACCCTCCGTCGCTTGAACCAAAAGCTCGCCCCGCACTGAACATCCGAATACTGTCCAGCGCGTCGACTGTGCGTGTCACAGAGCAGCTGTTTGCACAAGAACAAAAAAAAAAAAAAGTTCAAAAAAAAATTAAAAAAAAAAAAAAAGACCACAAAAGTCATGCTCTTCCATCCCCATCCCTCACTGGGCTGTATGCAGCAGTCAACCGACACTTGCGCATTCGCTTCCATGCGCTTCCCATCCCAGCCACAACTCCAAGTCAATGTCCTTCATCTTCCCACGGATGGGAGCGCAGAGTCGACATGTGCATCAGCCACATCGAAATCGGCCAATGGCGTTGCTGGGCTGGTGCACGACCTTCTCACCCGTGCAACTTTCCATCTCATTTCCCACGGACTGCGGTCAATGAGTCCAATCAATGGATGGGCTTTATAAAGCTAGGTCCAAAACAGGGATGCTAAAGGTCAGTCTTCTTCATCTGCGCTGTCCGTCCTTCTTCTCGTATTCAGACATTATTCAGACATGGTGGGCAAAAAAGGATCCAACACGTCGAGCAACTCGTCGATTGCAGCCCCGTCCGCGGCCGGACTTGCTCAACTCGACAATGCCGGGCTCTCTTGGTTTCACATTCGCACTGTGCTCGTCGCAGGCATGGGAGTAAGTGACAATTTTCCCTGTTATTGCGTGTGACAGTGGCCTCGTAGTTAGTTTTGTGATTGTAAACTTACTGCTCGCTTGTCTAGTTTTTCTGTGACAGTTACGATTTGTTTGTCATCTCTCTCATCACCAAATGCATCGGCCGGCTTTACTACCCCGACATTGCATACTATTCCCCCGAGCGCTGCGCCGACAACCACATCTCAAACATAACGACGGCTTGCAGTCACAAGTACGCGTCGCTCATTTCGTCCGGCATCTCGCCAGCGGATGCAACATACCACGTGCCGTCTGCCATGCCTGCCAATGTCGACGCAGCGCTCAAGGGTGTTGCCTTGTGTGGAACCTTGGCTGGCCAGCTGATCTTTGGATATCTTGGCGACCGCTTTGGCCGCCGCGTTTCGTTCGGCGCCACGCTTGTTGTCATGGTCGTGGCTGCGCTGCTCCAGGGCCTGTCCTTTGGCAACACTGCCAACGGCGTGATTGCATCGCTTTGCCTCTTCCGCTTTGCGCTCGGTGTCGGTGTTGGCGGTGATTACCCGTTGTCTGCCACCCTGATGAGCGAGTACTCGTCCCGTTCCAACCGCGGCAAGCTGGTGGGCGCGGTCTTTGCCATGCAGGGCATCGGGATTCTTGCGGCAGCCACCGTCACCATCATCTTTGCGGCCATCTTCCAAAACCAAAACCAGAATGCCGATTCGATGTGGCGTCTGATTCTCATGTTCGGCGCCGTCCCGACAGCGGCCACCATGTACGCTCGCCTCAACTTGCCTGAGACACCGCGCTACACGCTTCTCGTCAAGCAGAACGCTGCCACTGCCGCCTCAGACATTGCCCAGGTCCTCGGCACCGCCGCACCCGCGCACGAGTCTGTGAAACCCGTCGTCAAGAAGATGTCGCTGCGCATGCTCATCAAGAACTATGGCTGGAAGCTTTTCGGATGCTCAATGTGCTGGTTCCTGCTCGACATTGCCTTCTACAGCCAGAACCTCTTCCAGTCAGACGTCTTCTCTGCCATTGGCTGGATTCCCAAGGCGCAGACCATGACCATCACGGAAGAGGTCTTCAAAACTGCACGTGCCCAAGCTCTGATTGCCTTGTTCTCAACGGTGCCCGGATACTGGGTCACCGTCTTTACCGTCGAGAAGCTCGGACGCTGGTGGATTCAGCTCGGCGGGTTTACCATCATGACCCTGTGCATGGCCATTCTGGCTGGCGACTATGACAACCTCAAGGCCAACAACGTGACTGCCTTTGTGGCGCTGTACGCGCTCTGCTTCTTTTTCGCCAACTTTGGTCCAAACTCGACAACCTTCATTCTTCCGGCCGAGCTCTTTCCCGCCCAATACCGCTCGACGGCCCATGGCATTGCTGCAGCGAGTGGCAAGGCCGGAGCCATCATTGGTGCCTTTGGCTTTGCGGCAGCCAACACGGCCATCGGTCTTCGCCCAACCCTGGCGATTCTCGCTGCCATCAACTTTGCCGGCTTGCTCTTCACCTTCCTGGTGCCGGAAACCAAGGGCCGCACCCTTGAAGAAATCACGGAAGAGCTTGCCCACATTCCCGAAACAACAACGAGCACGCCCATGACTGGCAGCTCGAGCGACCTGACAATCGAAATGACTGCAGTTGACGATACGCTGTCAAGGCCCGAGACGGATCAAGCATAGGTTGTATAGTTTGTCCCTATTGTTTTTTGTGTGTTTTAGCTTAAAAGTACAGTACATAGTTATCCGATTTACCTGCAAGAGTCAGAATTGCGTAGATTTTTTTTCTTTTTTTGTTTTCAGGTCCTCCGTTCGATCGATCCGTCGTGGAGCGCGGGCGGGCATTGCGAAATGGGTTTTTTTCATCAAGCCACTGTCTCTCGTCGCGTTGACGGAGCTCTTGATGATGATGCAATGGATTAGGGGCAGCGTTGCTCAAGTGCAAGCTCGCTCTAGCTTTTTTCCCCTCCGTCTCCGCCACCCCGCCACCCCTTCCCCCCCCCCCAATTTGTCTAGCAAAAGCGCATTGTTTTGATCCCAATTGTCAGCTGAATGTCGACAGGTCCAAGGTCTGCATTTGGTGCTCGCTCTCTCCTCTTTTTTGGGCTCCCCGTTACTGTACGAGCATGACGCGCTTTTTGTGCGCTTTTTGTGTGTGCTGCATTTCGGCAACCAGACACCAAGCGAGTTCGTTTGACGGGTGTTGATATCAGCGTGATTGCCACAAAGCGAGACGACGCAAGGTGAAGAGCGGCGAGCGGAGTGGAGTGGAGTGGAGTGGCTTTTGCGAGCAGACGCCGTCACTGGGTCATTTCGAGCATGCGATTTCGACTTGAGAGGTTTTTGAGGTGGCGTGGGGGGTTGGGGTTGGGGTTGGAATGGGGGGGGGGCAGGACAAAGGAGAATGGACCTGTGTGGGTTGCAATGAGTGGAGCGCAATGCATTTTCCATTGCCTTCCACTCGTTTCCGCTCACTTCCATCCTTCTCCTTCCCTCCATCCCCCTCCCTTCCCTTCTTCTCGCTCGTCGTGCTCTCCACTGTTCTGATGCGAGTGACTTCCACCACCCCTTTCAATCCCTTCACATCCTGCTGATGCAATGCACTTTCCATTGTACCTCGCTTCCCTCTGCCTTCTCCCTCCGCTGCCCCTTTTCCCCCTTCAACTCTACACTCGCAACACAGTTACAAACAGTCAAGTGTGTTTTGCTGTCGAAACAACAACCGCGCGATTCTGGGCTGCAAAACCACAGCATTCACAACGCCAAAATGCATTGCACGCAAAAAAAAAAAAAAAAAAAAAAAAAAAACGGGTTTTTGAATGCAAAACCGTTACGCACATGGAGGAGGGTAGTCGACACGGCGATTTTAGTGAACTTTTTGTATCGCGCTTTGTTTCGAGCGAAACCGACGATGTACTCTTTATTAAAACCGCTGCTACCATTTTTCTTGCTTGGAGTCTCTTTGTGGTCGTATCTCTGCCAACGCTGAACTCTCGTTGTTACTACTCTCTCACTACCTCGCCTACCAATTTCTTGTCGTGAATTTCATGTTGCTTGCTATACACTCACTTTTTGACTTCTTGCTTACAGGGGTGAACACAAAAAAAACCAACCAACCAACACTTTCTTTTTTTTCCTTTTTACAGTGAATTTCTGAGACCGCTGAGATTCGCTTTTTTTTCTCTCTCTTCTTTCTACCATTCTTTGACTTATTGTTTCTGAGATTTCCATTCGTGTCTCAGTTCACTCGTCTTTTTTTTTTTTTTTCTTCCTTCTTCTTCTCTCGTTTTCCTTTTGGCTCGTCGTGCTCGCTCAAGTTCTGTCCAAGTTCATTGACAAGTCTGACAAGCAAGGAAACACAAAGAAAGAGCAGAAACTCGAAACAAAAAAAAGTCAAGTCAAAGTCCCCTCTTCCTAACGTTCCCTCGATTGATCATCAACGCGCAACGTCAAACAAGTCAACGCAACGTTCATCGGTCGTTGTTTCGACTCTTGCGTCATTTTCCTGTGGATTTAGCACAAAACAACCCCCTTCCCATCAAGCGTCATCAACTTTTTCTTTTTGCAGCTCGTCACTCCACACCACGCAGAAATGACGCTCACCTCGTCCTCTACCAGCCCCAACGGCGGCGGCTCGAGCATGATGCGCACCGCGTCGCTCCCCGCCACCTCGTCGGCTTCGGTCCGCGTGGTGTCCACCAACAGCCACATTGGCTCAAAGATCGTCAAGCCCAGCGTGTCCTCTGCCGCTGCTCGCCAGATGCAGGCCCGCATCACCGCGGCCGGCTCCGTCCAAGAGCTTCGTCAGCAACTACAAGCGCCCGCGTCGCTCGCCCTGATGCGCCTTGCGACCGTCTCCTCTGAGCTCTTGGCGCCCTCTGCCTTTGTCGATGCGGCCTCCAACAGCAGCAGCAGCATCAGCAGCAGCAACAACGGCAGCAACGGCAGCAGCGCGTTGTCGTCGCCCGCCATGATGTCCATGGACGATGACTCGTACTATGCAGCTGCTTCGATCGTTGCCTCGGCGTCCGGCGCGGCCTCTTCGTCCTCGTCGTCGGCAATGGCGTCCCCGCAGCCGTTCGTGCCGATGCCCGCTGGCTCGGACCTGTTGGACGATGCGCTGATCGGCCTGCCGTCCTTCGACCCGACCGCTCCCCCGCAGCGCGTCATGCAGGCGAGCAAGATTCTGGCCAACATGCTCCAGACCCAGCACGGCTATCTGCCCACGCTAAACTTCCTCCGTCGCATCCAGAAGGACGAAATCCAAGAGTTTATGCGCCGCGACATTCTCGAGTGGCTCTTGCGTGTCTCGCAGCACTTTGAGCACCACGCTGAGACGTTTGCCACGGCCGTCAACCTGTTTGATCGCTTCCTGTCCACGCTCAAGGTCAAGCCCACGCATCTCCAGCTCATCGCCGCCACCGCCCTGCTGATTGCCGCCAAGTCGCAGGAGCAGTGGAACACCCACCCGACCCTCAGCAGCCTCATCAACGCCTCGAACGCCGCGTTCGCCTGCAGCGACATTCTGCGCATGGAGCGCATCATTCTCGCGCGCCTCAAGTGGACGCTGGCCACCGTCACGCCCCACCTGCTCATCCACCAGATGGTGCCGTGCCTCGAGCAGACCCTCCAGTTTTCGGCCCAGCAGCTCGATCGTCTCATCCGTGACGCCGAGGCCTACAGCGATGCCGCGCTCATCGAGTACCGCTACGCCAACCAGCTGCCGTCCACCATTGCTTGCGGCGCCCTCCTCTGCGCCCTCGCCCGCACCAGCCGCGGCGTCCATGACAAGGACCTCATCTCGGGCCTGCTTTCGCTCTCTGGCACCGAGTATGACGCTGCGTCTGCCTGCTTTATGGACATGAAGGCGCTTCTGGTTGATGACGGCCCGGTCATGTAAATCTCGCGATCCATCCATCCATCCATCCGCACAAACAGCATTCTTTCTTTTTCTCGTTCTACACACATCCTCAAGACAAGAAAACCCAAAAAGCAACAAAAACAAAAAGAAAAACAAGTCCCGTTGCCTTTCCACAAAAAAACAACAAAAAACTTGATCAACTTGACCACAAAAGCTCTAAAACGACCCTCAAAAAAACAAGCTGATATTTGTTTTGTTCTGTCCTGTGTCTCGCCTCGTTCCCCAAGCCTTACTGTCCGTTCTCAAGACTGCGTGTGTGTTCTTCCGTCTCGTTCTCTGACTATTGTTTGTCCGCTGTTCCCTCTCCGTTCCTTCTTCCTGCAATGTTTCCTGTTGCTTGAAAAACCTCTTAAATCCCAAAAAATATAACTTGTGTTGGTCTCCTGACGTCGATCCTTGTCTCGCAGCATGTTACGCTGTAAAAAACACTACATGTAGCCCTGTTCCATTCCACTTCAATCCAATTCTCACGCAGTGTTGCACCCTTCTTTGTCTATTTGTTTTGTTTTTCCCCCCTTCATGTTGTCTGAGACTCCTTCCCATGTCACTCCTTCTCTTCTCTCTTCTCGTTCATTTTGTTCACACATGCTGCGTTTGGCTGCGTCGTCTCGGCGCGGTTTCGCACAACTCTGCGCGGCCGCAGCCCCCGCCGCCACGAGCCGCCTTGCAATGGCATCCATGGCCGAGCGCACGCAGATCCAGGCGAGCATTCTGTCGTGGGGCGCTGCGGACGCCGGTGCGCTCGGTCTCGGCACGCTGCTGCCACCTGCGCTCCAACCGCAGTCGCAGTCATCACAGTCGTCGCAGTCACAGTCACCACGCGGACTGGACTCTGGATCTGGACTGCCACGCTCATTGGGTGCTGAGCAGCCGGCGCCACTGTTTGTGTCAACCCCGACACGTGTCCCAGGCCTCGAGGTGAGTAAGCAAGCCAGTGGGAAGGCTCAGAAAAGCTCAGAAAAGCTCAGAAAATCTGAGAAAAGGTCTGACATCAAAGTAGAGCAGAGAAGGTCATAAGTTATGGGGATTCTTGCTCAACATCGACCCCCCTCTTCTGCTGGCTTTGCTCAGAGATATGTTCCGTATGCGATCGCAGCTGGATGGGCGCACTCGTTGGTCGCCGTGCAAAGTAAGAAGCATTGTCTGAGAAATAATGCTGGTGCTTGTAATCTCGTTGATATCACCAAGAAAAAATAAGGAAAAATCAAACTCATCCGCGGTGCAAATCAGACCCAGGTCTCGGAACATTCGCATTGCTCGGCGCTGGCCTCAATACCAGCAATCAAATAGGCTTGATTGATCCCGAAACACGCCAGCGTCGTCGACAGCACGAGGCTGCCGACTTCATCTCCTCGCAAGATGGCGACCAAGCAGTGCCAGCGAAGGCCGTCAGTGATTTCACCTTCATCCATCGGTTTGACGATCAACCCGTCGTGTCGATGGCGTGCGGACGTCAACACTCGATTGTCGCAACAGCAACACAAGGTAACAAGCGAAGAATTGTGGTGCTCAACAACAGAAAAAATCTTTGTTTTGAATCCCGCTCACTCACCTCAACCCAGTCGTCGGCTTTGGAAACAACCACTACGGACAATGCGGCATCCTCCCATTCCGCGCAAGACAATCCCCCGACTTTGTCCATTTGAATTTGCTGCTCACAGGGGCCAGTCGCGAGTTGGCCAACACGCCAGAAATGCCGTTGCGCGTGGCGTGCGGTCTGGACTTGACGCTCATATTGCACGCAGACGTCCTGTACGCGAGCGGCTGGGGTGCTGACGGGCAAACGGGACTGGGTGTGGACACGGACGTCCGGTTGCTGTCGCCGATCGTTTTCGAGGCAGAAGACTTTGTGGGAGAAAAGGTGCATCACTTTGCGACGCGCGCCGATTGCTCGTATGCCCTTGTCAGCAACAGCAACGGAGTACACCGGCTGTTTACGTGGGGCAACTCGGAATATGGCCAAACCAGTCTTGGCAAGAAGCCCGATAAGGTCAGCAGATTTTTGCGAGCAACCACAAAAACCAGTGGTGTGCTTTGACTCTGTCCTTTGCTGACCGCGGACTATACTTGCCAGTATTTGAAACCACACGTTGTACCAGGTCTGGGCGCTGCATCCGTCAAGCAGATTGCTGCTGGCGGATCGTTTGCCGCGTTTTTGACTGGTAGGCGAGAGATTTGGATTGGATGCGTTCTACTTTTGTTCTGAAGCATACTCACGGTCTCCCCTCTTCTCATACTCCACTTTAGCGGATGGCTGTGTTCATACGTGTGGTTATGGCCCAGCACTCGGACGAGGCAACCACACACTAGAGTCGCTCGAGATTGCGCAGCTCGATCGCGCCCTGTTCAATTTCGAGCCAGTCGTGCAGCTCGTCAGCGGAAACGACTACGTCATGGCGCTCACCGTCACCGGAAAGCTCTTTGCCTGGGGACGCGGCCAATGGGGACGTCTTGGCCTGGGCCACACGGCCGATGCGTGGGTGCCAACAAGGGTGAGTTTTGTTAATTCGTTCTTCTTCTGCGCGTTGTTGCTGCTCTCAACGATAGTGTCGTTTTTTTCTGCTTCACAGGTACCAATCGAGGGCAAGGTCACCAGCGTTGCGTGCGGAGTGGATCACACTTTGGCGATCGTTGTCGACAATGAATAAATGCAACCTGCACATTCAACGAGAACGACTTTTTATTGTTAAATCGTGTAGAAAAAAATCAAAAACACAAAGGACAAAGAAAACAAAAGGGGAAAGGGGGGGGGGAAGTTGGATGATGAAACGACAATCGGACTTCACACGGTTTGAAACACTAACCCACCACAACGTCCGCCAAAACGCGTGATAAGTGGCCAAAACTGTGCCAAAGAAATCCGACAATCCTCAAAAGCCCCGCCGAGCATCGACATGCACATTCAACACAGCACAAGAAAGACTCCGGACGTTTGACCGGAATCCACACATGAAAGAAACAGTGTACAAGCAAAAAACACGCGTGCGCATGCTCTGCTGCTAAACAGTGTGTGAGCAAGACTCGCGCATTTAGGGCATTTCCTGATCTTCCAGGTAGCGATACTCAAAGGTGAATTCGCTCTTCTTGCGCTGGCACCAGCCAGTCTCATAGTCAAAGTAGACGTATGTGCCTTGTTCAAACTCGTCAATGACGGTTGTCGGCTCGGCATGGCGTTGGAACCATGTCAGGTACTTTTTGTGGAAGCGCCACGCCTGCTTCTTGAGCTCGCGCGCCGCCAAGTACCTGCGCGAGTACAGAAAGAGAGTGGGGGGGGGGAATTAGAAAACAGAGAAAAAACAAAAAAAATAACAAAAAACAAAATTGACACAATTGAAATCTTACTGCTGGTACGTGCCCTGTTGGAAGTAAAAGATAAAGAACAGGGTGTCTAAATCAAACTTGCTGAACAGGGCCGGGTTGCTGGCAAAGTTGATGGGCGTGTGGGGGTTGAACGGGGCAGTGGTCGCCGGCGATCGAGGCGCGTAGCTCTTCAGGTGCTCGAAATCAGCTGGCTCGGGCAGGTAGTGCATGCTGCCCCAGAGCTGAGCCAGTCGACGCACGTTCGCGTCCATGGACTGATCGGCAGCCGTTGCCGGCGTCGACGACTGGAGCGGCGAGACGTTGCTAAACTCGGCCTCGCCGAGCGGCGATGTGTGGCTGCCTGTAGCATGTTGTGGTGTCGCGGTTGGTTGCAGGATGGGGGTGGTCGAAACTGGGGTGGTGGTCTCAGTGGTTGCAGCTGCCTCGGTGCTTGGCGCATCGGCGGCAGTGCTTGCAGCGGGTTGGGCGCCCTTTGCAGCCTTGCCAGAGCCCTTCTTGCCAGCAGCAGTGCTGGAGGGCTCTTCAACTGCAGCTGCTGCAGGAGCAGCCGCTGGCTTGGCAGGCGCAGCGCTGACAGCAGGCGTGAATGCGGGCGAAACGGGAGCAACGGCAGGGGTGGGTGGTGCCGAAGCAGCAGCCGCAGCCGCAGCCGCCTTCTTGGCCTGCTGTTGGGTCCAGGCGTTACCTGACGGTGTGGCCGCAGGCGGCGGTGCAAATGGACTGACGACAACTGGCGCAGCAACCGGGGTGGTGACGGTGCTGCTGCCGGCGCTGTTGGCGCCCTTCTTGCCAGTGGTGGCCGCTGGCGTGGCTGTTGGGACAGCGCTGGCCTTGTCCAGCAAACCCTGTGATGACGCAGGGGTGGCAAGAATGCCCTTGCCTGCTGCAGCCGCGGGCGTTGTTGTTGCGGTGGTGGCTGCAGCGCCTTTGGCAGAGTCTTTGCCCTTGGCGGCGGTTGTGGCGGCTGTTGTTGATGCTGCTGCTGTACTTGTGGGTGCTGCTGCAGGTGTTGCGGCTGCGGCGGGCTTGGCGGCGGCCGCTGCAGCTGCTGGTGTTTGTTGCTTGGGTTTGCTGGGTGATGCTGGTGGCTCTTCCTTTGCTTTTGGCTTTTCGGGAGCGGGTTTTGTTTCCTCCTTCCTTGATGAGTAGTCGTCATCGTCGTCATCGTCGCCATCGTCATCGGAAAAGTCGTCGCCAGCATAGTTCTCGTCCAGATTCAAGTCCTCGTACAATGCCTCGTTTTCGGTATAGTCGTCTTCTTGGTTGTTTTCAATGTAAAAGTCGATATCCTCGTTGATTGCGTTTTTGATCTGGGAGCGAAGGAACGGATCGAGATAAAAAAAATCAAGCGAAAAATGATGTGCAAAGTCAGCACGCTGATGCGGGCAAATCGTGCACACAACAACAACAACACAATCAACGAAGAAAGAGAGAGAGAAAGCATTACCGTCTCAACGTCCAATGAATCATTCTCCATCAATCGCAAAATCTGTTCTAGCTTGTTAATGTGGAACTTGTGCCGCACGACCAAGCCCTCCATTTTCGCTGTTCGCTCTGATGTGCCCTTCTTTTTTGTTGAGGTTGATGCTAGTGTCTCGAGTTCTGCTTCAAAGGCGTCGACCTGGAGAGGGCAAGAGGATGAAGAAGCAGAAGAAGAAGAAGAAGAAGAAGAAGAAGAGTGAGAATCAACGAAAGAAAAAAAAGGAGCAAACCATTCGAGGCCGTTTGTCCTTGTTTTCGAGCAAGCAGAGCGGGCACGAGCCTCCTACCTGCATTCCTAGCTTGTCTATTGCGTCGTTCAGCCATTGTCGTTCCTCTGCCTTCTCACGCTCTGCCGGATCCATCGTCTTGGACGCCTTCTCCAGGCCTTCCTTTGAGTACGCCTTGGTTTTTGTCTCGCGTTCGATTGCTCGGAAGCGCTCCATTTGCTGCAAACCCGTGCCCCCCAAAAACACACCATGCATGCGTGCAATCGAGTGAGCCATACGAGCGAACAGAAAGCCACAAGCAGACACACGACCTCTCGCTGGCCAGGCTGCTGGACGCCGCCATCGCTCACCGATTCAATCAGCTTGCGGTTGTCCAGCAAGACCTTCTTGTCCTTGACTTCGTTGGATGTGAGCCATGTCTTGATCTGGTCGCGCAGTCGCTGCAGCTTCTTGATCTCCTTCTTGAGGTCGCCTTCGTACTTTTCCTTGAGGTTTGTATTGGGCGCGCTGACAACCTTTTCCCAGATGCCCTCAAACTCCTCAGTGCCTTCCTGGATGCGCTTGAGCACGCGGTCGATCTCCGCTGTTCCAGCGAAAGACAGCGGCGCAAACAACAACAACAACAACACGAAAAAAAAAAAGTGAACAAATGGGTTAAAACGTGTTTACACTAACAAGCGCGCCTAGCAAAACCACGCAAATCAACGCTACTGAATCATGACCACGAATTTTTTTTTTTTTTTTTTTTTTTTTGTGGTGGTGGTGAACATCCGTCTTCCCTTCTCCCTTCTCCCTTGCTCCCTTCGCCGCCCACACAGCTCGACACACATTCAAATCAATGTGTTTTCATTTTCAACACACCGTTGGCACAAAAACCCAGTTTCAAACGCGTTTCATTGCGTTGCATTTTGAGTTTTGCGTTTCAGACTCGAATTTTCAATTCTTTTTTTTTTTTTTTTTTTCATACAAAATCCAATGCAAAAGTCGAGATCTGCGCTTTTTTTTTTTTTTTTTTTTTTTTTTTTGTTATGCAGAGTCCGCACTTTTGACTGCGTTGAGCGTTTGAGCTTGGTTTTTGCGCTGAGAGTAGAGCTGCAGCAGCATGTCAGCAGAGCCGCCGGTGCCGCTGGGGTGGGAGCGGCGAAGGGGGAGCGTTCCGACTGAAGCGGACGGGTCCAGCCAAAAAGGCATGGAAAAAAATCAAGTACCAAAACCTGATGTCGTTGTTCGGGTTTTAGTGAAACGAGGGTATGGAAGTTGGGCACAAACCTTGAAGTTTCCGCTTATCCGCCATCACTGAAAAAAAAGAAAAAATGAAAAAAAAAAAAAAAGATAGACTGATGACCCGTGAAAATAGTCGCAAAAGACTGAGACCGAGGAGTCATCGTGATATGGAACGAATGCATTTCATCTGGTAAAATAGAAGAGCGAATCGCGATCGCAGGCAACCAGCCGGAATGGGGTCGGATTTTTGACATTCGACAAAGAACGCTCAGACGTTCACCAACCAACCGAAACTGAGATAACACAATATCGGTGAAGAAGCTCTTTACTCTCCATCGGGCGTGGCAGCATTGGACGATGGTGGACGGGAAGAGGAGGACGCTGCTTTCGCCGCCGCTGCTTGGAACAACACAACAGCAACGCCGCTCCAGACGTTGGCCAATCGCAGATACAGCAGGCCGTGAATATACGTCGTGAGCCAGGAGGCCGTGCCCGCGTTTGGCTGGTACTTGCGAATGAGGATTGGGTGAGGCACAGGCAACAGACCAACAAGCGTGCCGTGTCTCAAAAAGTCCAAAATCTCTGCCTCGTCTGTCACGCCTCTGTCATGCAGAAGCGCCCCCCCCCCAGAAGTTGTTCGACAACGGGTCAGCAAAACTCGACACATTCAGCTCGAGTCGCACGCCCCCATTCAATTCCGCTTCTCGTACCGGTCAACGCAAATCTTTTCAACTTGAGGACCCAGAATCTGCAGCATTCGGTTGATTGTTTGCAGCTGGAGATGACTCTTCCACTCGTCAAACTGTTGCAACAAATTGTCAGCACCAGAAATAGCAAAGGACCAGTCCAAGTACCATATTAAAAAAACCGACCAAAAAACCGTACCCATTCTTGAGTGGCTTCAAAGGCTTCGGTTTCGTACGCAACAGGTGTGGCCGATGCAGACTTGGCTGCAATCGACGCTTGGCACTTGTCCAAAGTCAAGGAACTGAGGTGGTCGAACGCCGCGCGCTTGCAAATGATGGTGTAAATCATGTTGGCGTTGCCTGTGTGCCAAGCAAAACGAACAAAAGGCGACCCAAATGAGCAGCGAGACCCGGCTGCCAAACCGTTGCCTGAGCGCTGAAGCAGATGCCGCAAACACTTACCGTCAAACTGATACTGAATCACATTGTTGAAAATCTCAATCAAAAAGACAAGCAGATTGTGGTTGTTGGGCCGCGCAAGCAAAAATCGAGGCGTCGAATAAAACTCAAAGAGATGCAGCAGCTTGGCGCTCGAGACCAGGGTGATGGACTTGAAGTACGGCGACACGTTTGCCAGGATTGTCAGGAAGCAATCTTGCAAACTGGACAATCGCTCGTGACCCATCGTGATTGTCCGATGGAATGTCTGGCAGGTGGTGCGTGAGTGCGCAACATGGTCAGCGATTGAATCACAACACAAACGGAATGGTCACGCATGCTTTACAAGAATCATTAAATCGGCATAAGAACCGACAAAGGCGGGAATGTCTGCAAACGCGTGGCCTGTCCAGGCCTTGTTCAGGCGAACGCCAAAGTTTCGCTCGCCACTGAACAGCAAGAGCAAAAAGGCGCATATGTGCACGAGCCCAACGCGCGGTGCTGCCAAAAAACCAACGCGTCCGGCAGTCAAAGAGTGAGTCGGAAATCGCAGCACGAGTCAACTCTTGCAGGCTTACATTGATCATTGCGAGCTTCGAGACAAAAGCTCAAAATGGGAACCACCAGCTCCAATACATCGCTGGATTTTAGCAAGTGATGCAAAAAGTGCTTGTTCAAGTCGCACATCTTCCACAGTATCACGAGCACCTCTTGCTGAAAGTCAATCTTGACTTGAGACCCAGGCAAGTAAGTGGAACGCAGTGTGTTTTGGAGCAACCGAGAAAGTCCACGGAGCACAAAAGTAAAGTCCTCCAGTCGGTGCAACCGCGATAATGACGTGGCCCATGAGTTTCCAAGCGATGCCGCTGGCAGGTGAGGCGAAGTTGGAGTACGTGGCTGTCATGAATAGGGCGAAGAGGAAAGAAATTCAAGGGCAAAAGAAACACAGTGAGCCGATACATGCGGGACTGTTTGAAATGCAAAGCGGAGGGTTGCCGCGTTACCACTTCATTGCCAAATTCCGACTCGGCAGAAGCAACCTGTTGGTCTCCAGGATAATCAAGACACAGAATGAGCAGCTGGGCTGCCATGACCACGAGCGGAGCACGTTTATCCGAGACGAGTAAAAAGTTGTAGCTGCCCATGTTGACATTTCAATTTCAAGGTGAACGCGCTCGAAAAAACAAAACAACAAAAGTCGGCCGCAAAAACAAAACCCAGCACGCATAAAGGCGACTCAACGTACGGAATACCGTAGCCAACCGGGTCGTAGGAGCAAACAACGTTGAGGCAAGAGCAAATCAAGGGCAGCGTGTGCCTCACTTTGCCGGATGTCAGTGTGGCCAACCAAGGGTTGGAAATGTGCCCTAGAGAGCCCAAGAGAGAGAGCGAAAAATGCCCATTGTTCAGAACACGATCGTCTCTCCTTAGCCTATGCTTTTTTTTTTTACCTGGCGGCTGGTACAGTGCAGAGGACATGCACAAGGTGATGAGCAGGCGCAGCACCTCCTCCCGATTCCCGTCCAGATGCGCACTCGGCTTGGCCGCCTCCATGCCAATGCCCGTTTCCCAAATAAATTCGCGGCTGTCGAGTTCTGCAACTGTGAGTGTCGTGGCAATCGTGAATCCCGGCGAAAAGCAGAGGTCGGTCAACGCCTCCACGAGAATGCCAGCGAGCGTGATGCCAGTCGCAGGGGATGTCGGGAACTGTCGGAAATGTGTGTCTGAATGAGACCGGAAAACCACAAACCAGAAACAGAAGCGAACACACTCGCCGCAATGGTCACCGTACCGTTGTTGGAGGCTCGCGTCCAACTTTCCACATGTACTCGCGCCACTCTTGATCCTCAAAGACAAGCGGCATGATGCGTGTGAGGAAGCGAATGCCGTTGATTGCGCCAGTCGCCATCTCTGTCGTGTTGCAGCCCCGAATTGCGCTCAACGTGACGCGTTCGACCAACTGCACAGCGCGTAGCAAGCACCATCGTTCAAGTTTGTGTCAAGTGAGTGCACGGGTTGCAGAATGAGTTCAAGTTGTGTTCAAGTTGTAGCCAAATTGCAGCCATTGCCATAGGAAGTCCGTCCGGCTTGCTGCTTTCCGTTTTGTTCGTTTTTACCTTGTGGAGCAATGAGCGAAAGTTCTCGGGTGTCTGACGCATGATGCGCCTCACGTCGTCTGGCTGAACGAGCTCGTACAAGTCGTCCAGGCTCAGTGCGCGCTCAAACAGCTTGGACCAGACCGACGCTGACGACGCTGCGCTGGGCTCGTCCTTGGCCGATGCATACGGAATGACCTGTGTTGAATGGAGACACCGAGGTTCAGGTCCAGTCAGTGTCTCAGTGACCCAATCCTGGGTGTCGTTCTATTGTTCTATTGGGGTTTTTTACATTGGCAGCTGCGATGAGTTCGCCGAGCGCGTCAATCACGGCGTCCTTGCTCGATCCGCCGCCCATTTTGATTCCCAAGTGATGACGCCTGCTCAAAGTGAACAAAGGGAGAGTGAAAGAGTGAAAGAGAGAGAGAAAGAGAGAGAGAAAGAAGCAGACAAAAAAAGACTGAGAAAATGGCCCAGTAATCTCAGAAAAACTCAGCTTTCGATCAAAATGAACAACCAACAACAAAACAACTTCAACTTCAACTTCAATCGACGAGCAACAAAACAAAACAAAGCTTCAACTTCAATCGACGAGCAACAAAACAAAACAAAGCAATCAAACTTTTTTTTCCATTCACTGACTTTTTCCATTGACTTTTTCCATTCACTTTTTCCATTCACTTTTCGACTTTTCTGTTCATTGACTTTTCTGTTCATTGTTCATTTTTTTTCGTTCACTTCTTCTTTTTATTCTTCAATTTTTTAACCTCAAACTTTTTTTACTTTTTTCCCCGAGTTTTTTTAACTTCCGTCTTTTTTTTTCTTTCTTTTTTCTCTCTTTTTTTCTTTCAATCAAAACCGAACTCAGCTTCAAAAAGTCAAACAAAAAGCGCGGAACAGGTTTTTTTTTTTTTTGTCTTTGTTGCTTGTTTTTTGTTTTGTTTCCAATCCAAATGTCGGACGGCAGCGGCGTCGGCAGCCTGAATGGCAGCAGCAGCAGCAGCAGCAGTGGCGGCGTCGGCGTTCGTGAAGAACACCACCACCAACAGCAGCACCAGTCAGCACACGTCGCTCCACCGCGCCTCACGCTGACCACGCCAGCCTCAGCGACCGCGCGTGCAGACAGCGATGCTGCAGCAGGAGGAGGAGGAGCGACGGCTGGAGGAGCACCAACAACGACGACGACTGAGATGGACAATGTAGCACAAGCAGCCAAACCAACCCTCAGCCTCACTCACCCGCACCAGCACCAGCACCAGCAGCACTCCCATGACAATGACATGCTGCTGCTTGAGGCGACAAAGGCAGGGCGGCGGCTGGGCCAGCTTCGGAGGCAGCGGACGGGCAGCGTTGGCGACGCAGGAAGTCTGCTGAGCGTCGACTCTGCTGCTGGCACTGCGTCGTCGTCATCGAGCCACCAGGACGTCGAGGACGAGGACGAGGACGACCAGGACTTGTATGGCGACGACGACAACTACGACGAGGACTTTGTGCTGCAGTCGTCACTCGGCGACGGTCATCACGAAGTTCAAGGTGGTCACGAAGCGCAAGGGCAAGCGCAAGGGCAAGGGCGTGCTGCTGCTGCTGCTCTGAATCTGAGCCTCGAAGACAAGCATGCTCAAGCGTCAGGGAAGGAAGAACATGCAGGAAACACCCATCATCACAAGGCAAAGCATGGGCAGGACGGCGCTGCAACCACTGTGGCGTCGAATTCTACCAGTAGTGCTGCTGCTGCTGCTGCTAATCCTGCTGCTGCTCCTGCACCGAGAGACTCGAAGCACCTGCAGCTGCCGATCGAGCGCGAGGCATCCTGCTTCATCCACCTCGACGGTGCGCACTCTGCCCCAGACATTGGTGCTCATGGGCCTGGACACCCGCACACCAAATGGTCAGACCACTCGCTGGCGTTCTACGCGACCGACGAGGCCGCCTCGGTCGCCGCCGATGCGAACGCTCGTTCCCACCCCGAAACCCGCCCATTCGCCCACGGCGACGTCAAGGGCAAGATGCTGGCTGCATTCTACAACATTCGTCACAATGGTGAGTCTGCACTCTGTGCTTTGTGTGGAAAATGGAGCCACAACAAAACTCATTTTTTTATTTCTTGGTCGTTTTGTCTTGGCAAACTTTTTTTTCTATTATTGTTTTTTTTCCCTGATTCTTTGGCTCTGCAGTCAACAACTTCCTATCCTCCATCAGCGACTCGCCCATCTGGATGCTTGGCAATTGCTACAGCGGCAAGGAACTCGAGTGCAACGGCCACACGGAAAACAAACACAACAAACGCAGCCGACACATTTGCAAGTTTTTCGCAGACTTCCAAACCCTCGTCTGCTTTTCATATCGCAAGGATTTCGAGCGGATACCTGGCAGCAAACACACCACCGATTGCGGCTGGGGCTGCACCCTCCGCAGTGCCCAGATGCTCGTCGCAGAGGCGCTCGTTTTGCAGATTTTTGGCCGTCGTTGGCGAATTGAGGATCGTTCCTGCCCTGCCCCACTCAGTAGCTCGAAAGAGGATCAGCTCCGACTGGTAAGAAGAATGGGGAGGGTGGAGGGTGGAGGATGTGTGTGTGTGGCGTTTGGGTTTTTGGCTAACTTTTGTCTCCCCTTTCTTTTTTGACAGATTATTCGATTATTCCAAGACCAACTGCGGCTTGATAGCCCTTTCTCCATCCACAATATCGTTCAGCACGGCTGCCAACTGTTTGACAAGCGTGCAGGTGACTGGTTTGGTCCGGCAAGCGTTGTTCGAGTTTTTGCGTACGTACCAGCAAGCAAACAACTCTGCCAATCGCGCTTCTCTCTCGTTGCATGTGCGGTCGCAGCACGAACTCACTGCGTTTTTGCTTCACTTTGTCTGTAGTGATCTGATCAACCAAGCATATGCAATGCATCAAAGCCCATTCCGCGCCTACCAGGCGATCGACCACATTATTTATCGAGACCTTGTTGCAGAGCTATGCAGTGGACCAGACGCTGTGCGCGACCTTGAATTTTCAACCCCGACCTCCACGTCAGAAAGCGTCAGCACCGACGAAACGGTCACCCCGTCCGCGAGCACCTCGCAATCACCGCCAGTCCTGCCGCCTCCGTTCATTCCCTTGCTCATTCTGATGCCTTTGCGATTGGGGCTGAATGAAATCAATCGCATGTACATTCCCTGTCTCAAGGTGAGTGAAAAGTGTTTTGATGCAGAATTGTGAGGGAGGGGGGGTTTTGCGATGCTGAGCTAACGTATTGACTGTCCGTTCGCATTGCTCTTTAGGCTCTTCTCATGTGCGCTCAGTGCGTCGGAATTATTGGCGGACGGCCACGGCACTCGCTTTATTTTGTCGGCTACCAAGGTTTGGAATTTGTCACGCCGTTGGAGTTTGGCATTCGATTCGAAAACTGACCATTTCTTTGGCAACTTGACACCACAGAGGACAATGTAATATTTGCCGACCCGCATGGCTGCAAGCGGTTTGTAGATATGCAGCAAACGTCCTTCCCGACAGAAGTGAGTTGGTTGCGCTTTTTTTTTTTTTTGGTCGTTTTCCCACCGCTCTTCAGCTGATCTGACCACCGCCTTTGTTTTTGTTTTTTTTTCTTGTTATCGCTGCCAGACCTTCCACTCTGCAGTTCCCAACAAAATCCCATTCACCCATATGGATCCCTCCATGGCGATTGGCTTTTTGTGCCAAAACCAAGCCGATTTTGACGATCTGTGCAATTTCCTCACTTCGGTAATGCATCCATTCCGGTTTGCCAACTCGCATTCGACACACACACACAGCCAACCCCTTCTCACTTTCCTTGTGCCTCTGCTTGAACCCTCCCAGCTGGACAAAAAGTGCTCGTTCATTTCGGTGGAAAATACCTGCCCGGCGTACTCGCGTTCTACGTTTGTGCCGGCCCCGCCGCGGTTGACCATCGAGGAACTCCGCGTCAAGCTGGCATCCGCGGCATCCACCAGCAGCTCCAGCGCTCCGGGCAAAGCTCCGGCACGCCGTCGCGCATCGCGCCCTCGCTCGGATCTGACTGCCGACGCCGGCCTCGCAAGCAAGCACCAGCCGCGTGAGGATGGCCCGCCCAAAGAGTCGTCGTACGACGAAGACAACGAGGATGGGTTTGGTGAAGGCGACGACGACCGCTACGACTCTGACTTTGTCATGTGCGCTGCCGCGACGTCCATCCCTCCTCAGCCCCAGCGACAACTCTCTAGCTCCTCGAGCGTTTCTTCGACCAAAAAGAAGCCTGCATCTGGTGGATTCCGCAAGTATTTCTCGACGCTGCGAGGCAGTACCTCCGAGCCCGAAAATGAGCAGCAACTGCAACTACAGCAGCAGCAGCATCAACAGCAGTTGCAGGGTCATGAGGTCGGTGCGGCTGGTGCCAGCGTCCCGCCACAACAACCGCGGTCTGCGGATCCAGAGCGCAAGTCGCCCTTCTCGTTCTTGTCGTTGCGCCATCGTCACCAAACCCCGACCTCGGAGTTTGCCGCAAGCAGCCACAGCTCGCTCTCCGACCAACCTGCCTCTGCCAGCACGTCCCAGCCAAACTCTCCTCCGGTGATAATGCAGCATCATTCCTCTGCCGATCACCATCATCCGCTTTCGCATCATCATCCAGTGATCACTGGCAGCTTGACGGCGGATTCGCTTAAGGCGCTCAACCGCGCCGCTGCTCTGCAGGATGCGACTCATCCCGGCAGTATGTCTGCCTTTCACTCGCTTGTGACGCCCTCGACGACTGAATGAGCGTTGACGCCAGCAGCAGCAGCGGTTGGTTGGAAAAGTCAAAGCGCAGGTTGGAAGAGTCAAAGTGGATGCTTCGCCACCAACATCATCCCCAAAGCAAATTCTAACATCCACAATCGCTGACGATCTGTGGCTGTTGTTGTGTGTTTTTGCTCTTGTACGATTTGTTCTTGTTCTGTTTGTGCTTCTGTATGTAAATAACTCGGCATTGATTATTTTTTTTTTCTGCTCGTTTTTGCTCGACCCTCGCGGATTGAACGGTTGGTCATTTTGCACTAGGCTTGCTTGGAAACGAACTGCGGAAAAAACTTAGGATGTTAGGTACAATAGAGGGGGGGGGGACATGAAGATGAGTGAGTGGACAAGGCATTAGTTCAGCTTCTTGGCGCTGGCTGTGGTTGCGGCCACTGATGCACCAGCGGATGACCCTGACGTGGCAGAAGCAGACGTAGTAGCAGAAGAAGCAGCAGCAGTGACGGTGGCGGTCTTGTTGACGGCGACAAAGTGGTACGCGACGACGAGCACAAAGATGAAGATGCCGAGCAGATTGGCAACAAGCATCAACTGGATGTCAGAGATCATGGCTGCGTTTTTGTGAGGGGGGATATATCTGCGCACAGGTGCAAGTCGGATCAGCCGGGGGAGGGGACGGGCAAGTGAGCAGCGGGGTCAAGCAGCGGAGATCAACAAAGATCTCTGCTTTTTCCATTGGAGTTGCATTTTGTATGGATTTTGCATTGGAGATGGAAATTGAACAATCAATGCTTACATAAAGTAGAACTGAGAAGAGTTCTGAGATTGGAAGAGTCGGAAAAACGAACTCAGACAAGCTAGGATTCAGTTTGTACAGGAAGAGGGGGAGGCCATAAGTGATTCAGATCAGAGTTGAAGGATCACCATTGTTTGATTTGTTCTTCCACCTCAAACTCCCGATTCATGAATATTGTCGACGCATTGAGACAGTCATAAGCAGCTTTTATCGAAAGATATCTGATCACTCGACTTTTGTTCCATTGTGCTGAGTTTTGACAATGGCTTCCGTTCTCAACGGTCTCGAAGACAGGTCTGTCGGCCTTCGCTTTCCCTTCGCTTTCCCCATTCTCTTCGCTAGTCGCCTTTGCTTCATCCCTCGCGTTCGTTGGAGAGCGCGGCCTTTGAGAAGGAGAACGCCTTGTCCCGACTTGGTTTTCCCCCAATTGCTCAATGCATTTCCAGCCAACAATTTTATTGTTATTTTTCCAATGCATTTCCAGCCAAATCTGTATTATTTTTTATTTATTTTTTTTTATTTTTCGAAATCCGTTTTGCACTTTCCCCCCCCCCCCTAACCCCTCACTCGACCACCTGGTCCGCCCATTTCGCAATGTGCTCCTCTCACACACACACACACCCGCGTTGTGCCTTTCGCCCTGTTCAAACCGACCGGGGGGAAGGGAACACCCCCATCTGAAAAAGCGAGTCCCGCTTGTGTTCTCCCTTCTTCTTGTGTCTGCACGACGCGTCTCCGCATGATGAATGATGACGAGACCGACATCCGACAGACGACAGCAGAAGGCCGAGAATGGCGGACGGACGGGGGGAACAACCGCGCACCCAACGCCAATCTCAATTTCTCCCAATGCAATCCCCATACAAACGCTTTCAACCCGCTGCTCCCCGTCCATACGACGCACCACCACCTTCCACCCGAGTTGGGAAATGTACTCACTCTGGACTGCTTTGCTTTGATGTTGCTGTGGAACAATCAGATACAAGGGCGTCACGATTGATACCGAGTTTGCTGCAGAGCTCGCCAACAACGCAGATCAGGCGCGCTTCAAGACACTCCTCACAGGTAAACCAAATCAACTGCTGCTACTTCTCGAGAACAGAAGAAACAGAAGAAACAAAAACCCCTCGACTTGGCATGTGGAACAAGCACATTCAAGACGGATCTGCTGCAAATTGTTGGAAGGAACGTTGGCAACCATACTTCCTCGAAACGAAATCGTGGTGAACACGCTTGCTTTGACAGACATATTGACGGTCAAACCAGTCGGCGGGTCGGACGTCGAAACCAAAGAAAACAAAAACAAAGAAAAAAACCAAAACGAAAAGCTCACCCGCCACAAAAGCTCTCTCCCCAGACCCCACTCAACTTTTGTCTAATATGGCACCCCTTGCAATGTAACACAGACTCGCTGACCGCGTGGAGACGGGAAGGCAAGCGTGGAATTTGGCTTCGCATTGCGCTCAAGGACGCGCATTACATTCCCATCGCCGCCGAAGAGGGCTTTGTCTTTCATCATGCCGAGCCGCTGCATGTCATGATGACGCGCTGGTTGCCCGAAGACGAGCCATCCCAGCTGCCCACCTACGCGACCCACTATGTTGGTAAGAGTGGGAATGCACTGTTGGTGTTGTTCTTATTGCTTTACAATTTTGCTCATTCTAAATCTCACACCATTCTTTTTTTCCCCAATTGACTTTGGCTTGACAGGTGTCGGCGGGTTTGTGCTCAACGACCAAAACGAATTGCTGGTTGTGTCAGAGCGATACGGTGACAAACCAATGTGGAAGCTCCCAGGCGGTCATGCCAACCGAGGTTTGTTGCCCATTTCCGCTCTTCGTGAGCGCGCGCGAGACTTGCCGTACAACGTTGGTGCTCAATCTCTGTTTTTGCTGTCTCATTGTCCTCATTGCGTGCCCCAACCTTCAGGCGAAGATCTCGGCCAAGCCGCCATTCGAGAAGTGTTTGAGGAAACTGGCATTGAATCCGAATTCATCTCGCTGACGGCATTCCGACACCAACACAAGTACTTGTTCGAGACATCTGACTTGTACTTTGTGTGCCGTCTCAAGGCCCTGAGTTTGGAAATCAAGCATGATCCCCGAGAGATTTCTGCGTGTCGATGGCTTCCCGTAAGTTTCGCCTTCGGCTGCTTGGTGGTGGTTGCTGATGGCTTTTTGATTTTGCAACAGCATGCTCACTTTTAGTTGCTTTTCTTTTCTGTTTCTTTTTGGGTGGCGAACTGCCTTATTCCAAACTCTAGCTCGACCAGTACATTGCCGATCCTTCCGTCTCATACACAAACAAACACATTGCCACGTGCATCAAGCTCGGACTGGAAAAGAGCGACACAACCTGGGAAATGACGGCGGCCGCTGTGCCTTCCTTCAACCGCAAGGCGACCAACCTGCTGTATTGCACCAAGAATGCAGACGCCAGCCAAATCTTGTGTCCGGAACCTGTTGAAGGCGATGAAAGCCAAGCCAATGCGGCTGCTGCTGCGGCTGCTGGTGCTGACAACAAGACTGCCCCCGAGTGGCGACGCGAGCGTCGGCGGTCGTTGCGCATCAACATGCAGATGCAAGCCGAGCGTTTGGCCAAGTCCAGCAAGCGAGGCGACGACGACGACATTCGCTCTCCGGAGGTCGCGCAAGATGGCAACACGAGTAAACCGGACATTTACAGCGATCCGGCCATCATCGCGGCGCTCGCGATTGCCGAGGCCGAGGAGAAGGGCCGAAAGTCGCCGCTCCCTGCGCCTGCTCCATTGTCGTCCAACTCGTCGCTCGATGGTCTGCCCACGTCCGTGAGTCCCGTGTCGGCGTTTGCGCACGTGCAGCACGCTTCGAATCTCACGCGCTCGCGCAGCCGCGCCTCAAGTCGCGCCAATGCGAAGGAGCTGGTCATTGATCCGGCCAGGCCCACTTCGTTTGTTGTTATTGTTGGCGGTACCGGTGACGGCAATGCGTCGCCCCGTCAACGCTACTCTGTGCACGAAAACCTGCAGCAGTCTCAGCAATTGTCGAGCGCTGGTAGCTCGACTGCGTCGCTGGATGCGTGCACTTTGCCGACCATTTCCGGCGAGTAACCACGAGTTTTGAGTTTGATGATGTCTGTTTGTTTTTATGGTGTTTTTATTTGCTTTTGCTGCTGCTTGGTCCCCTTGCGTTTGGTTGCGTGACCAGGATGAATTTTTTTTTTCGTGGCCATGGCGCATTGTCATTGCAGAGTGTCTGTGATGCATTTCGTGCCTTTCTCTTTGGCTCCTTTTAGCGCCCGTTGAAATCTACAATGAGCGTGTCGTAACTGTAAAATACAAGTTCTTCAATTTTTATTTAATGCTTGAACTGTACTGTACCAAGCACTCCATCTTACTGTACTGTCAAAGCCAACCGACACACACACACTGACTAAATCTGAGATACACTCCACGCGACAGAGTCGCGGACATTCTGGAAGGTGCTCATGTCCACCGAAAACACGCGCCATGGACGAGCAATGGAATGGAGCTCGAGAGCATCAGCGACAGTGGCTGCAGACGCAGTGCGAACTTTGCCAGACGCCGTCTTCCAGGGAAGGTAGGGTGCGGTGTCGCTGGAACCGTCAGCGGTACGAGCTGGATTTGGCGCATTGCTATTGTTGGCAATCGGAGCGGGCAGCCATGTCGAGGCGTCGCTCGGGGCCAATTCGACCGCCCAGACCATCAGCGGCGCATCTTTGGCAACGTTATAATCGGATAGCAATTGCGAGAGCTCGATGCGGGCGTCTGCAATGTACGAATCGTGTGCTTCCGCACGCTCGGGATCCAGCTCGCGATCGCTGGCAGACAGCTCGATCAGCTGTGTCGCATCGACGACAAAGGCGTAGGTGTCGACGGTTTTGCATAGTTGGCTCATCTCGCGACTCAGGCGGCCAAAGCCGTCGGAAAGCTGGTTGACTTGTTGAACGCTGGTTGTGCGTCGTTTGGCTTGCGTGGATCGGTAGAGGGTCATCAGGTTGAGCACAATACCGTTGATACTGACGCCTACACCCGAACCAACCCCTGCAATGCCTGGATACATGCGCGTGGCGCGCAGGGGTGACATTGGGTTGAACAAGAGGCTTGACACGACAGGGAGCTGCTGGGCGTTCTCCAGTCCGGGTCCAAAGATGGCCATGCGGACAGCTTGGCCGAGCACGGCCCGCTTCATGGTCTTGAAAATACCGCGAGCAGACGGCTTGGGCGTAACGTGGAGACCATTGACGGCCGCGGGATTGTTGGGCGTGTATGCCAGATACAGCTGCCGCTTGGATGTGAAGGCGCGATTGGGCACCGGTGCGCCGTAGTGTGGCCAAGTGTGCCGATCGACGCGAAACAGATGCTTCCAATAAACGTCGTTCTGAGCCAGGTCCCGGAGCGCCCGGCACGTGCAAGCGAGCATGGCGAGGGATTTCGCGTCCAGAATGAGTAGAATTTCGTGCAGCAGGTCATGCTGTTGATGGTGAAGCACAGAAAATCAACCAAAAGAAAAAAGCATGCAGAAGTCATCATGCAGAGTGAGTTGGGGAAAAGCAGGACGGGGAAGGTGTGAGAGTGGCGTAAAAATTCTAAGATGTCCGAATTTGGCAGAATGACGTGTTGGTTTTTACCGGCAGAGCGAGCAACCAGCAGGTCTCGTCGGGATTGGTGCTCTCGCTGGCGGTGCTTGAGCTCACTGCAAGGGTTGTTGTTGCTGTTGGTGCCGATGGGGATGGATGGGATGGGGTGGACGACGATAATGTCGTCTGGGAGTTTGTGACAAAAGTTGTAGAATTTGAGGCAGCCGCAGAGCACTGTCCAGCGCCAACGAGAGCGTCCGAGGGCGACGCCAGGACGTGCAGCTGGTGCATTCGGAAATGGTTGGAGACAAAGTACGACCCGCTTTCGACGACGGTGGGGTCGCCAGAGTGCTTGCTGCTGCGGTTCGGATTGGGAGCAGCGTTGTTGTTCCGAATGCGGTGATCTGCATACGTGGAAGCTGACGACTCGGTCCGGTACGCTCGCTCGTGCTGGTTTTCGTCGCTGCCGCCGCTGCTCTGGCGCTGCGGTGTGTGTGTGGAGTAGTGGTTGCTGGTGGCTGGCTGGTGGTGGTGGTGGTGGTGGTGGTGGTGGTTGAATTGGAAGGACGTTGCGAATCCTGCTGCAGCGCTCATCTTTAAAGGAAAATCAAAACAACTCAAAATGACTGAACAAGAAATCCGAGCTCGAGTTCAACAAAGGCTTTGAAGGGGCAAAGAAATGTGAGGACGTGGCCGACGCTGACACGAGACTTTGCAACCCCCATTCGTTCACAGGAATAGATTGTTGATGAATGGAGTTCTTTTGCGAAGAGAAACTCGGCCGTCAATCGAAGAATCAGTGAAAGCCAAAACAAAAAAAAAACGAACAAAGAAGAACGGCAAAACAAAAAAACAAAATAAAAAAAAAAGAGTTACAACAAGCAGTATTCCCGCGTGGTCTCCCACCGCAGTACTAACTACTCTCATGGTGGTTTAACTTCGCAGAGCGGAACGGGATGCGGTGCATTCCACCAGATATGGCCGTAACTGAAATACAGTAGGTGGGCAGATCTCTCCTGAACCACATGTTGTGTTGAGCATTCAACCAAGAATACGCACAACAACCGTGTCTCACTGCGTCCCACGGCTGTACTCTTGAATGCTTACTTGACATACGTCTGCGGACAATCTATTTGTCACCTTTGCACGCCTTCAACGGGAGAGAATTGTTGGGAATCCTGGTGCGCAACAGCTCGGATATGATTGCATTTTTCAGATTGATTGCCGGGTCTCCTGCTTGGCTGCCAATTGCCCTTGTAGCCTGCTCTTTCGAGGGTGTTTTGTCTACTGCAATGAGGTTTGAGGAAAAAACTACCCTGAAGCTTTCCGTGCATTCGAAAAAGCAGGGCACTCAAACATTGCAAAAATTGGTCCAACGTATCCAAGATAAAGCGACTCGAATCCCACATCCTGTACAGACTTGCTGGGTCGAACTTGAACTTCCCAGCCCCCGCGCATTTGTCGGATGATTGGAGCAAGCGCTGGCCAGATTGTCAAGGACTCGAGAGTCGCATCGAGAAACGTCGGTTGAGCAGCAAATTCGCATCGAACACTGCCTTGCTCATCTCGGACGATCAACTCGAACGCGCTGTCATCGCTGTCGCCGTCATGTGTCGCTTTGTCACGAAGCACATGAATTGATTTCACACAGACCCAATTTCCGTCCAAGCTCCGAGGAACTGTGACTTTCAGAGCAACGTCGGGGGTGTCTGCTTGAAATCGCTCTCGTTTGGTACACTGCACGCCTTGCCAGTATTGCGCTTCGTCCATAATGTGCTCGGCAAGTTCGACCGGTAATACTGGTAGTGATGCGGATTGATCTTCCAGCGCCAGTCCGCTGGTCAGCAAGTGAAACACAGTCTGAACGTCCTCAGCACTCGCTAACCGTGGGGTCAAGGAGAACACAAGAGGGCGTATCTGGTCGGAGATGCTGTGCAACGAACCATCACGATAAAAAAGCAGTCAGCAGGCCATTACTTCATCGAGTATTGGTTGGAATGGCACCAGTTGCACGAGTCGCAATGCCTTTGACAAGGACAAACTTACTAAACCTCACGACGGCAGCTGTCTTTGAGTGCCTCAACAATCGCTCGGGTGCCACTATTTCCAATGCAGTTTTGTGGTAGGCTGCCGCTCAACGGGGTGAGCAGGGACGACAATGTGGTAAGGTCTGGTTGACCCCTGGCTCAATGTCCAAGCTGAACCACGCACAAAAACAACAGCTTACTTGAGCCAAGTCAGCGTCGTGTTGACTTTGAGTGTTTCAGCAATCGCCTGTGCTCCAGCATCGCCAATGGCATTCTTGCCCAAACTGTCCGGATTCAGTGACGGCTCTCTGAATCCCCTCTGCTGAAAGCAACCCCCCCCCCTCACATGCATCTGGCAAAGAGAACTATGCCTTACTAGAGCATCGTCACTGTCGTGTTCACTTTGAGGGCCTCGGCAAGCGCCAGCACTCCCGCATAGCCAATATGACACAACCGTAAGCTGATTTGATCCGCTCCATCATAAATGAGCAATTTGACTGCCCTCTCCCACTCACTCGCGCTAGACACAAAGTGAAATCTCCTTACTCGAGCACATTCACCGTCGTGTTCACTTTGAGTGCCTCAGCAATGGCTTCTGCTCCGGCATCGCCAATCTGATTTCTATCCAAACTGACCATGCCCTTCATCAGGAAACACTCTTGTTGAATCACCCACGTACAGGTATTCGAATCGAAGTGAGACGCCTTACTATAGCGTCGTCAGCGTCGTGTTCACTTTGAGTGCTTCAGCAATCGACTGCGCTCCAGCGACGCCAATCTGGTTCTTGCCCAAGCTGTCCGTCCCTCGTTCAGTTAGCTCTCATAATACCTTCTACTTGATCACCCATTCACATGCTACAATCACAGTGAGACGCCTTACTCGAGCTCACTCATCGTCGTGTTCACTTTGAGTGCCTCTGCAATCGCTTCGGCTCCATCGTCGCCAATCTGCCGATCACCCAAACTGTCTTCCGCCACGTTTGTCAGCACATACATACATACTGGCATACATGTACTTTGCAATATTAAACTCGGCGTTTCCGTACAACAGTCCTTCGGCATCCATGGCTTTGTCAGACAGCTCGCGCTGTCGCTCAGTCATGCTCTCGTACAGCATGATTGTTCAGAACAAGGACTGTTCCAGTGTAATCCCATTCTCTGGCCCTCGTCTCCTTCACTTTATCGTCGGTGAGCTGCAATAGCGAGAATGGGTTGGTGGCAGAGCGCTCAGCCCTCTTCCTCTTCTTCTCAGTATTCTTAGTGCACCCTCATTTCATTCCTTCAAGTCCCTTGCTAGAAATATACTGTACGGATGATTATGATCATGATGATTTTGTGACAGTCTTGATTTTGTTCTTCTTCGCTGAGAAACACACACACACCCAAAGCAAAGCATGTCGTCCATTCGCCGGCTGCTGGGCTCGAGCGGCGGTGGCAGCGGCGGCAGCAACCACCCACCGACGGCGGGCTCCAGCAGTAGCACCAACAGCAGCAGCAGCAGCAACAACAACAACAACAACAATGGCAGCAGACGGCAAGCAGGAGCAGCCGCAGGCGGGGCAGCGGCATCGCTGAACAACGATGAAGACGAGGACGACGAGGACGACACAGACAACCGCCTCTTCAACCAGCGACCAGTTGAGTGCTTTTTGCGTTTGGAAGTCGGGGGAAAAGCGGGTTTGGTTCTGATCCGGGGCGTCTGATTGTGACTCAGTCAAAACGGAACGGAGCGGGACAAGTCGAGGCGGGCGGGGAAAAGGGGGGGCGGACTGGAACATCACGAGGAGGAAAAATCAATGGAAATGCATTGGATTTGCATTGGATTTGCATTGGGAAAAAAAAAAAAAAAAAAAAAAAAAGAGGAAATCATGGAGCCCGGCGGAGCATTTTAGTGAGTCCGCTGTAGCAATGTGGCAACGACGTCGGAACTTGGCTGCCTACGCTCGTTCTCACTGCCGCAAAAAAAAAAAAAAAAAAAAAAAAAAAACCGGTTCCACTCCCACTTCCACTGAGCTTGAGCTTGAGCTTCTGTTACTAAATATCGCATCACATAAATTATTTTGATGGATGTCATTTTGCAGAGAACCGAGATGGGCGACTTTTTGTCGAGCCGCGACGATTGGGGCCGGATGGGTGGCCGCGGCGGATATGTGACGCGCAACCCGGACTGGGACGGCAATAAGGACGGCGATGATGAGGATTCGGACGATCACGGAGATCAGGACGAAGAGGCAGGCGGGGACGAGTCGTCAAGATTGCTGCTCAACGGCGGCGGCGACGGCGATCTGAGAAACTTCCAATCGGCAAATATGGCCAACAGCGTACGAAAGCTGCGATCGAGCAAGGTCACGTCCATCTCGACCAAGTTTGAGGTAAGTCCCGTGCACATTGCACTCACTCGCAAGAGAGCTCGTTTTTGTTTTGAAGAAGGATTGGGACTCAGCGTGTTGCGTTTCGTGCTGTGTGGCTTGGGTGGATTGTCAGAGTCTGGACTACGACATCCTAGAAAACGACATTTACGTGAAGGATCAAGCCAAGATTGATCGCAAGGTAACAATAACAATTTGCTTCTTGTTTGTTGTCCTGGGTTTTGTGTTTGTTTGTCTTCGATTCTTGCCTCTCTCTCTCTCGCTCTCTCTCTCTCTTCTGCAACCAACTTTTCATTCTAACTAACTCTTTGCTCAACACCTTCCTTCCTTCCTTCCTTCCTTGCTCCCCACAGCACTACGTTCGACTCGAAGCCGCGCGATGGCTCGTCATGTTCTTTGTCGGAGTGCTCACAGCCGTGGTGGCCTTCCTGATTGATTACTGCTTGACACAAATCTCCAGCGTCAAGTTTGGCTGGATTTCAGACTCCATCACCCGCTGCGTGGATGACGAGTGTCTCGACCAATCGGTGCTATTGTGGATGGGCATTGACATTTTCCTCGTCTCGATCGCCTGCTTGCTTGTCCTGTTTGTCGAGCCGATTGCCCAGGGCTCTGGTATTCCTGAAATCAAGTGCTACCTGAACGGCATCAAAATCCCGCATGTCGTGCGCTTCAAGGCCCTCCTCACCAAGACGGTGGGTGTCTTGTTCTCGGTCAGTGGCGGGCTGGCGTGCGGCAAGGAGGGTCCCATGATTCACACGGGCTCGGTCATTGCAGCAGGCATCTCCCAAGGCAAGTCGACTACGTTCAACATCGACCTCAACCTGTTCAAGGCCTTCCGCACCGACCACGAAAAGCGCGACTTTGTCAGTGGTGGTGCTGCGGCCGGTGTTTCGGCCGCGTTCGGCGCGCCGATTGGCGGCGTCTTGTTCAGCCTGGAAGAAGGCGCCAGCTTTTGGAACCAAGCCCTCACTTGGCGCATCTTTTTCTGCTCCATGATTGCCTCCTTCACCCTGAACGTGCTCCTTTCTGGTACAAAAGGCACGTCGTGGGGCGCCATGTCCAGCCCTGGTCTCGTCAACTTTGGCGCATTCGCTTCTGCCAACTACAACCTCTTTGAGCTGCCCATCTTTATCGCAATGGGTGCGGTCGCGGGTCTCTTTGGTGCGCTCTTCAACGCGCTCAACCACCGTTTGACCGTCTTCCGCTTCAAGTATATTTACCATTCGAAGGCGCTCCGCTTTTTGGAGGTCATTCTCGTCGCCGCGGCGACAGTCATTGTCTCGTTCACCCTGATTTACTTTGACGACAACTGCCTGCCGCTCGGTGAAAAGCCTGGTGAAAACCCACTCGAGTTCTTCTGCCAGGAGCACACGTACAATGAAATTGCGACAATGCTCTTCAACACTCCCGAAGAATCCATCAAAAATCTCTTCCATGCCACTCGCGGTGACTACAGCCCCGAGACGCTCTCGATCTTCTTCCTCGTCATGTTCTGCCTGTCGTGCTGGACGTACGGCATTTCCGTCCCGGCTGGCGTCTTTGTGCCCGCCTTGCTCACGGGTGCCGCGTACGGCCGCTTGGTCGGCAACTTGCTCTACCACGCCTTCCCGGACGCCGACTGGGTTGATCCCGGCAAGTACGCGCTCATTGGAGCGGCGTCCATGCTCGGAGGCATCGTTCGCATGACCATCTCCCTCACAGTCATTGTGGTCGAAGGCACGGGCAACATTTCCTACGGCTTGCCTCTGATGCTGTCCATCATGGCGGCCAAGCTGGTGGGCGATCTTTTCAACGAGGGCATCTACGACCTGCACATTCACCTGCGCCGCGTGCCCATTCTTCACTGGGAGGCGCCGCTGCCCATGCAGCACTTCCACGCGTCGCACGTCATGAGCTCCAACGTGGTCTGCATCCAAGAGTTTGACCGTGTTGGGCGCATTGTCGAGCTCCTGCGCACCACCACGCACAACGCCTTTCCCGTCGTCACGGACGATGGTATTCAACGCTGGCGCCAGCAGCTCCAGCAGCGTGGTGGTGCGGCAGGCGGTCTCCCCTTGGGCGCATCCACCATGACTTCGGGCTCGGCCGGTACGGCTGGCGGCAGCAGTGGCGTGCCCCGGCCCTCTGCCTCGTCCCGAATGCCCAACATCAACCTCAACGCGTCCGTCATGAACTTTAACATGAGCACGGCCGGCCACATGATGGGCATTGACATTGTGCGTGCTCCCGCTGGCGGGCAGCTGAGCACGCTTGGAACGAGCTACGGCAGCACGTCGAGCGGCAACACTGGCGCGTCAGGAAACGACTGGGGCGCCTTCCCTCCGGAGAGCCAATACCATGTCAATGGAGCAGCGCCGACCACGGCTGGGTCCACTCCCAACACAGCCTCCCCATCCGCAGTCCCGCTGCCGCCCTTCCTCAACCTGAATGTCCGAGGCCCTTACACGGGCGACTCTGCTTCGTTGCAGCATGCTCCTCTTGTGAACGAGCACAGCTACGGCACGCTCTGCGGGATTATTCTGCGCTCGCAACTCATCACCATTCTTAAGGAGCGCGCATTTGGTCCTCGTGTCGTGAATGCGCAAGGGGAGCATTCGGTGCAGGCCAAAGTTCTCACCGTGGACGATTTCCGAGCGTCCTACCCGCGCTACCCATCCATCGACACAATCAGCACCACTGCGTACGAGAATGAGCAGTTTATGGACTTGCGCCCGTACCTCAACCCCACTCCGTACACGCTCAAGCACGCAGCCCCGCTGTCGCGCGTTTACCGCATCTTCCGTGGTCTCGGTCTTCGTCACCTCATCATCACCGACCGCTTCAATCAAGTCGTCGGCATGATTACTCGCAAAGACCTGACGCGATTTGAGATTGTGCCCAACCCTCGCAGCGGTGATGGGACGCGATGGATTTTGCAAGAGCGTCAAATGATTGATGACTAGTCGTCGTCGTCGTCGTCGTCGTTTGAAGAGGCAAATGTGTTGATTAGTTATTTTGTGTTTATTCTTTTCAAAATTCTGTGTGACGTGTTTTCTTCGGTCGGTTGGTGGTTTCTTTCGTGTTTGTGTTTGTATGTACTGTAGAAAAAGTATACACCATTGATTCGATTGCTCTTTTTTCCCTGTTTCAAAGCTTTAAAAAAAGGCTCAAGTACAGTTGATTAGATTTGGGGCTCTTATGGAAGACTGTAGATCATTCACTCACAAATTGCTGTTGCTTTATGGCACTCGTGTGACACAATTGGAGTGAAAACGAAATCTTTTTATTGATGGGTGATAACGTGAACAAAGCTACCCCCAACGCACCGATGCCAACACCAAAATCCAAAGAAAAAATATCAAGACATTCTCAGACAACTACCACGAAGTGAACGCGATGGCGCTGTCTGAAATGACGGGCAGGCTACACTCGCCCGATTGGTTGTTGAGGATGAAGTTGTGTCGATTGGTCGAGTACATGACAATCTTGCGCTGAGTTGCTCGGCGCAGCAATTGCTCGAGAGGGCGATTCACGTCTCGAGCAAACTGGAGCTGCTGGAAAACATCCATCCGGAATACGGCAGTAACCGCAACGCCCAACGAATCGACATACTCGTTCTGCAGCTCTGGACGATAGAGTTCGAGTCCAAGCGTCTCATGCGTCAGTCCTATGGAAGGATAGGCGTGAGCAAGATCGGACACGAGCAACGCATCGAGCTGCTGGTGGCATGCGCGTGTGGGGTCGTCCCTCTGCAGTGTGGCGTACACGCTGCTCTTGCCAACAATGGCGGCAAACGTGTAGTCAAACGCAGGCAACAAGTCGCGGAAAAAGTTGCGGCCATAGTAATGGCGGACGTTTGGAAAAGTAATAAAGCGCGTTTGAGGGAGCGCAGATGAGACGGCATAGTTGTAGCAATCTGCTTCGCGAGCAAACGGGTGGCCATTCAAGGCCAATACACGCGGTTGCGCAGGGTTGAGGTGCTTTGTCATGGTGGCGTTGAGCTCTCGCGCGAGCGTTTCGAACGTCGCACATCGCGTCGTGTTGCTGCTCTTGGAGGGTAGATTCTCGCGCAAAAAGAACCCAATGGACAAGTCCATGTGCCGGTCAATCACAACGCGATTCACCAGACGTACGGCCGCCATGGTGCGAGAGTGAACACAGGACGCGCGGAAACTTTTGATGTCTGCTTCGTTGGTGCTGTAGGAGCAAGGATCCAACGGCAGGCAGACGGCCAGGGAAATGTGTTTCGAGGGTTGTGGAAAGCGGTCGTTCAAGTCAGTCGCCGTGAGAGCGTGATGGAGCAGATGCTGCATGGTGTGGGATGCCAACAAACGCCGCTGGCCGTTCAGAGCGATTCGCTCACGAGTCAGCGTACTGTCGAGTCTCTGCATGGCTTGCACCACGTCATCTGGGGAATGGATTTCCACAACGCCGTCTTGCCCCAGAAAGTTTGCCATTGCTGGACTCGGTGACGAGAGAACCGGCGTTCCTCGCAGGGTTGCGTCGAGTGCACGGCGTGAGCAGGTCGTGTGCGAATCCATCACAGAGTTGACGTTAATCTGCACATCGTGCGATTGATAAGCTGCAATCGTCTCGTTGAAGCGTAGAGACGGCCGAATGAGATCGCCGTAGACGACAGTCGGAAATTTGAGGACGGCATCCGATGTGACATGCGAGTTTCGATCGTAAATAACCAGGCCTCGCTCTCGCGCAGACAACAGCATCATGTCCAGCCATTGCGTGCGTGAGAGAAACTTGTCTTGGAAGCCGTAGGTGCCCGCAAATGCATACCCTTTCGTTCTCGGTCGGTACATGCCGATCGGGTTGACGCGCGCCGGCTGGACTCCCATCGGCATCAACCCGACACGCTCGTGTCCCAGCACGGCACGGTACTTGGCGACACATTGCTCTTCTGTTGTAAAGACACCATCGACATGGCGCAAGATCGAGCTGTGCACAAACTGGTCAAAATGGTGTGGATCCTCCGTGTTCCAGTAAATGCTCTTTGTGCCGTACGTCAAGCGCGCGTACTCGACCATCTGAATAAGCGCTGTGCTTTCGTTGCTGCTGAACAAATCGTCCCTCCAGCGATGCGTCCAAGACGGTTGGATGAGAATCAGCTGCGGCTGTACTTCGTCGACATCCACTCGCCAACTCTGGCGGTCTGGCATAATCGCGCGCAGTTCGGGTTCCAGCAAGTCGAATGTCGCAATGTCTGCAATAACAAACATGGTCAGTGTGGTGCTGTAGCGATAGGACTCGAATGCGGGGATGGTGGGCGTGATTCGGTTGCTAGCTTGTATGGCTGCGACAGTTTGATCGGCTGCCGAGTTCGATGTGCGCGCTGGAGACGGGCTTGGCTGCGCTTGCTGCTGGTGGCTGTCTGGCATTTTTCCAGGCGGCTGTTGCTGCGGCAGAAGAACGCCGCCCTGGCGAACGGGTGAGGTGTCTCCACCAGCCCCCGATGATGATAATTGCTGGCGAAGCAGCAGCTCTCTGGACTCGGCGGCCTCTGCCTGTTGCTCTGGCTGCGTATTGGCAGTGTCTATCATTCCCAATTGCTGCTGATGTTGCTGTGAGGACTGCTCAGCAAGTTGTTGCTCATTCGTGGCTGGAAGGTCAAATTCGTCCAGCTGAGTCATCTTTCGACGAGGACGGCCGCGCTCTGGCTGTTGCGCTTGCTGCTCAGCAACCAAACTCTGGCCCGCTGTGCTGCTGTCGTCCTGGCTGCCTGCCTGGTGATTGTGCAGCGACTGGTTGTCATCAGTGAGCATGGCGAGACGGCGTTGCGCAGGTCCTGGGACTGGCCAGCCACCAACGACGGCTGGAGCATCGGGAAGGCGCCGCGCTTGCTCACCCGGGCAGTGCGCAATCAGCGCCGCGACGACCTCGCCCAGATGAGCTTGGTTGGCTGGCAGCGTCTCATCGGTACTCCTGGCGTGGGTTGCTGCACTGCCGGGAGCAGCGCTGGTCGTCGAGGTGTCACTGTGAAGCGTTCCTCCCGCAGGAGCAAACCACGCCCGGTCGTACGCAGATTGCGGTGCAACCGAAGCAATGCTCTCCAGCTGGGGTGGCACATTCCCATACGACAGTAGCGTGAGTGCTGCAAGCAACATGAGTACTGCAGCAGCGACCGCAGTCACTCGTCGCCGTCGCGCGAACAACTGTCGGACAAGCACCACGCCTATTCGCATCGTTGTTGGTGTATGGACGAGCTGGTGCTCCCCTGCTGCTGGTCCAGCTTTCTACTGCAGCACACAGACCTGCGAAGAGCTTGTTCGGTTTGTTGTTCTTACTGCTGCTGTTGCTGCTGCAGTCGAGCTTTCTGTGCGTTCGTTCGGTCGCAAAAGTTGGCCCTCAGTCGAGGTGTGAAAAAGCCAAAAGCAAAAAATAAAGTCGCCAAAGTTGTAGATCAAAAAAAATACAATCAAAATAGCAACCGTTTTTGTTGCTGGGTTTGAAAAAACCAGAGCGACAAAAAAAGATAAACTGCGAAATGCGTCAAATAGGAAAGCAGAATAGTCGACACTTGAACAAAAGATAGTCATCCATGAATGCAATACACTCGAAAATGCAGCGACAACACTGGATGGGAGGAGGAGGAGGGGAGGGGGGAGAAACATAACAATGTTGGTAATGGAGAAAACAACATTTAAACAGGGGAACCAGAGCAAGAACGACAACCGAACAGACAACCAAGCAAAACAAACACCAAAAACAATCAAAAAAAGAAGATAGACCAGAATACGAAGGCGTGACTCGCTTTAGGCTTTGGGCTTGAGCTTCTTGTTGGCCATTTCCGCGAGCATGGCACCCATGCCGCCGCCAACGCCGCCAGCAGGTCCTGTAGATGAAGAGGCAGGATTCAAAGGGTGAGAGTGTGATGTCTCTGGAGCGGCAGGTTGCGCAAACCGAAAACCCAACAGCAGAGACTCGACATACCTTTTCCTGGAGCAGGCGAGGAACTGGCCGACGCGCCGCCCGCCGAAGACAGGCTCGTCTGCGACGGGGCACGGTCGATCTTGGGGGCCTTCTTCAGCTTGGTGCCCTGTTGAATTTGGTCCAACAGCGCACTTCGACCAGGAGCTGAGCACAAAAACCACAACGTGTGAGACTCTGGCAAATCCACCACTGCCAACGGCAAAGCCAAGCAAGAAACAAGCAAACAAATCTTACTCGCACTGGCGGGAGGAGGCATCTGGCCCATCGGCGGCGGGGGCGGTGGTGCCGGGGCAGCCGGCGGAGGTGGCGGCGGGGGTGGGCCGCCTCCGGCTGAAGGAGCGGGTGCAGCCACCGGTGCAGGCGCTGGTGCAGGAGCGGGAGCAGGGGTGGCAGCAACAGGGGCCACCGACGAAGCCGCGGATGCAGACTTGAGCTGCGCTTGAAGGGTCTTGACTTCTTGCTCGAGGCGGGAAATCTTGTCCAGGTCGGCCTTGTTGGACGAGGGTACGGCCGGCGCTGCAGCAACAACTGGACGACTGGCTGCGGCGGTCTTGGCCGTGGCGAGCTCCTTCTCCTGGTCTGCAACACGCTTTGTGAGGTCGGCCACCTTCTTCTCGGCCTCCGTGGCTTTCTTGTCGGCATCGGCCGCCTTCTTCTCGGCATCGGCAGCCTTCTTGTCAGCCGTCGCGAGTGTTTGTCCTGCAGTGGCTTTCTCGGTCGTCAGCTGCTTGACTTGGGCTGCGAGCCAGAACAAGGCACCGAAAAAAATAACAATTAAGATTCGGCAGTTTGAACAGTTTTGCAAAGAGTGCAACCTCAAAACTCAAACACATACCGTCAAGAGCCGCTTGTTTGGTTTGAGACTCGGACAGCTGCTTGCGCAGGTCTGCCAGAGCAGCCTGCTCGGCGGAACCTTGCGAGGCAGTTGCGACGGCAGCTTGAGTCTGCGCGGCCTTGAGTTGCTGCTCGTGAGAAGCTGCGGCCTCCTTCTGGAGTCGCTCGGCGTCCCCAGCGCGTTTTTCAAGTGCCGCCTTTTCGGCAGACGCTGCAGCCACTTGCGCGAGTGCAGTCTTCAGTTGTGCTATCAGAGCCAACCAATGAAACGAAAAAAAAATGAACCGGAGTAAGCACACGTCCAATCGGACCAGCACTCAAATCAAACTCCAAAACATTCACGCTTACCATCCAAACTAGACGCGTTGGCAGTCGCATCAGCAGCCGCCTTCTTGGCATCGGCGACTTCCTTGTCGCTCAGTGTCTTGGAAGCAAGCGTCGCAGTCGCGAGCTCGCGATTGGAATGCAGCTTTTGGTCGGCCATTTGCTTGATCAAATCCGTCACTTTGTGGTCTGCCGCTTCGCGAGCAGTCTTTTCTTGCGCAAGCGCGGCGCGAGCGGTTGCGAGGTCGTTGGCCACATCGGACGAGGTTGACTTGATCTGGTCGGCGAGAGACTGGCGCGCAGCTTCGGCACTAGCGGCGGCGGTCTTGCTGGCCTCGAGTTGCGAGGCCGTTGACGCAGCGGTGGCGCGCACAGTGGTCAGTTCGGCAGTGACACGAGCGAGGTCTGCAACGACCTGTGCATCGGTCGATTTGAGCTTGGCCAGCTCTGCATCAACGGCGGCTTTCTCCTTGCGAGCTTGCTCGAGTTGCTGCGCGGCAGAGGCGGCTGTTGTTGCCGAAGACTGGCTCGACGCGAGCTGCCCCTTGGCTGTGGCAAGCTCGGTCTGCGTTTGCGCCAGCTGTTGCTTGGCAGTCTCGGCGTTCTTGTTGGCTTGCTCGGCAGCTGCTTTGCTGGTTTGGAGCTCGGCCTGCGCTTGCTTGAGTTGCGTCTCCGCGGCAGTCTTGGCAGTTTGGGCAGCTTGGAGTGTGAGTTTAACCTGCTGCAGCTCGGCGGTAAGTGCGGGAGATGGGCCAGCGGGAGCTGCAACTGGAGCCGCAACTGCAGCACCCTGTTGAGCGCGGAGCGCGTCCAGTTCCAGCTCGAGCGTGCCGATGCGTTCGTCTTGGTCGACAATGGTCTTGAGCGAGCCTTCGTACAAGGTCTTGTCGAGCAGCAGGTTTTCCTTCACAGCAATCAGCTCGGCCGTGAGCGCGGCATTCTCAGTCTTGAGCTTGACGAGCTCGATTGTGTTGGCCGAATTCGACGACGAGCCGGACGGGGCGGCGGTCTTTGCGGCGGGCAGCGAAACGGCACTCACACGCTTTGCGGCTTCGAGTTCGCTCTTGAGCGAGGCAATGTTCGCGTTCAGCTCGCGGATTTGCTCGGCCTGCTGCGACTGGATGGCCGAGTTGGAGTTGGCCGCCTTCCGAGTGGCCTCCAAGTCGCGGACCAGCTGGGAGTTTTCGGCGGCCAGCCGGGTAGTTTCAGCGTTCGATGAGGCAGCAGCAGCAGCAGAAGCAGAAGCCGGCGCAGGAGCCCGTCGTGCCGTTTCAAGCTCTGCTTTTGCGGAGGCGAGTTGAGTCATCAGTTCGCGAATGCGTTCGGCCTGTTGGCGCTGAACATTCTCGGCTTGCTGAAGAGGCGTGGAGGCAACGGGTGACGATGTGGCGACGGCTGGCGACGATGCAGCAACGGCTTTCGGCGGGGTGGCAGCAACAGGAACAGGGGGTGTGCTAGCGCTGCCACCAGAGATGAGCTTTCCAGGAGTTTGGGCGGGAGCAGGCGCCGGTGAAACGCTCGCAGAAGGTGCGGTTGCGGCAGCCGCAGCAGCAGCCCCTCCAAACGCCTTGGCAATGGTTGCTTGCGCCGCAGCCAACGCGGCCTCGTTTCGTGCAGCTGGAGCAGCAGCAGCCGGAGCAGCAGCCGGTGCGCCACTGGAAGTTTTACGCTCTGTGCCGGCTTTCACTTTGCCTATCGCGTTGCAGAGCGTTGTCCAGGGGAGAGGTGTTAGATAACTGAGCAATAAGACTCGAGACGAAGCACGCAGAAACAAAGAGCTTACCAGTGTCGAAAATATTCAAGTCCAGCAGAGGGGCGCCAGTCGAAGCAACTCCACCGACAACGTAGAGCTTGCCCTTGAGGGAGCACATGCCACCAAAAGAGCTAGCGGATGGATTGGGACCCATGAGGCTCGGTTCGTTCGGGAACTGCATCCACTCATTAGCTGGCAACCAAAAAAAAAAAAAAAAAAAACAGAGGGTGCCAAAAACAGAGGAGGAGTGCAAGTGAGTGTTGATTCGGTCATGCCAAGAAGGAGCAAACGAGCGAGATGCCACGTACCTGCGAGATCGAACGCCCAGAGATCGTCGAAAGCATCGCCTGCATTGTTCTGGCCACCGAAAAAGTACAAGACTTTGCCAACGGCAGCCGAGGAGTGCCCCGCGCGCGCTGGAGGAGGGCTTCCGCGCTGAGAGACGGCCGACCAGGTCTGACTCGCAAAGTCGAACGCGAGCAAATCTTGCAAGAGCGCGCCGGACGCCGAAGCGCCGCCAAACACGTACAATTTGCCATCCACCACTTCTGCGCTGTGTCGGGTGCGTGCGAGCTGAGAGGCCGAGATGCCGCCCTTGACTGGAACTTCAGTCCATGCCAGAGAGCCTAGATGCGAGTGAGAGGGGTTTAAAAAAACAAACGCAGAGGTGTGAGCAAAGTGCACAATTCACGCATCAAAAAAGTACAACGCGCTCTTTCACAGATGGCCATACGAGTGTCAAGAATGAACAGGTCGCCAATTGCAGCAGTGCCGGGAGTATCGGACTGGCCGCCGACCACCACAAGACGGTCGTCAATGATGGACAGGGTGTGGTGGATGCGTGGCTTGGGCGGGGTCCCGGTGGTCCGCGGACGCGACCACGCCTTCGAGACAGTGTTGAGAATGTACACGTCCGTGTCGACAATGCCAGCCGCGACCTTGCCACCCCAGTTGAACAACTGTCAGAGCCAGCCGAGCCAGAACAAACAACCAAGCACCCAGAACCGGACAAAACAGGATCAGTGAGTTTTGCTCGCTATTGGTTTTGCAATTGGTTTTTTTGTGTGTGTGCACCTTATCGGCAGAGTATGCAGACGCGTGCGCCACGCGTGGTGGAGGAGGGACGCCAGTCACTGTGAGCTTGACCCAGCTTGACAACCCAGCTGCAAATCAAAAGTGTGCAAAAATCGAACAAAGGGGGTGAGACGGGTGAGCATTGCAAGCAACGAGCGGGTTTCGGTATCGCGACAATCTCGATTTGTCTCAGAATTGTTTCTCGGGTCGACTGAGTGTCTCAGACTTGAGATTCGCCTCGCAGCAATTTCGCTCAAGTGGTGACGCCTCTCTGCTTGCGCTATTCTCATCACAAATCCTTCCTTCCTTCCTTCCTTCCTTCCTTCCTTCCTTGAGCTTTTCGTTCGGATCGCATCACCCCTCGGAAGCGGAAGTCAGAGGTTGTGAATCCGCTCGTGACTGACTGACTGACTGTGGAGCTCGCTTCCCAGCCGACCTTCGTTTCCAGACCGCCGCCCGGCCACCCCATGCAAACCCATCACGATGTTTACATTGAGACACACTCTCACGTCCAACCAGCGAAGAACGAGCTCCAGAACGAAAAAAACAAAAAATTCTCAAGAAACGAACAACACAGACAGTTTCCTTTCCAGGAAGGCGTGGTGCGATTAGTGAGCGAATGGTATGTACGAAATTCCGCTTCAACCGCGGTCAATCCATACGGACGCTGCTAACTAACTGTCTTTTTGGCAATTGTTTTTTTTTTCTGGTTTTTTTTTTTTTTTTTTTTTGGTTCAAAACTGTGGCAAATTTTTGTGTGATTTTTGTGATTTTTGCGACTTTTTGGCTGAGTTACGAACAAAAGTGAGCAAACGACAGCTGAAATCGAGACGAACGCGATGAAGCGGAGGGGAAAGGTGAGTGAGTGAGCGAGTGGGTGAGCGAGTGGGTGAGCGAGTGAGCGAGGGCGCACCGGTGGTGAGGACGAATGTGTCGGCGCTGAGCTGGGGAGCGGGCGCGCTGGACGAGAGCGGCGACGGGCCTACAACGCCGCCGGTCAGCCAGATCTCGCTGTCGTTGCGGCTGGAGCACGCAAAGCTCGACAGCGGGAAGGGCGATGCGCCAGACACGCGCTGGGCACCGGACCACGGCATCGGTTTGCCTCGAATTGACATGATTGGAAACAAAAAAAAAAAAAAATGAAAACTGAAAATTTTGATTTTGGGGTTTTGGGGGTTTTGATGGTGCTTTCCAAAGTGTCGACGAACGCAGCGAATTGCGACATGAAGGACAGTCCAGCGACCGCGCCTTGTTCAATGGACGAGTAGCAAATATCATTTTCTTCATTCTGGATAGCTCGGGAAGCGTCGCACGTTGACCAAAGGGCTGAAAAATATTTGTGGAGAGGATGGGGTGGTTGAAACGAGGCCATTAGAGTGGCGGTTTTCGAATTCTGATGATCAAATACTGCTCTCCTTTATATTGTGAACGTGTTTGAATCGACAAACATTGCAATAAGAGCTCGCTTGCCACCGGCGCGAAAAAAATGAAAGACCAGATGCTCTTTCGACAATTACGCTTGGAAGCACACTTTGGCCACGATTGACGTCTTTTATTGCCGAAAATCGCCCCTTCAACACAACCATTGCAAAGAAAAACACAAGCACACAAAAAATTCGTCAACCAGAGTCGAGTCCGTTCAGCCAGCAAGGGTAGCCGGTGGTTGTTAGCCAAAATTTCGGAAAATCGCGCGAATTTGGATGCTTTTTGGGTTGTTGTGATTGCACATTCGGCATCCGTCAATCGCCTTTCCTTAGCAAATATCTCTACTGATCCACCTCGTGAGGATCCGGAGGCGGACGGCTCATTGGAACGATACACTCCATGAAGCAGCATTTGAAATTTGATTCAAATTTCGACCACAGTTGAAACGAGTCGCGCTTTTCAAAACGAAATTACAATTCTCGAGCATGACTCCTCGCCCAAATCACAAATCATCAAAGAACGACCCAAACTCCACAGATCCAAGATCCAAACCAAAATTACCTGATTCAGCACAAAACCAAAAACAAAAAAAAGCTCACTCCTCAAGATTTCCTCACCTTGAAGACTTTTTTTTTTTTTTTTTTTTGTTTCAATTTTAATCGTTGACCGCTACCATGTCTCACAAGGAAGAAGACGCGATGGCCTACCTTTCGGTGGGCAAGAAGAACGACGTTGCCGACGCCGCCGTCCAGGCCGAGTGGGCTGCCAAGAAGTGGGTCTGGATCCCCGACGACAACGAGGGTTTCGTCGCGGCCTCGCTCAAGTCCGAGACCGACAAGGATGCGACCGTCGAGGTTGCTGGCGGCAAGACCCTGACCGTCAAGCGTGACGACGTCCACAAGGCCAATCCGCCCAAGTTCGACAAGACTGAGGACATGGCTTCGCTCTCCCACCTCAACGAGGCGTCCGTCCTCCAGAACCTTAAGGCCCGCTACTTTAGCAACATGATCTACGTAAGTTTGAAAGACCGATGGCGATCCCGCTGGGATGGGGGGGGGGGCAAAGGAAAAGGAACGAAGAGGGAAAAAAAAAAAAAACAAAAAAAAAGGCAAAGAATTTGAAAAAAAGAAAAAAGAAAAAAGAAAAAGAAAAAATGTTTCGCTGGAAATGCATTGGAAAAAAGAAAAAGAAAAAAAAGGCATCCACAGATCGCAATTTTTTTTGTTAAATTTCAATTCTTTTCGATTTCGACTTTTTGCCTTTTTTTCTTTCGCTGCTTGCTTTTCTGTGCTTTTCTGTCGCCGGATGCGGATGCAGCGATGTGAGCGATCACGTTGTCACATCCGCAGCGGGGCACTGCTGGAAAGCGGAAGGCGCAAAAACAAGCAGCGCGAAAAGAGATCTAATCAAGCGAAAATCAACAAAGAAAAAAAAATGCCTATTCGCTTTTTTTCGTTTTTTGCCACTGTTTGATTCGTTTCTCGCGCTGCCGAGACGCGCACCCACACCCACACACGCTTGTCGAAATGCAAGCATGGATGGATGGTGCAAATCCTGTCGCTCTTGCGCTGCTGCGTCGACGCGCTTCCTTTGGTTTGTGGTTTTTTTTTGCATTTGTTGGATTCTTTTTTTTATTTTTTATTTTTTATTGCTTTATTCGATCGCCTTCCTTTTCGAGCGTTGCTGAACAACAATTCCTCAAAAAAGGGAAAAGCAAAAAAAAAAAAAAAATTCTTGCTTTTTGGTTGAATTTCTGTTGGTTGGAAATTTCGTTGCTTTTGTTGCTTGTTTGCTTTCAAAGCTGAGCAACAAGAAGACAAGGACGAAGAAGACAGAGGTGATGAAGCGAGAATGCATTCGTCGACGATTGGCAAAAAACCCCCTCAAAAAACACAAAATCACAATCCATCTGTCTGCCTCGCCTTTTTTCTTTGCAAAACTAACTCTTCTTTCTCTCTCCTTCAACCCCAAACGACAGACCTACTCGGGCCTCTTCTGCGTCGTCATCAACCCCTACAAGAAGCTCCCGATCTACTCGGACAAGGTCGTCCAGATGTACAAGGGCCGCAGGCGCCAGGAGCTGCCCCCGCACGTCTACGCCCTGACGGACTCTGCCTACCGCGACATGCTCCAGGAGCGCGAGAACCAGTCCATTCTCTGCACGGGCGAGTCTGGTGCCGGCAAGACGGAGAACACCAAGAAGGTCATCCAGTACCTCGCCTCGATTGCGTCGGGCTCGTCCAAGTCCCAGGGCCAGCTCGAGGCTCAGCTCCTCCAGGCCAACCCCATCCTCGAGGCGTTCGGCAACGCCAAGACGATCAAGAACGACAACTCTTCGCGCTTCGGCAAGTTCATCCGCATTGAGTTTGACAAGACTGGCCACATTTCGGGCGGCAACATTGAGACGTACCTGCTCGAAAAGTCGCGTTCCATCCGCCAGTCCGAGACGGAGCGTGATTTCCACATCTTCTTCCAGCTCCTCCGCGGCGCCTCCAAGGACCAGGCCCGCGACCTCCTCCTCGAGGACGTGACCAAGTACCGCTTCCTCAACGGCGAGAAGACGGTCGAGGGCATGGACGACGTGGCCGAGTTCAAGAACACCACCTACGCCATGAACGTGTTTGAGATTTCCGAGGCTGAGCAGACCGCCATGTTCAAGATTGTCTCTGGTATCCTCCAGCTGGGCAACATGGTCTTCCAGCAGGAGAAGCGCTCCGACCAGGCCATCCTCAACGACGACACGTATGCCCAGAAGGCCTGCACCATGCTCGGCATTCCGCTCGGCGAGTTCACTCGCAGCCTCCTCAAGCCCCGTGTCAAGGCCGGTCGCGACATTGTCACCAAGGCCCAGAACAAGGAGCAGGTCGAGTTTGCCGTCGAGGCCATCTCCAAGGCCCTCTACGAGCGTCTCTTCAAGCACGTTGTTGCCCGCATCAACAAGGCCCTCGACACCAAGCGCCAGTCGTCCTCGTTCATTGGCATTCTCGATATCGCTGGTTTTGAAATCTTCAAGGTCAACTCGTTCGAGCAGCTCTGCATCAACTACACGAACGAGAAGCTCCAGCAGCTCTTCAACCACCACATGTTCATCCTCGAACAGGAGGAGTACCAGAAGGAAGGCATTGACTGGACGTTCATTGACTTTGGTCTTGATCTGCAGCCCTGCATTGACCTGCTCGAGAAGCCCCTCGGCATCCTCTCCATCCTCGACGAGGAGTGCCTCTTCCCCAAGGCCACCGACAAGTCGTTCGTCGAGAAGCTCGACTCGAACCACGACAAGAAGCACCCCAAGTACAAGAAGCCCCCGCCGGTCAAGTCCAACGCCGACTTTATTGTCGTCCACTACGCCGGCGAGGTCGGCTACATGGCTGAGCAGTGGCTTGTCAAGAACATGGATCCCCTCAACGACAACGTCACCGAGCTTCTCGCCAAGTCCACCGAGCCCCTCGTCGCCGAGCTCTGGTCGGACGGCTACGTCGCCCCTGCCCAGGCCAGCGAGTCTGCCTTTGGCGCCACCACCCGTGCTCGCAAGGGCATGTTCCGCACTGTCGCCCAGATCCACAAGGAGCAGCTCGAGCATTTGATGACCACCCTCCGCAACACCCAGCCCCATTTCGTCCGTTGCATCATCCCCAACCACGAGAAGAAGGCCGGCAAGATCAACAACCAGCTCGTCCTCGAGCAGCTTCGCTGCAACGGTGTCCTCGAAGGCATCCGTATCGTCCGTCAAGGTTTCCCGTCGCGCGTCCTCTTCCAAGAGTTCAAGCAGCGCTACGAAATCCTCACCCCTTCTGCCGTCCCCAAGGGTGTCATGGACAACAAGAAGATTTGCCAAAAGATGGTTGAGGCGCTTGAGCTCGAGGCCAACTCTTTCCGCATTGGTCACTCCAAGATCTTCTTCCGCGCCGGTGTCCTTGCCCAGCTCGAAGAGCAGCGCGACGAGAAGCTCACGGCCGTCATCAAGGGCTTCCAGGCCTTCTGCCGTGGTTTCATGGCTCGCCGCGACCTCAAGAAGATGATGAGCAACGAGACTGCCATCCGCATCATCCAGCGCAACACGCGCAAGTACCTCGTCCTCCGCAACTGGGCGTGGTGGAAGCTGTACACCAAGGTCAAGCCTCTGCTCAACGTTGCTCGCCAAGAGGACGAGATGCGCCAGAAGGAGCAGGAGGTCAAGAAGCTCCAGGAGAAGGCCGAGAAGGAGGAGGCTGCTCGCATCGAGATGGAGAAGCTCCACGCCAAGCTGCTCGAGGAGAAGAACGCCCTCGCCACGCAGCTCCAGCTCGAGTCCGAGGCCGCTGCCGAGGCTGAGGAGATGAAGAACCGTCTCGCTGCCAAGCGCGCCGAGCTCGAGGGCATTGTCGGCGAGCTTGAGGCCCGCCTCGACGAGGAGGAGGAGATCAAGGCCAAGCTCAGCACTGAGAAGCGCAAGCTCGAGGCCCAGATCAACGAGATGGAGGAGAAGGTCAACGACCTCGAGACCATCAAGCAGAAGCTCGAGCAGGAGAAGGCTGCCCGCGAGGCCCAGCTCAAGAAGATTGAGGACGAGCTCACCGTCGAGAAGGACAACGTCGAGAAGCTCACCAAGGAGCGCAACTCGCTCAACGAGAAGCTCACCACCACCTCTGCTTCCCTCCAGGACCAGGAGGACACCAACAAGCACCTGATCAAGCAGAAGGCCAAGCTCGACGCCACCATCACCGAGCTCGAGGAGCGTCTCCAGAAGGAGGAGAAGGAGCGTCAGGAACTCGAAAAGCAAAAGCGCAAGCTCGAGTCGGACGTCCGCGACCTCAAGGAGCAGCTCAACGCTGCTGGCGGCGAGAAGGGTGACCTCGCCTCCACCCTCGGCAAGAAGCAGGCCGAGCTCGAGGCCATCAACTCTGCCCTTGAGGAGGAGAAGGTCCAGCGCTCGAACGTCGAGAAGGCCAAGCGCGATCTCCAGGCCCAGCTCGAGGAGGTCAACGAGGAGCTCGAGTCTGAGCGCGCTGCCCGCAGCAAGGCTGAGAAGCGTGCCAAGGACCTCGCTGCCGACTACGACAGCCTGCGTGCCCAGCTCGACGAGTCTGGCGACTCGAACAAGATGCAGGCCGAGCTTCGCGCCAAGCGCGAGGCCGAGCTCGCCTCGCTCAAGAAGAAGCTCGACGATGAGACTGCCTCGCACGAGGCTGCCCTCACCGACCTCCGCAAGAAGCACACTTCGCTTGCCGAGGAGTCCAACGCCGAGATTGACTCGCTCAAGAAGAGCAAGGCCGCCCTCGAGAAGAACGTCTCTGACGCTACTCGCGACCGCGACTCGCTCCAGTCTGAGCTTGATGCCCTCAAGAAGGCCTACGCCGAGCTCGAGAAGAAGAAGAAGGCTCTCGAGGCCCAGCTTGCCGAGGCCACTGGCCGCCTCAACGAGGACCAGCGCATCATTGCCGAGCTCCAGTCCCAGAACCAGAAGCTCACTGCCGAGCTCGACTCGACCAGCAAGAACCTCGAGGACCTCGAGTCGCGCTTCTCTGCTCTCGAGAAGGCCAAGAAGACTGCCGAGTCTTCGCTCGGCGAGAGCAAGGGCAACATTGAGGCTGAGACCCGTGCCAAGCTTGCTCTTGCTTCCAAGCTGAAGCAGGCCGAGACCGACATTGCCGGCCTCAAGGAGCAGCTCGAGGAGGAGGAGGAGGCCAAGGCCGCCCTCGAGAAGCAGATTGCTTCTCTCACTGCCCAGTCTGCCGACTACAAGCGCAAGGCCGACGATGCTGGCAACCAGGCTGAGGAGTTTGAGGCCACCCGCAAGAAGCTTGGCAAGGACGCTGACGAGCTCCGCACTCGCATTGAGGAGCTCGAGCACGCTCTGGCCAACTCGGACAAGACCAAGAACCGTCTCCAGGCCGAGCTTGCTGACGTCCAGGTCTCGCTTGATGCCGAGCGCAACACTCGCTCCAACCTCGAGAAGAAGCAAAAGAAGTTTGACCAGCAGTTTGCCGAGGAGAAGGCCCGCGGCGAGGAGATTGCCCGCGAGCGCGACGACGCCCAGCGTGACGCCCGCGATTCGCAGACCAAGATTCTCACCTCCCAGAAGGAGCTCGAGGCTGCTCGCGAGAAGATTTCCGAGCTCGAGCGTGCCAAGAAGACCCTGTCTGCCGAGCTGCAAGACCTCGTCGCCTCCAAGGACGGCGCTGGCCGCAACGTGCACGAGCTCGAGAAGAGCAAGCGCGCTCTCGAGCAGGTCGTCGAGGAGCAGAAGACTCAGCTCGAGGAGCTTGAGGACGAGCTCCAGGCCACTGAGGATGCCAAGCTCCGCCTTGAGGTCAACCTCCAGGCCATGAAGGCTCAGCTCGACCGTGAGCTCAACGCCAAGGACGAGCAGACTGAGGATGCCCGCAAGGCCACCCTCAAGCAGCTTCGCGAGCTCGAGGAGGAGCTCGAGGAGGAGCGCCGCTCCAAGTCGAACATTCTCCAGCAAAAGAAGAAGCTCGAGCTCGACCTCAAGGACTCTGAGGGTCACGTCGACGAGGCCAACAAGAACAAGGAGGAGGCTGTCCGCCAGGCCAAGAAGGCTCAGCAGCAGGTCAAGGACATGCAGCGCGAGATTGACGAGTCCCGTCAGACTCGCGAGGAGATTGCCAACGCCCAGCGCGACGCTGAGCGCAAGGCTGCTGCTCTTGCCGCCGAAGTCAGCCGTCTCCAGGCCGACCTCGACCAGTCCGAGCGCGCCCGCAAGGCTGCCGAGACTGAGCGCGATGAGCTCCACGACGAGGTTTCGGGTGGTGCCAACTCTCGCTCGTCGCTCGCCGAGGCCAAGCGCCGTCTCGAGAACGAGATCCAGCGTCTCCAGGCTGAGCTCGAAGACGAGACCACCAACGCCGAGGCTGCCACCGACAAGGCCCGCAAGCTCCAGATCAACCTCGACGCCCTCCAGCTCGAGTTTGCCTCTGAGCAGAGCAACCACCGCAAGGCCGAGGAGGCTCGCGCCGCCCTCGACCGCCAGTCCAAGGACCTCAAGACCCGTCTCGACGAGCTCGAGGCTGCCACTCGCGGCAAGAGCAAGACCCAGATTGCTCAGCTCGAGCAGCGCGTCAAGGACCTCGAGGCCCAGGTTGAGGAGGAGAACCGCCAGAAGCAGGAGCTCCAGCGTGTCAACAAGAAGCTCGACCGCAAGGCCAAGGACGCCGTCGCCCAGATTGACGAGGAGCGACGTCTTGCCGAGAGCAACAAGGCTGAGCTCGACAAGGCCACCTCCAAGCTCAAGACCCAGAAGCGTGCCATCGACGAGGCCGAGGAGGAGAACCAGCGCAACCAGGCTGCCAAGCGCAAGCTCAAGGCCGAGTTCGACGAGCAGACTGCCGAGCTCGAGGCTGCCCAGCGTGAGGTCACCTCGCTCCGCGCCAAGGTCCGTGGTGGCGGCGCCTCTGCCGTTTCCAGCCGCCGCGCTGCCCGCGACGAGCCCGCTGACGATGCCACTGACGCTTAAACACGCGGCTGTGAATACCGTCTCTCTGTTTTGTGTGTCATTGATTTTTGTGCCTTTTTTTGTGTGTGTCTGTGTGAGTGGTTTGGTGTCGTGTGCCGCTATCCCTTTCACGCCGTTGTCATTTGTTTGATGTTTGTGCGTGAAGACGGAGGAAGCAAAAGACTGAAAAAACAAAAGACCAACAAAAGCTCGGCGCTTGTTGTTGTTGAGGAGGGTGTTGCCAATTTGGTTGAGGAGCCAAGTTGGTGAATTTCGTCCTGCTTGATGATGATGCAGTGTGTTGGGTTGCCATTTGCTTTATGTGTTTTTTTGGTCTCTTCCTTTGTTTGAATATAAGCATGCCTGTTGTTATCTCTTTTTCATTTTCAAGTTCGAGTTTCACCGCTGTTTTGTGGTTTCTTTGTTGCTGAACATTGTTTGGACGGAACGTGTACATTGAGCAGACAAAATCTAGACAGCAGCAGCACCAGTATGCCACGAATATCGACAGCATGAAAGCGGGCCGACCACACCACACACAGACACAGACACACAAAAACAAGGAGAAACAACGGAAAAAAAAAAATCAAAACAATTCCAAGACAAAGTCAAAGGCGCTTTGCCAATTTAATTGGGCACGGCAGCCACGACGATAATGGCAATGATGAGCAAGCAAATAATGCAAAGCATGCCTAGCATTAGGAAGAAACAACAAGGAGCGAGTCAGTACAAGCGCAAGGATGGGTTTTGCAACTTGACGTGAGCACTCACCTCCAGTCTTGGCCTTCTCCGTAATTGTCATGACGTGCAGTGTTTCTTGCCGAAGCTTGCCGTGGGTGTGATCCATGCCGTCCTCAAGATCGTCCAGGAGTTCTGGGACAAGGAAAGAGTGTTGTGAGCAACAAAGAGACAATACGACTCATTTCCAGAAAAACCGCGCGAGAGCGTACGATTCTGCGAGTCGACTTCATCGCCGATGGCAACACCAATGTGCTTTTGGCGTGCAATGGCCGCTTGAAGCGCATCCAGGCCTCGGTCTTGGTCTGCGAGTGGAAGGAAAAAACCCAACAAAAAACCAAACAAAACAAAACATAAAACCCAAACTCGTTGAGTATCAGCAGCCAGTCGCATCAAACAGGTACACTTGTGGCACTGTTGCGGCACGCACACAGCACGACGAATCGTACCTTGCATGATTTGCTGCTGACGCGACAGCAGAGTGGCGTTGTCCAGGCCTTGCGTGTCTTCGCGCTCAACTGGAGCCGCACCTTGACCAAATGCCCTGCCTGGCGCACCATACAGCAGAGTGTCTCTGTCACATCAGCCAGAAAGCGCGTGGGGGGGGGGCGAAAAGAGGAAGAAAATGGGCTGAGTACAACAAACCTAGAAACAAAGAGCAACAGACATGCGGCAAGCACCCACCTGCTGGCCTCTGCTTGACCAGGTTCCATATTCTTGTTAAACATCGAGTTCAGCTGATCTCGGCGGCTGCGGAGCGCGCTGGTCAGTCCTTGCCGCCGCGAAAGCTCCTTGTCAGTGCTGTCAGAAGGAACAAAATGGAAACAAAAAGGAGAATTGAGGAAAGTGCGTCTGTGTCCCCTTCAGCAGTGAACAGAGCAACCAGAGCAACCATCTACCAAGAGAAACAAACACTACACAACAAACAAGAATGCATACATGGTGTATTGGCGACCAGCCCTGTCCAGAGCTTGCTCGAGCGACGCGATCGAGGTCGTGAGCTGTCCGAGCTTGCGGCGGATGCCGCTGTTCAACTGTGGGGGAGTGTGATGGATGTTGGTGAGGGCACATGCCGCAAAAGAGTGCATACAACATTCACATTGGCATTGCGTTAATGAAGCGCGCCTCCGCGACATAAAGTTACGTACGGTGGCTGCGTTGGTGCCTTGGCGAACAACCTTGTTGCGCTCGTTGATGTCTGCCATGATCTCGTCGGCAGCATGGGTGACGTTGTCATGGTCCAGCAACCTGGATTCAAGCATCAAAAGTGAGCAACGAACGAGGATGAAAGTGAGTGGACGTTAGATTGACCAACTCCAGTTGAATGCGAGCAGCGTTGTCCCACACCCCACCTTCTCGTCCTTTCAACTACTTTCTTTCTTGTCTGAGAACCAAAGATTTGTTCGTTTTCGTTCGTTCGTTTCCAATGCATTTGCCTTTACGTCGTTCCACCTCCTGCCTTCACCCATCCAAACAAAGCAAGCCCTCGACGTTGCTTTTCGACCCGTGCCATCTTATGTTTGTTGTTGGTTTGTTGATGGTGATGGTGAGCGTGTGACTTGAGCGTTTCTATTGAGATTGATACTGCAGCAGTTCGTTCTTCCTCCTCCGCTTTCCCCGCTCCCCCTCCTCCGAAACGCCTCCGATCACGACTCTTGCATTTCTGTGTCTGTGTCTGTGTGGTCTGTGCCTGATCCCCCCCCCCCGCTTTCCCCTTCGACTTCAGCTTCCCTATGACCATTGCCTCGCTCTCTTCTGCTTGTTCTTCTTCTTCTTCGCCTTCATCCACTCTCGACAGCCTCGCTCTCTCTCTCTCTTCATCATCATCATCATCATCATCACCTCGCTTCATCACTCTTTCGCTTTGTCGCAGCCTCGGAAGTCCGTCTTCGCGTGTGTCAAAGTCAGGCGCTTTTATTATTTTATTTTATTTTATTTTATTTTTCCATTGACTTTTCCATTGACTTTTTTTTCATTGACTTTTCCATTGACTTTTTTTTTTTTTGTTTTGTTTTTGTTCTCGTTTTCGTTTTGCTTTTGCTTTTGTTCAAACTCGGGTTTTTGGCTCTTGTTGAGGTTGAATGTCTGTGGTTGAGACAGCTCGGAGGGCGCGAGGAGAGGGGTTTCGGCGGAGGGGGACGAGAGGAAGGAAGGAAGGCGGAAAACTCAAAAAAAAAAGAAGAAAAAAAAAAGGAAAAGGCAAGGAAAAGGTAGTTGACGGGCGAATTTTAGTGAAGGTATCAGTAACGAGGATACGAAAATGAATCACTCGCGGATCAACAAAAGCCGAAAGCAAATTAGTGAGGCAAAATCCGTAGTACCAAGAATCCATCTTTGTGTTGCTCATGCTGATATTGTCGTTATAGCCCGAGCTCATGAAATGAAAAAAGAAAAAAAAAAAAAAAACTCAGAAGAAAGAGTGGTCAAATCCAATAGAGTCGCATAGAACCAAATCCAATTCACATCAAACCCATCGGAGTCGTTGGAGGAGGGTAACAGTGCTGGTGGCAGAAGAAAAACCCAAGATAATAAACCAAATCAACCAAGCAAACAAACCAAAGCAACAAAAACAACACCTGTATTATTTTCATTCACGCCTTGGTTCTCCGGCACCAATTCACATCAAACCCATCGGAGTCATTGGAGGAGGGTACCAGTGCTGGTGGCAGCAGAGAAACCAAGCAAGCAAACCAAATCAACCAAGCAAACAAAACAAAGCAACAAAAGTAAAGGAGAGCAAAAGCTACTCGTCGGTGGGTGGGACCACGCCAACAACAGCAGCATAGTTCACAGCCTGGCCGTTATCATGCACCACAGGGCTCGTGCTGGAGGATGCCAGCGCCAAGTTTGCATACGCGTCGGCGGTGGATGGGCTGACTGCTGCGGGAGCTGTTGACGCTGAAGTTGTGACAGCGTACTCGCTGCTATTCAAAGATGACCCGACGTCCTCATACAACGGAGAGTGCAGAGAGGGCGAGGCATATGGAGCAGACGGAGCAAGCGCACCCCCATCTACCGGAACATAGGTGGTAGCATTGGTTTCGGGAGTGCCGTACACTGTGTTGCCGCTGGTCACGACCATCGCATAGCTGGTCGGCGAGGTGGCCGTGACGGGCGCTTGAGAACGCGTTGCAAGAGTGGCAAGGTCTTCGTAATGACTTTCGCCAGTTGCGACTGCTGCATACTCGGGCGATCCAACATCGTCATAGTGCGGGTCCAGAGTGCCAAAGCCCGGATTTCGCTCTTCGACGGTCGCATACGAGTCTTGAGCTTCAATGGGACCTTGCTTCGGGGCACCGGTGGGCTTGGCGGGCTTGGCGCGGGATGCGTTCATGCGTCTCTTGCGACGGACCAAGGCAACCACGACCAGAATCAATAGCATGGTGCCAGCGACCGCGCAGACAATGATCAGAATGGAGGAGCTATCCTTGTCGTCCGCTGACGCCTTGATCGAGGCGCGTAGCGTGGTCGTAGCCGGGGCAGAGGGGAGGGAAGCACTCGCAGAAGGAACGCTCCCTGGTGCAGTGGACGAGGTAGCGTCGACAGACTCGGCAAGCATCGAAGCCACGGAGGCCACGGAAGCAGCAGAAGCAGCGGAAACGGCCGAGCCTGCAGAGACGACAGAAGCGACAGAAGCAGCAACAATAACAGAGTTTGCTGAAACGCCCGAAGCCACAGAGGCCACAGAAGCAGCAGAAGCAACAAAGTCAGCGGACGAGGCGGAAAGGGCAGAGGCCGCAGACGCGACCGAGGCGACAGACTCCATGGACCCCACAGAAGCAGCAGAAGCAGCAGAAGCAGAAGAAGCCGAAGCGACAGACTCCTCAGACGCCGCGGAAGCAGCGGAAACAACCGAAGCCGAAGAGACAGAAAACGCAGAAACAAAAGCAGCGGAGACGGCCGATTGAACTGACGCAGCAGAGATGGTCGATTCCGAGGTTGAGATGCATGTTTGGTCCGAAAGAGCGTAGCCGTCATAGCACTGAGTGCACGTAGAGTTCGAGCAGTACAGGCAGTAATTTGCACAACATCCAGCAGGACCGGGACCCCAGCACGTTGCACAGGCTGCATCACAAGCTGGACTCGTTTTCGGTTAGATAACACCGCTCTTACGAGTTTGACGCAAAGTACGAGTCAACTTACGGATTGGAGAGGCTGCGGTGCCGTAAGTGCTCGGGGGCGCTCGTGTGTTGCCACCAAAGGTATAGTTGTTAGGCGTCAGAGAGTAGGATGTCAAAGTTATCCCGAGGAAAAGACCGGGAGGAAGCGTCGTGGCCGCCATTGAATAAAAGATCCTGATGCTCAAGAAGGTTAGCTCCACGATCCAGACTACCAAAGCAGCGACATTGACACGTCATTCACCGTACAGCGCTTTGAGTGTAGGTGGGAAGAACTGCGGTGGGATTTCTGTCAATTTGGCACCGGTCATCGAACTGGTTTGGCGCGCACGAGCAAGTTCAAATTAGTACACCAGTTGCTTGCGTAGTCAACGCTCGATTCCAGTCCATATTGCTTACATCGACGTGAAAGCATTCAGACCAGAGAACAGGTTGGCAGGGACTTGCACCAGGTTGATGCACGACATTAAGCTGCTGCTCAGTTCAAAGCACCATTGCCAAACCAAAACGAAAAAGTATGAGCAAAGCAAACAGATTCGACAGGAATACTCATCAACCGTTTGTAAGCATTTGAACGCACAATGTCTTGAGCGATGTCAAAGGGGACAATACTCCCGCAGGAATGCTGGTGCCGAGCCAATTGTGGGCGTAGCTATTGACAAACGCAATATCGAGCAAAAATGAGCAAACCAGCCAATGGCAAACATGAATGCAGCGGGTACCAGTCGTTCGAGCAAACCAGCCAATGGCAAACATGAATGCAGCAGGTACCAGTCGTAACAAGTTCACCTACAGGTATGTCAGTTGCGAGAGGCCATTAAAAGTCCCGGCAGACATCTGCAGGCGAACTGCAGCCGGCAGTGATCTATCGCGGTAAACTAGGGTGAGTCACAAGCGGTACGTGGAACGGCACTCTCAAGCAAAAGAGGAAAACGGAACGTACAGCGATTTCAAGTTTGTCAGGCCAACAAACGCATTGTCAGGCAACGATGTGAACGCCGCTGCAGTTGCAAAACTCCTGCCAACAAATGGTGAGAAAAACAAAACATCGCTGTCAGCTAGACTCGACCTTGCTTTTTGAAGCCAGAGCCGCGGCGGATGAGCTTACAACGATGTCAGTTTAGTCAAGCCAAACGAAGCGAAAGCGTTTGATGCAATCGTAGTCAGCACCGGACTTCCGATTTGCCTGCAAGTTCATTGCTTGGTGAGATGAGAGCATGAAAAACACACTCCCATTGATCCAGCACAATAGTTATGCTGTGACTTACAAGTACGTCAAGTTTGGAAGCGAAGTGAGGTCGAGTGCTGAGATACTCGAGTATCCACCAGGGATCGCCCTGCGATGCGACATCCAGCTAGGTAGTTAGTGGTGGTCTCTCAATATGATTGCAAAAGGCAGCTCGAGTATGGATGGTTACAGCGCGTTTAATCCAGAGATATCGTTCAGAGCGGAGGCCGTAAGCGAAGTGTACGTCCCGGTCAGAGTGCTGAGCGTGAAACAACACAAACGACAACGACAAGATGAGCGGAGAGACTCGAAGCCTCACTCTACTTGTAGGTCTCACAAAATTCGACAACGTACAATTGTGTAAGCAAGTTCAACCCAGCAAAGGACGATGCACCGACGCTCGAAACGGTTATCAATGACCTATTATTGCAGCCGATCAAAGTCAGCTACGAGGAATGTTTGGTTTTGGTAGAATGTGCAACAGCAACGCTCGACGAACAATGTCAAAAGGCTGCCGCCAAAGCCGGCAAACATGTTTGCTGACAGCGCCTTCACGCTGGGGTAGCTGATTAGTCTATTCTCTCCCCCCCACACACACAAAAAAATCACACCAATCAAAATGTGAGAACACCAGACAGAGTCTACTTGATGGTCGAGGGTACGCACAGTGATTTGATCCCAGTACTGCTGGCACCAGTGAACATGTCTGCGGTTAGTGTAACTGTGTTTTGGAGAGACATCGATCTACCAACAGGGATGCAGCTCCAGATTAGTTCCTGCTTGCGTGGTACTGCATCACCGAAGACGACACGCGCAAATTCTGCGTAGTTACAAAGTTGAGATGGCCCCAGTTCCCGCCAATGCTCCAGCGGCGATCGAGCTGAGAGTTGGCAGGGATCTGTTTATACATTGAACGATGAGTTTCCGAGCATGAGACAAACACTGCAATTGACTCACAAGGTTGTGAGAGCGTTGCATCCTGCGAATGCGTTTGCCGACAGACTGGTAAAAGTCGCAGCGTTCAGGTAGCTGACATTGTGATTGTTGCCATTGTATCGTTGTGGTGACATGGGGCGGGGGTGATGTGAGATGAGGATGACATCCAAAGTTGACAATCGAACAATCCGAAATTTTCACTTACGCGCTCATGACGGTCGTCGTGAGTGTTGGCTGCACCGTCAAACCATAACAACTAGTGATATATGTAACAGGAGTGGACATGCAGCTGCATCCGCCGTCGCATGCATCGAGCGCGGAAGTATTGCTAGGGCTGAGAATCGCGAGAAGGAGCGCTGTCGCAAGCACTCCATCAAAGAATCTCTGCAAAATCATAAACAAAAAAAAAATAAAAAAAAAATAAAAAAATATTGAGTTTCAATTGAGTTTTCAAAAGGTGATTCACGCGGCAGGCAGGCAGGCAGGCAAAGTGCCGAGTGTGGGCAAATCAGACAAGGAAACAACCACAACAACAACAAAAAAAAAAAAAAAAAAAAAAAGCGCCAGATAAAATCATAAACAGCAACAAAGATCATCATCTGGACGATGTTCTCGTGAGTGAGTGAGTGAGTGAGTGCGTGAGTTGGTGCGCGTCTTGACTGCGGCATCGGATCAAAACAAACGCCATTGTACGACTTTGCCCCGCTTTCTCCCGCCCTCGAGTCCCACGACGAGCAACCGGAGCTGCGACATAATTCCATTTGAGCGGTACTAGTCGTCGTACTTCTACTGGGAGTTGCGAGTTTTTTGGGGGATTGGGACAGCGTTGGATGGAGGCGAGTGATGATTGTTGTTTGTCTGCCGACACAAGTTGAATAGAGTCGCGACTCATCGCTCAACCCTTATCGTCACAACATCTCCCTTCTGCTAGCTTCCGATTGGGTTTAGCTTATGAGTAGCAGGGTTTTTTTTTGCGCTCTTGAGTCTGTGCTGCGGATGTGAAGCCGGGGCAGTGCGGCAGTGCGGCGCATAGCGGCAGAAGAGCGGGGCACGGGATTGCGGTTTGTTTTTAGTTTCTCACGTTTGGCACCGCTTTTTGAAAAGCACGCAGAGGAAAAGGGTCAAAGGGGTGGGACTTGCTGGAGAAGAGTATGAGGTGGAAGGGGGTTGTCTTTGAAATAGTGTGGGCAGAAGGAGGGAAGAGAGAGAGAGAGGCAGGGATGAAAGAGAGGGGGGGGGGGGAGAGCAGCATAGAAATACCATTGCAATAAGCCGTCAGAACAAAAACAAAAACAGACTGATTTCGCATCTTTTCCATTTCCAATCACTCTCACTTCCCGCTTCTCACTCGCGGCTCACTCTTGGCTCTTTATTTTGGTTCAAATCAGAGCAACCTCAAGCACTACTGATGGTGTGATTTTGTGATGTGGGACGGACAGCGAACGAGACTCGAAAGACAAACGAGAGCTGAAACAGCGAGTTGGCGGTTGGTTGAAAAAGCAACCAAACAAAACAAAACAAAACGGAGCAGTGCGCGTGGCTGGCGTGTGGCGACCTTCCACCTTCCTCGTTTTCATGGCCAATCGCGCTTCAGTAGAGTTTCACAGAGACCAACTGTGATCACTCCATACGCTTGAGATTGTTTTCGGGTTTGGCAAGTGGGGTCGGTGAATCGAGTGGCCGTCAGCGGCCACCACGCTACTCCCACAGAAATCTCGTCACTTCTCGCCACGACTTACTCTGTTTGACTGGTCGAACAAGCTCCGAATAATTTGTGACAATATGATCTGACTGGATGGAGCACTGAACGAGTCGTGTTACATGCTTTTTTTTTTTTTTTTTTTTTTTTTTTTTTTTTTTTTTTTTGGGGGGGGGGGGTAGGAACTAACATTGTGCGCGAGTGAGTCGCAGTATCCGGCTTTCCTTGGGTTTTAGCCATTCTTTCCTCCATACCACCGGCGTTCAGTCTTTTTTTTTTTTTTTTTCCATTTTTTTCATTTTCCTCATGGCTGAAGACTCTTCCTCTTCCGCTGCGACGGAGCCACTCGCACCATCGACCGCCACGACCGAGTCCCCCAGCAACACTGCCACTGCCACTGCCACTGCCACTGCGCGCCCGGTCTTCTCGCTGTTCGTCCTGCCAGTCATCCACGAAGTCCAGCAGCAGCACGGTCTCCGCCACGCCGACTTCCGCCGCTACCAGTTCAGTCCCAAACCCCCCCCCCCCAACTCACCTCCAACTCACCTCCAACTCACCTCCAACTACCTTGAAGCGGGGGGTTTTTGGTTTTTGGCAGGGGTTGGCGGGTGGTTTGGGGTTGTTGCCCCTTCAGAAGCTGCACTCCAATGCATTGCCTATGATGTTCGCTAACCTCCTGTGCTTGTGTGCTTGTGTGCTTGCAGTGGGTTTTGCAATGCGCGGCTGTATCGCCTGCGTCGCTCGCTCAAGTTCATGTACGGACGCAACAACCGCTACCAGAAGAAGGAGCTCAAGCTCGAGCACATTACGGACGAACGGTGAGCAGTTATCAGAGGGCAGAGATCTCGCGTTTGGCTTTGGGTTTGGGTGGACTGCTGATGGAAACCGGAGACACACGCGAACATGCAGCGTTCATCATTTGGGATGATTCTATGGTCGGATTTGACTCGGGGGAGAGGGAGAGGGGGAGGGGGAAGGAGCCGGATCCGTGCTCGTGTCTGCATCACGCTGATGACCACCACCGACGAGCAGATGGCCTCTCTCGGTAGAGGCAGGGAGCTGCTATATCGCCCGAGTTCGATTGTGGGCAGGGGCGTCTGCGTCGTGGAGCGGGGGGCCGTTAAAGACAACGCAAACCGGATTTATGGCATTCGCGCTGGACACTCTGAGCCCCTTTGGTACTGGGCGCAGCGACACATCACTATCGATCGACAACGAGTTGCATTATTCTGACGGAACAGGGCCGCCCGTGGTCAGGCCAATGTGCTTCTCGGAGTGTACTCTTACTCATTTCTGTGAATGAGGGAATCAACATTGCTGTGGGCCGATGTGGCGCGCTTTCATTCTCTTCCGGCCTTCATCATTCTCTGACACACACCCGTGACACACGACTCAAGCCATGACCCATCTTCGCTTGTGCTCACCCACCTGCTACTTTTCCCCCAAATTTTTCAGCTTCCTGTTCATTCCACTGATCAAGGCCGAGCGTTCATGGGCGTACGCTATGCTCCTCAAGTCACAGATGGAATCAGATGCCCGCAAGCGCTTCCACATGCAACGCCGCCTCAAGAAGGCGTACAAGCACGCTTTGGCTTTGGCGAACTTTTGCTCGTCGGACAAGCTGGTTGATCCTCGCACTACTCTCGAGGCCCAGGTAGGATTGTTTTGTTTTTGGCAGTCATGGCTTGTCTTTCGTGGCGAGAGGGTTTTCGATCGGTGACTTATTTCTTGCTCATTGTGACTCTTCGCGCCCCCCCCCCAAAAAAAAAACTATTCAGGCTTACAAGGAGTGGATTCATGGTGTCCTTTGGTTTGAGCGCCGTGCGTGGAGCAAAGCTATCAAGGCCTTGACCAGTGCCAGGTAAACGCTTCCCTTCCTTTGAAGACAAATGCGCACTTTTGCAGTCCACACAACGCTCAATTTTTTTTTGATGCTTCAGCGCCATCTATTCCAAACTCGGCCTTGTTTGCCCCGCCGAACAGCGAGCACTGTACTCCAGCAAGGTTGACGAACTGCTGCCAAGCATCCGCTTTTGCGCCTTCAACCTCAAGGGCTCCAACCCGGATGCCAACATCAACGACATTATTGCCTCACGCATGAAGCAGACAGAGGCCGCCGCACGGCAGTCCTTGACCGCCAAGTTCGATGCAGTCTTGAGTCTCAACCGGGACACCAACTCGCAGTCCCAAAACGAGATTGTTTGGCGCGGACGCACCGCCCCCGTCAAGAATGAAAAGTTGCGCACCATTCTCACGCGCGTCCAGCAGACCAACTTTGAGCTGGATCAGCTTCGTGCTGCCCATACCATCAGCACGGACTCTGCGACCACCAGCACCACCGGCTCTGCGGATCCGCGACTGGAAATGTTCGACCAGCTGTTCGCCGAGTACAACGACGCCATCTCCTTGCTCAAGGATGAACTTCGCGGCGATTCGGTACGTTCTCTGCTCTTTTTGTTTTTTCAAAACTGTTCATGTCTTTTGCAACGTTCTCGACGACTTGCTCACAATTTGCGCCCCTACGCTCTCTCTCTCTCTCTCTCTCTCTCTCTCTCTCTCTCTCTCTCTCTCTCTCTCTCTCTCTCTCTCTCTCTCTCTCTCTCTCTCTCTCTCTCTCTCTCTCTCTCTCTCTCTCTCTCTCTCTCTCTCTCTCTCTCTCTCTCTCTCTCTCTCTCTCTCTCTCTCTCTCTCTCTCTCTCTCTCTCTC